GGGGCATCGAGTTCAACTTCACTTCGTCAAGGATAGCGGGCTAGAATGGGACCGACAGTTTTGTTTCGCGGAATATACCGCTGCCGAGGGCGAGAAAGAAGCAAGATGGGACGCAAAGACGTTACGGGACGGGAAGTATTCTCGCATGGCGCTGATTCGGCCTGAGATATGGGTTCCTGACCGGAACAGTCCGGACTGGCATGCAGACCTCCGAGGGGTGAGGTACGGAGGGTTGCTTCTTATATTTTTCCCACGGGATACGGCTCGTCTACCGCTCTGGACACGACTAGGTATCTACTTGGACCTAATTGATAGCGAGGACTACTTCAGTGTTCCGCTGAATCCGCCCGCAGAAACACAATCAAGCGTGTACCAGCTTGAACCACTGCGTCTGTTCAGCGTACCTACCAAAGCAACGAGGTATACCACGCACGTCCCCGCGGCACTATCTGCGTTCCTAGAGTGCAAAAAGCCACTAAGTCTGTTCCGGGTCCATTCCGCACACCCTCGAGTAGCTGTGGGAAACGCGCCGAGTGCATCTGAGCTGGGCTTCGTGCCTGACATGGCGTTTAGCGACCAGTACCCTCTCCAGGTGCAGAGTATGGGTAGTCTGCGAGACATGCATGAGCGGACAAAGTATGCTATTCCTGAGCTGAGTGTGAGACGGTTCAGGCCGAATGTGGTTGTGGATGGTGTGGGGGCGTATGAGGAGGATGCGTGGAAGATGATACGGTTGATACCTGGTAAGCAGAATCAGATGGTGGGTGAGAAGGAGAAGGAGAAAGAGAGGGAGGATGAGGATGAGGAGGATGGGGTGGATGTGCATGTGTGTTGTCGGACGGTGAGGTGTAAGCTCCCCAACGTCGACCCTGACACGGGCATCAGACACGGCGTTGAGCCTGACAAGACGCTGCGGGGGACGAGGGTGATTGACGCGGGAGCAAAGGGAGGCTGTTTGGGCATGATGCTTGTTCCGACCCAGTCGTGTAAGTCTTTACTACTTCTACTTCTTTCTACTATGGCGTATACTGACGGTTAAGCAGTTTTCCGGATAAGCGTGGGAGACGAGGTGAGGGTGGTGTCTACGGGCGAGCACTTCTTCAAAGCCAAGTAGGTCTATCTTTTTACAATTTATACTGAGTATAGCGAGAATGAAAAGTAGGAGTATGAGATGAAGTAGAGTATTAGGTCATGTTCCATAAGTGCGTTGACTACTTACAAGCCGCCCATCTATGAAAAAAAGAAGTAAAAAGTTAAGATAGGAAAGAGAAAAAAGAAACGAAACTGAAAGAAGCGGTGATGTCTATGCACTTTTTCCAACCCTCTAAAACCCCGTACTTTTCAAGATCCCAGAAAACACAAAAAAGAATCAAAAGAGAGGAAAGTCAAAAGGAAAGTAAAGATAAGAGAAAGATTAATATCTGTCCAGGTCGAGGGGCACTTCCTGGATAGCAACTTCGGAACCTGCGGGACAGGCAACTTCCGCTGCGTCCCATCGGCCCGGTGCATGATATCACTTATCGAGGGACCCTTTGACGCAGCTGCACCGAGAGACGTGGTGGCAGTGGTTGAAGATGGAGTGAGCGGCGAAGAGTAGGTCGAGTGAGTGAGAGTGGAGTGGGAAGAGGAGGTATCCGTGTGTGGCTCCATGGGCGCGAGGGCGGGGGCAGGCGCATGGGCAGCCAGACTGAGCTGTCGTATGGAGGGCAGCTGGAGGTCCGGGGAGGCGTAGGAGTAAGGTCGCAGCCTGGGCGAGTGGGCGGGCGTGGCTAGCGGGGTGTGGTCTGGCGTAGGCGAGAGAGAGGAGTGGGAGAGGGTGGGAGACGAGGGCGCGGTGGAGTTTGGCGAGGAGGGACGAGACCGCTTAGCTCTGTAGCTGTAGTGGTTGTGGTTGTGGTGGTTGTGATGGTGGTGGTCTTCGTCTGAGTGAGAGCGGGTCATGGAGATGGCGTATGCTGAGAGAGAGGGCAGCCTGGCTGAGGATGGTATCTGGGAGCTGGCAGAGCTGGCAGCAGAAGAGATGATGCTGCTGGCGGTGGTGGTGACAGGGGTGGAGGGAGCAGTCATCGTCGGGGGGTAGTGGTGGTACGAGGTGCGGTGCCTGTAAGTCGATGACGTCGATGAAGCAGGAATAGTTGAGTCTCGCTCGACCTGGCTGGCGGCCGAGGCGAGCATGTTGATGTCCATGGTCGAGGTCGTGGCAGAGGCGGGCGCAGAGACGGTGACGGGCCTGGCATAGGGGTTGAGCGTGCTGGGCGAGTGAGCCGCATAGGGCACGGCGTACGAGTGAGGCGGCGAGACGTTGGGAGACACCGCCTGGCTGACGGGCGCCGACCTCACCACCTTGCCTGCGTCTATCTGGTGCTGAGGATGCTGCTGGTGGTGCTGGGGGTGGTGCTGGCTGTGGTGGTGGTGGTGGTGGTGGTGCTTGCCGGGCTTCCGGGGGTTGCTGTGGATGCGCGAGTGCCTGGTGAGCTCGTCGGACCGGCTGAAGCGCTTTGCGCACCCGGGGAAGAGGCAGGCGTGCGGCTTCTCGCCGGTGTGCGTGCGGATGTGTCGAGTCTGGTGCTCGAGGCGGTGGAAGGCCCTTTCGCAGAGCGGGCACTTGTACGGCCGCGGCAGCTCCGGCTTCTCGTCAGGCATTTTCTCTCTATCTTCTTCTTCTTCTTTTTCTTTATCTTCTTCTTTATCTTCTATATCTTCTTCTAGTAATGGTTGGTGTTGGTGGTGATGTTGGTGGTGGTAGTAATAGTGGTGGTGGTAGAGTCTGGGGAAGGCTGTCCTTAAGTAGTGCTAAGAAAGCAGCCGGTGCTAAGAGGCACAAAGTTGTCCCCAAGAAACCCCCAAGTCGCTGCCCCCCCAAAAGTGGCCCCAAGTCTCCGGCTGTTCGAGTCTCAAGAGTCAGCCGAGCCAGCCTGGCCAAGCGCAAGGTCAGCACGTCGAGTCAGTCGCTGTAGTCAGGAGTGGACAGCAGTAGATCAGTAGATGGAGAGCAGTGAATGCAGAGCAAGAGAGTAGAGTACGGGAGCAAGCAGGACGACCTTTTTCACGGAGATCGAGAAGAGTTCGAAGAGTTCAAGCGTTCAAGCAGACAAGCTGGAGCCTTAAAGAAGGAACGCGGAAAAAAAAAATAGGACGAAAAAGACGAAACGCAAAAAAGAGTAAAAAAAAAAGAGAAAAAAAAAAAAAAAAGAAGTGAAAAAAAGAAAAAACCTCTGACCACCCAAGAAAACCCCACAAAGTGTACTTTTTGCTACTTTCTCTGCCTTACTCTCTCTTTGCTGTCTTTTTTACTTCCTTCTCCACGCACTAAAACCAACCGAGACAAGACTTCCTTTTCCCTTTCGACTTCTTCCCTCACGCCCTTTGACTGCCAGCTCTTCTTCTCTTACTGCTTTTACTCTTCGTCTCCTGCTTGCCGACTTCTTTACTCTAACCCACGAGGTCGTCCTTGGCCCTTCCGACTCGTCAGTCCCTTAGTCTCTTACTCTTTACTGTCTTTTTACTGTCTTTTACTGTCTTTTTACTCTCGCCACCCCGTCAGGCCACGCGGAGTCCCCTTTCTTGTCCTTCCCCTTTCTCTCTTCCTTCTCCATCTCCTTCTCCATCCTCGTCCTCTTTTTATTCGCCTTCCTTAACCCCCTTTTTTCGGTGGCCTCTGGGGATCTTCTTGGGTCTCTTGTCCCTCGTCCACTGAAACGACCTCGGCTCATCACGCCATCTACCTTCCCCTGGCCTTGCCTTGGTCTTCCTTTTGCCTGTCCTTAACTACGCCTCCTTTTCTCCAGCTTTCTCCGACCATCGACACGAAGATGATCCGGGGCAGAGAGGCTTTTCTTTCTTTTTCTTTTTTGCAATCCTGCCTGCCTGGCCTGTCCTATCGCCTCGTCTCGTTCGCCCAAGGAAAAGACCATCTTCAGCCACGCCACCTTTCGGCATGACATGGCATGGGGAGACGGACAGGGACATGGAGTCACTCACCACATGCATGCACTGACAGGCACAGACACTCCAGACACTCCAGACACTCCAGTTCCTCTAGTGCAGTTATTCACTCTAGTGTATACGCAGTTATGTACTTACGTTGGTATAATTAGTCACTGGTACGTACTCTGCTGCTAATTAATTAATATCTCCCACTGCCCAGCCTACCTTGATGGCCAAGGCCGGGAAGACGGAAGGTCGGGAGATGACGGATGGGATGACGATGATGATGAGAAATAAAGAAAAGAAGAAAGAAAAAAAGGTTGCTAAGTGATTAACTCGAGATCTCCCGGGGCTGGCTTCCGGTCGGCCACTGTTACCGAAGAGTGACAGTTACATGCAGTTACGGAGTTACTTATACTTAGCACTTTAGCCCTGTCGATAGCAGGAAGCTTCCTAGCTCGTTAAAGACGGGTAGATAGAGATAGCTTGATACTTATCTAGGTCGGCTAATGACATGATATGGACATGATATGGACATGAGTGATCATCCTCGGTAAAGCACAAGAGATGGTCAGAGATAGCCAGAGATACATAGCAAGAAGAGATAAGTCATGATGTGAGGTGCATCTCGAAAGGGGCTGACTACTCGCCACTTCAACAGCAACGCCCCATGGGTTTCTCCATCTCTCCATCTCTCCATTACTCCATCTCCATCGCCATCGCCATCGCCATCTCCATATCTCCATTGTCTTTTCATCTCTTCATCTTCATCTCGCTTGGACGATAGGCGATGTCTCTCTGCCTCTCCTGGCTCTACTTATCTCTAGCGGGGAGCTTCCATGCAAGGCACCCGGCGTCTCCGCAGCCAGGGCCGGACAAGAGGGTGTTGCACTGCTCTTCTCCCCTTCTCTCCGTCAGGTACCTAAAGCTACCTCTCTTCTCTTCTCCCTTTTCGTCTTCGATGACGGGATATCAATATGCATCAACTACGGTCGACGTAATGCTCGACTGGCCAGCTTAACGTTAATCGTTAATAGCTCGTTGTTGCATGGTCACATCCCCGGTCTATCCCGGTAAACCACTCACCCTCCCTCGCATCCATGGTAGGCCGGTACATACATACATAGTTACAGCACGGAGAATACTCACCATCCAGACCGGAATAAAGAAATGCTTATTTCTGCACATCTATACTACTAAAGTCCAATCCAGTCGAGTCTAGAAGAGTGATGCCATCGCATATCATACGATAACGATGATTCTTCAGCTTGCTTGTCCTTGCTTGAAGGATGGATGGGCGGGCGGGCGTGCATGGCTTCGAGCAGAACTCTAGAACTCTCGACTGCAGCTCAATATCCGGGTAACTGCATACGGAGAAAATCCCTCTCTTGTGCAACCCTCCATCCATGTATGTATATGTATCTATGGGGTGTATACGGGTGTAAGTACCAGGTACTTGCTTTGGACTACCCGCGTAACTCACTCATACTATACTTGCACTGCTCACTGCTCACTACCCACAGACCACTCTTGCTTCTGAAGAGACAGGGGTGCTGCCGGTCTAGCTCACTGTTCGACTACCAGGTAGTCACTCGTCACTCACCTACTGTGTTTACCCTCCTGCATTCACTCACACAGTCGAGTGACGGACTTGCTTCCTGTTTCCTCTTTTTCCTATTTAATTTTACTTTCTTCTTTTCTTCTTCTCTATCATACACACAGACATCATTATACCACATAACAGGCGCATTCAAGGGATTGTGGGCTCTTCACAGAGCTGAGACCGGTGAGGTTACATTGATGTTCAAGGCATGCGTGTCTCCTGAACTTTTCTCTAGATACTTTTCATATTCTAATATCTACAAGTCGTCTACTAGCACAACTTTTAGCACCTTCCAAGTGCCGTGCCACAGCATCACTTTCATGTGTTGCCGCTTCAAAACTATTGACTGGGCTTCCAGAGGGAACACTCCAGATCACATATAATAGCATCAGTCAACAAGGGGGGACCATCATATACACAATAAGTATTAAGGAGGCCAACAGACTAGCAGAGGCCTTGGGTTATCCAGCGTTTACCTCTCAGACCATGACCGAGCAGAGGAAGTGCATTATCGACGGATTATCATCCGGCTCTATGCCCACTGTCATAGCAACATCTGGGCTGGGGGCCGGGGCGGACTTCCCTCCTAGTCGACACAGTCATACACTGGCAGGGGACGCTAATGATCTATTTTCATCACTAGTATTTTCCTAGTTACAGCTGGTTTCGAGAATCCCATTTAACACCGGCGACATCATCGGGCAGGACATACCTCCGGCACCGCACAAGGTCATCATGACGCCGTTGTAAGGGGTCTGCTAGAAAGTAAGTATTATTATATTATATAAAGTGGTTTTATAGAAACATGCTAACAGCTCAATTCTATAGTATAAAGGGAACTCTAGACAAGCTTGGAGGGCTTGATGGGGCCATACAATGCTAAACGGTCCAATGCTGCCGGGCTAGAGGAATGGCACGAAACCAGTTAACGCCCCCCCCACCCAATGGAGGACAAGATGGCATTCCTATGCTGCTGGAGAACTTCTTGAGAAACGGCATGAGACGAATTGAAAGAGTATATTAAGGGGAGGTATGAAAAGGCTAACCCCAAACCTCCATCCTGTCGTTCGGGCAATATAATTCATTTATATGCGGAGATTATGTGCGGAGAAAGTGCGGTCTCTTCTCGACCAGAAAGTAATCTACAAATATAGTAGGTAATTCTCCTATTCCATCAATTAAACCGTATTATACGTCAACATCACTATCCCACCGCTTCTTGTTTATACCAATCTGGACTGGAGATGGTAAATATTCATGTGAATCCCGGGAACTATCCTCAAATTCAGAGAAAGTTGGCCGAGCAGAGTCGCACGAGTATCTTCATGCATAATTAGTGCTACTTCCTAAGCAAATACTCCATGTATAAGCCTGTGTCATGGTATTTATATACGGCATTGGTAGGCGGCCGGTTAGACGCACGGGAATGCCCGATGGAACGGCATGTAGCCCCCGGCTCGCTGTCCGTTCCCCAAGTGCATGTCTCAGGCCAGCAACACTAGCTATTCTCATGTAGTTCCAATCCTGTATTCTCCTGCATAATGAGCCTGCATTGCGGACGGAAGGGGAGGGGTAACTCCTGCATCCGGCATATCCTCTTGGGTATGCATCTTTCTGCATGAGGACTTTTTTCTCCGTAGCGGGCGAGCATGATTGTTGTTGATGTCGCATTCTGTTACAACGGGACCCCTGGATTTTTCGTTGTCAGGCCCACAGAGCTCCACCAATCTCAATTTTCATCTGTGGCTCCGCACGTAAGACGTTAACACCGCGCACAACAGTGATAGAAGTTGTCATCCTTGTCTCCTTCTCGACCCTACCATTTCAATGTCCGCATTGAGAGGAGCTTGTCAGTTTCCAAGGTTGCAATGCCATGGCCAACAGACTAGCTATCGGTACTACTCTTTGAAACATGTAGTCTACTGGTTATGCGTTGGCTGATTCTAGAGGCATTAACGAACAGAACTGATGGCGAATTTTTTACCCATTTCACTGGTTACCTGTGTTACGACTCATATTTGGCTTCAACAGTCGTTGGCAAATACGGAGTATTCAGCAATGGATGGGCTGGCTTTGCTTTCTGCTCTTCGCCTAAAGATTTGGCTATCACTAGTCAGTTAGAGCGGTCAACATACTTTCCTATGACTTCACCCAGCCCGGCTTCCCAGATACCCTATAGCTATTGTTCCTCTCACACACACCATACCCTGCAGGTCAAGTCTTCGCTTTTAAACAGCAACCGACTCTGGCTACCAAGACCGTTAATTCTGCGGTCTATGTCCTTGGAATAATAATTTGTCAATATGAAACCCCAAATAGGCTGACTTGGCAGCTTCCAAGGTTTATGTGTGTTCAACGCTTTCTCTTTGAGGAAGTCGTGACTCGCTAGGTCGCGGCTGCCTCTTTTAGGGCTGAACGGGATGGCGTTTGAACTCTAAATGGAGGCTCAAAACTTTACTTTTGTTTACATTTTGCTTCTTTCTTTGGACGGAATCAACAACCACAAGCTCGTTTCTTATCACATAACTACTCTGTAGTTAATAGCAATATATCTATATACCCAAGAGAGCCAGCAGCAACCATGGCTATTAAAGCGAGTGACAAGGAGCTACTCACACGTTTCTCCCGCCCTCTTAGCAGCATCGTCACAATCCCCAATGAACCAGCGAAACCATTAGCTCTCGAATGTCGCCCCGGTCAATTGTCCATAGGCATGCTTGGCCGGCTACCCCTAGAGATCTTTTATGACATCCTATACACGCTAGATCTTGAGTCTCTATTCAGTTTTCTATGTGTATGTAGGCGTGGATATCTGATGGCCATGGCCATGCTGAGGCACCGCAGGCTTCTAGAGTACATACCTGGTACTATTTCAGCACTTCGACGAACGGGCCTCGGTAGCCAATACACGATAAAGAGTCTATATGAGCTTTTACGCACCAGGGACTGCGTCGCGTGCGGAGAGTTTGGCGGATTCTTGTTTCTCCCAACTGGCGAGAGATGCTGCCATACCTGCTTGGCCTTGAACCAGACTTTTTGGGTGGCTTCTGTTGGAATGTTGCAGGCTCATTTCGGTCTTCCGGCTCATAAGCTGGAAAAGTTAGTTGTCATGGAAGCTGTTCCAGGCAAATATATATATAACGATGTTGAGCATGGTGAACTTCTGGGTCTCGTTATGGTCAAAGACGCAGTGGAGCTTGCACTGGCAGAGGGGTTATCTGTAAACGGAAATAGGACATACCTCCGGAAAACAAAGCAACGCATCGATACCTCTGCTTGGCTCGATCTCCGTGATATGGCTCTAGTGGAGAAAAAGAGACCTGTGAAAAGGCAGCCAAGATACGAGGCCCGGGTTCCGAATGGTGGCTATCCATTGTGGTTAGGTGCGAAACCAAATGAGTTCTACGGCATGGCTTCTACACGACTCCCCCACCTGCTACCGGACAAGACTCTTGAATTTGGCCTTATTTGCAAAGGATGTGAGGGGGAGTATTCCTATCTCATGCCCAAGAGTGAATTTCTACGCCATGCTCGGGTGTGCATCGGGGTTTCCAGGAAGCTCAGAGGTGGAGACAAGCTCCCAGGCTTGAAGCTCAGAGTATGGCATTGAGTGGCTTGTATGATCCATCGTCATCGTCACTACTACTTCCCATTATCATTATCGTTATCATAATAGAATCAAACTGTCCCTTTGAACAAAACTTTGGTACGAAACTATTAGTAAGCTTAATAATCACCCCACGCGAGTTTGAAAGTCAAATCGTCATCGAAACCTTAAAAAAAAGGGAAAAAAGGACGAAGGAAGAAAGAAAAGAAACATCGACAGCGACGTCGGCTTTTGACATCTCGACAGCTTTGCCAGACATGCTCGCTTCTGCTCCTCATCCTCTCGTTTATGCTTCGCTCTTTCGCTCGCTACTCTCCAATTAGCACTCCAGCCCTCACTCGACCGTGACCCTTGCAGACTCTCTCTTCTTACGCTCTCAGTAAAATACCGCAATCGACGGTCTTGTTCAAAATCCCTTAACCCTCATGGCTCCTCCCCGCCAGCGTCCCGTGCCCGTGTCTGCTGCCTCGGCTGGTTCTTCTGCTTCCGCTGCTGCTGCTGCTACTGCACCAACGGCTGCGACGGCTGCCAGCGCTATCCTAGATGACTCGCGGTCGGAAGCATCCAGCACCCGCGAGCGGCAGGGCACCACCAAGGGCCGCAAGCCCGCAGCAGCCACAGCCTCTTCTGCCGCAGCAAACACTTCTGCTCCCAGCACGGGCTCGAATGCAGCGTTGAAGGAAGGCAAGGGCCCTGCTGCAGATCCACGCATGGACGAGAACAGCATTATCGAGTCCCAGGCTTCTGTACGTCTTTGATCCCGCGCAAGACACGCCTGCATACATACCTCATGAACAACTCTAACAGGAACAAACAACAGATAAACTGGACCACCATGCCCCTGCCCGTCCTACACGAATACCGCTACGCCTATAACCTTTCCTGCCCCAGCGCGTTCTCGTCACAGATAAACTCCATTCTCCTATCACAAGGGCCCGGTCTAGGCTCCGCAACGGCCATCTCCATCAAACGCAGACAGCTGTTGCAGCAGTCGCAATCAGAACGACAACAATACGATGACAGCATGCAGATCGACACTGACATGGACGCCAAATCGAGGCAGGAAGCGTCCAACACGGGGCGGCCGGACAAAGTGTTGCACCGTCTCTCGGCTCCGGCACAGGGACGAGTATCCAAGACACAACTTGCGTCTGCCGTGCGGAAACATTTTAACAACACAGCTATATCGGAGCAAGATGCCATTGCTCGGTTTTTGTATAAAGTCAACGAGGAGAGGAGGGGAAAAGAGTTCCGGCTTCGGTTCCAGCCATAGAACGAGCCACGGCTCAAACTTCTGCCTCGGCTTCTTTTCTCCCCCCTTTATTTTTGCTCACGTAACGGCGTTCGGTCCATTTGCTTCCGTTTTACATATTTATTTACTATTGATAGATACCCTGCAAGCGAAAGATTTGCTCTCCATCTGTATAAATAAACTAGAGAACATAAAGAATAATTGAATACCTCCAGTCTTTTTTGATGGAAAAATGAAACGGTCGGAAAAGGAGTTGCCACTGTATATTTCTATAGGTCTACCCTTCCCCCCTTTTATATGAACAACAATTGAAATATATCGACTTCGACAGACTGCTCCTGTGCAACGGATAGATGCGGAATGAAATTTTATATAGAAGGAAAGATGTAAGTTTAAAAATAAAATATAATAAGTTGTATTTCAATCCTAAACCTTACTCCATTTGCCCAGGTTGACTCTCTGGGTGGCCCGAGCCTAGATTCCATATATTCTGTCTTAGCCCTTTTTTGCATATTTTTCATTCATTCGTGTTCATGCTACTTTCTGCTCTGCCATGTACTTTTACTTCCATGCATTCAGTCCCGCCCATGGGTCATTCTGAGCCTGGGACTGAGAAGGTTGGTTTGCCCGGTGGGATGGCTGGCTGGGAGGATAGTTGCTGGTTGGTTGTTGGTATCCCCCTTGCCCCTGGCCAGGTGAGTTATATTGTACTGGGGAGTGGCGTGGGGGTGGCGGAGGAGGCACGTAGCCTTGCGGTAAATATTGAGGAGTATGGCTTGGTGGGATCTGGGGTTGAGGTATGGGTGATGAGCCTGGATAGCCACCATATGAGGACGGGCTGGCGTAGTATTGTTGCAGTGGGGGAGGAGAGGTCGGTGGTTGTTGATACAGGTAGGCCATGGGGTTGTATGCTTCCGGGTTCACATGTTGGGCGTATGGTTGTTGAGGGGGGTAACCATCAGTGGGCGACATGCCATTATTGCTTGGGTAGGCAATGGGTGGGTAACCGGTTGAAGTGGAGGGAGGGTATTGGGCTGCGATAGGGGATCGGGTTGGAGGTTGCTGTGGTGGCAGGCCTGAGTGGGTAGGTGATTTGGCTGTATTGGCTGTCCGTTTGGGTGCTGGAGGAGGTGGAGTAGATGACGAAGACGCTGGATCAACTGATAGCCGCTCCATCAAGTTCTTCAACTTTTCTCGTTCACGTTCTTCGTGGCCTGATGCTTGGGCAGCTTTATCCCGTTCGATCTGGCTAAGCAGCTGGGCTCCTTCGGACCGCCGGTTGTTGAGGAAAGTCTCAACGTTCTGCTGTAAATTGTCGATTGTGTCGCGCATCTGCATATAGAACGCTTGAGCCTGGCTTAAGCCGTTGAGAAGCTCGTTGAATGCTTTATGTGCCTTTCTGTACTTGGATGTCACGGAGTTCCGCTGCTTGGTGAGGACTTCATATTTTGACTTCTCTGCCCTCACGCGCTTGTCCTGTAGCAGATCACCATATACCTTGGCCAACTCTTTCATAAGACCACTTTGCTTATGATTTGCTTGAAGGAGCCGGTTTTGATGAGGCCTAAACTTCTCTAACTCTGTTTGGAAGAGCTGGTCCTCTTGGTTGGCAATTGACTTCTTGTTGAGAATAAGAACGTTGGAGATATCATCATTGTGAACCTGGTAGTATTTGTTAGATATCTGGTTATAGCAAGTAACGGGTCAATTTGCTACACAACTCACCTTTTCTTTTAGGTCCTTCAAGGTCTGCATTCTGTCCCTCTTAACAAGGTTCAATTTCCGAAGCAGCTCCTCAACTCTTGCAATCTGGTCTGCTACAGATAGGCCTCCTTCCCCATAGTCTGCTTCCAAAAGGTTTCCCTCAGGAGCTCTATTGCTATATGGGCTCCCTGGCACAGCACCATTCTTCCCTGGCTTCGAGCCGGCTGCAATAAGCGCCTTCTGGAAAAGAATATCTGCCTCACCGGCTTCGCCGGCTGCACGCATTTCCTCAAAGTCCGACTCATGTTGCCGTAGAGTAACCAGTAGTTGGGAGTCACTCGAGCTGGCTTCATCAATGGTCTCACGATAGCTTCTTATATCTGACCGCAGGGTCGAGGTAAGGCGCGAACTTGGTTGCTGTGTCCAGTCGGCTCCGTATTTTGAGCGCATTTTCTCGCACACGCTCTCCTCAGTGTCCAGCTGCTTGGTACATTGCTCCAGAGTGGAAAGCAATGAGGCCTTGTCGTCCTGTAGGTCCTCAAGGGTGCCTCTAAACGGTTCCTGACAAGAGACTTCTTCGCACCAGGTCCTGAACTCTTCATCAGCAGCCAGCTGGTCGTCCAAACCCCCCTTGAGGATGTCTAAGCTACCAGGTAGCTTCAGGTAGTCTAAACTGGCTGCCATCTCTCCGTTGGCAGCTTCAACCTTTTCTGTTTCAGCGCGGACAAGCTTGGCCTTCTCTTCGTCGTACAAACTTGCGGACTCGGTAACGGACATTGGCACTATTCGCTGAAATATGTCCGGTCCAATTATCCGCTGGATATCCTGGCCTTGGTACAGTTCACTGACAGGAATAGCTTTTGCAGCTGGCAGCTTGGCAACCGGTGAGACCGATGCTTCTGCTGGAACTTGTTGGTGATAAATGAAGTCATTATCTTTCCTCATTGACGGTAGCTTTTCTTGAACGGTAGACAGCTGCCGTCGTACCATGTCCAGTAGCACCATTCCATTTTCGGAAGTAAGATTAGAGCCAGAGGGTACGGATGATGGGAACGACTTCGCCATGCTAATTGCCGCCGTTGAGGCCTTCTCTGCTATCTGTAGCCGTGCAATGGCCACCCCGTACATCCCGCCCTCCTCATCAGCCATGGCTTGGTAGTAAGAAGCCAAGGAAGACATATGTGAGGCCTTTGCAGAAGTCAGAATCCACCATACCTTCTCAAATATTCCCTTGGTAACGTTTTCCTGTACACCCTCGGCGGCCTGGGTGAACAGATGAGCGGCATGGCTGGCTAGCTTGGCTAAGAAGCCCGGTTTCTTCCCATCAGCAATCTGTTTCTCGAGGAAGACTTCCTGCGCCTGAGCAAGAGTGATGGATATCATCGTCTTAACCGTATCCCGGCTCAAATCAGTCGAAGGAGCATGCAAGAAGTTGTCGTTGATGTAGGTGAACATGCCGGCGGAGGCCTGGAATGAGTGGTATGCAGTCTTCAGTCCGGTGTCCTCGGCACGGTTTTGGTTGGCAGCATGGCAGGATAGGACGGCGGAGATGTTGAATATGATGGAGGCCTTCTCGTAGGCCAGAGAGTATTGGGATGTTGCCTTGTGCGTGAAGGCATCGTACCTAGATTGCAATTCAACACCTGGTCAGTCCTGTACAGATCTCTCCTCCTTTTGTAGGCAACAAAAAATAACTAGGGAGCCGTACCAGGTAAAGGATATCTTGATATGATTCTCGTCAACAGGAAAACGGAGATCCAGCAGTTCTAGCTGCCCGTAGTACCGGTAGAGCAGGTCTCTCCCAGAAGCGCTGTCCTTGCCGGCGCCTCTCATGTCCTGCCGCAGCCTGTTCAAGGTAGCGCATTCTTCCGAATACCGCTCCGGGTCATCACCGTAGGTCTGCCTGATATATCCCTTGAGCGGAGCGATCCAGTCTATCTCGGCTGTTTGCTTGAGCGGGCACGATATCATGGGCGACTGCACCATCGTGACGGATATGGCGGCCGCAAGAGGCAGCACTCTCTTCCCCCAGCGGACGACAAACCTGCTCCGAGACGAAGCCGATACACCGCAGCAATTGTAGAGCAGCTAGAGTATCGTGCAGGGACGATGCGACTGGATTCTCTGCTGGCTTCGTTGGGCTCGTAGTGCGGGCGCCCTCGGCGGAGGATGTGGGGGATGGGAGCGGGCGATGTATGTACCTAGCTGTGTCGTCACCGAAGAGAGGGACCTGGCGTGGTCTGGTCAGCAGCGAGCGGACATGCGCTGTCTTGTCTTTCGGTCTGTCTCTGTGTGTTGATGTCTGTCTGGCGTCCTGGTGGCGGTTCTTGTAGCTACCAGGGCTGGTTTAACTAGTAAATAAGTTATGTCTGAAGGCGGAGGATGAGGATGATGAAGATGAAGGAGTTGCGGGTAAGATGTGCAAGAGTCGACCGGCGAGCCTATCATGAAGACGGCGGCAACGAAGAATCAAGCTGCCTGAAGAACTTCCGTCTTTTTTCTTTTTTTTCTTCTTCTCTTTTTCTTCTTCTTCCTTCTGCTGCTTGTCTCTTATGGATGGCCTAATGGGCTTTAAGTGTATCAGTGAATTACCCGCATGATGGCGCGGGCTGGGCATCACCAGCTTACAATTACTACAACCGCTCTCAGAGTCTCCATCTCGACCCTCGAGACATCCTGGCCTTCACACCCTACTGGCGCCACTATCACAGCCGAATCCTTGCTGCTGAAAGTATGGCATCCGCTCAGTAGGCCCGAGATGCTGCTCTACCGCCACAGATTGGCTGGATGGCTGTTTCAGCCCGGCAGAGCATCAGAAAGGCTAGATATATACATACATCGTGTGGAGGAAGCACAGGTGCAAGGCGGACGAGAGGAGATGGATGAGAGCTATCACTATCATACAGCGTATTCCATGTCCTATCTATAAGGACTTGCCCCAATACATACATGATTAAAGGTGGTAGAAAACATAGAGGGCCGTTTCGACTCGACGAAGCGGTAGATGACTTCTCTCGCCTCGGGAACCCAATAGGAGACGGTCTTCCCCGTCATCGAGATGTTGGAAGTGCAGGGTAGTGTAGATTATCCAACAAGGAGCCATAGTTGTACATATGGTGTTTGTTGGTGATCTTGTAGACTAATACCAGCTCTGTCTAGAGAGCACGATATTGGCCGCCGAGGAAGGTCTCACTTGTGGCCAAAGCATGGATTCATTCACTGCTCTAAGGACCGCCAGACAGTAGTCGAACATCCGCGCAAGTCTACCCAAAGCGATACTTCGCCTATTTTAGGGATTTCAATTGTGCGATGACCGTAATAGCCCCGGGAGCGCATCGGTCCCAAGACCTGCTGGATGAAGCGGCAGGCTGAGCTCGTCATTGAGCCTGCAGAGGCCTCTTCCTTTTGGAGTGGAATCTAGGGGATATGTTAGTTACACCTTATATAGTCAAGAGAAAATATGGCACTCACTAAGATGCCCTATTCTGCGTCAAGGCTACGGCATTTCGAGAAACCGGTGTCCCTAAGTAGCCTAGAAAAGGCCACCTTCATAAGTTGAGAGGCTGAAGAGTCTTCGAAGGAAGAATATAGGCCGTAAACTGTAAAGAGAAATCTAAGTAGTAACAGACGGTGCCAGAAGATGAAAAGTAACAAGTTTGTCCATCGAAAAATGCAGAGTGAAGAGTGCATGTAACAAACAAGAGACGCGAGACGAGAAGCAAGTCGATAAAACAACTGTAAGATGCTCGTTCAAATGAGGTTTGTTATGGGGTGATGGGGATTATATAGAAGAAACATAATGTACAGTCAGGAAAAAGGAGTTACAAACGTTTTATGCAAAAAGATACACCTCGCCCAACGCTATGAGAAAGAGGGAAAAGCAAAGTGGACAAGAGGGCTGCAGACGGTAAGGCGGCCCGTCTATCAACTAACCAGATCCAGATCCCGATGCCTTTTTAGACTCTTTAGGTTGATCGGACTCCTTGGGCTGATCTGGCTGTGTCTCGGGCCCCTTTTTGTCGGTAGAGTCTGATGGGCCTGTGCTGGAGCTCGTCGAACATGAATTGCGATGGTTCATCAGCTTGTCCCAGGCGGACTTGATGAATCCCTGGCCCTTTTGTGCGTTGTCTGCTTTGTCGGTAGAGGACTTGGTTGAAGAACTGAGGGACATATGTTAGCTTAAGCTTGAAATATGCGGAGTGCGCTCGGCTGATCAGCTTACCCGTCTGGCTTCATGTCGTTAACGTTCATGATTCGTTTCGCGGTCTTGTCTCCCATCTCATCTGCGAGAACTTCAAGGATTGTTCGCTGGTTGGGAGTTAGAGATCTCGGCATAGTGACCTTGAATTCCACCTTCAAGTCACCATTGCCCGCTCTTCGGCCACCAAGCTTTCGCATACCCATTCCAGGCAAGGTAATTTTATCACCAGTTCCCGTTCCAGTGCCAACTCTGACCTTGGCCTCTCCGTCGAGTGTCGGAACGGTAACTTCACCTCCTAGCAGGGCGGTTGTGAGAGGTATGGCGGCAGTATATAGGACATCCGACCCAGATCGGTTGAATCTGCGGTCAGCGGCAACCCGTATGAAGACAAAGAGGTTTCCTCGCTGCGTGCGGGCTCCTGGCTCTGCCATGGGCGCATCACCTTCACCTGCAACCCGCAGCCTCATGCCATCCTCCACACCACCGGGAATATCAACTTTGACAGTTCGTCGTTCTCGGACAACGCCTCCACCACTGCATGTGTTGCATTCGGCGCCCCTGGGGATCGAAGACCCAGTTCCACTACACGCCCCGCATGTGCTCTGCATCTGGAAGCCCTGGATAACGTGGATCTGTGCTCCAGTTCCCCCACAGGTGCTGCAGCGTGATCGTTTCTTGCCGTCCTTCAAACCTTCTCCCTTGCATGAGTTGCATGTAACCAACGGTGTGATATTAATTTCCTTTGTGGTTCCCTTGGCGGACTCCATGAATGAGATGTTCGCCTGAACCTCGATGTCGTCTCCAACAGCAACGCTAGAGAAAGGGGACCCGTGTCCGCGTGGGTTGCGACCAGTAGCTTTCGCAAAGGCACCGAAGATGTCGTCGAAATTAATATCCGCAGAGAATCCTCCACCAAAACCGCCGCCGCTTCCAAAGCCGCCAAAGCCATGGAAGCCACCCGCTCCTCCAAATGGCCCACCACCAGCAGCGCCAGGGTTGAAGCCGCCATTCTGGTCGAACGCAGCGGACCCGTAGGTATCGTAAGCCTTTTTCTTCTCGGGGTCAGATAGAGTCTCGTAGGCGGTTTGGGCTTCGGCAAATTTGTCTTTGGCGTTGGGGTCTTTGTTTGTATCCGGGTGAAACTTCTTAGCCAGCCCGTAGTATGCTCGTTTAATTTCTGAGGCTGATGCATCTTTCCCAACTCCCAGGACATTGTAAGGGTTTTTTGCAGCTTCGGCGGGAGCAGTCGCATGGAATTTCTACATAACTTGTTAGCCCACTTTTGCCATTCAGCTTACGCAATAACCGGCTTACTCTTGTCGATTGATTCAATGACTGCGCATTCTTTGATCTAATGGCAGGCCTCTGGCTATTCCGCGTCTTGGAATCAGTCTGATATGGCCGTGACTGTACATGGCGGTTGACGTCCAGACATTGGCTTCTATACGGCCTCGATGTCCGCAGCAGACGGCAGGGAACAGAGGCTGCAAGCGGCAGCCCAGGCGCAGTGACACTCATGGAGAAGCAATTATAAAAGAGAATAGCTATATCAATTGTATATATCACTGAGATGAGAGGCCGTTTCTTCGTCTTCGACTTCTTCGTCGCCTTCTTCTCCTCGTCTTTCTCGTCTTTGTCTTTTCGAAGGTTCAAGAAAAAAAAACAGAGTTTCCCGGAGCTTCGGCAAAATACTTTCTCCAGTTCTGACTTGCTGACTAATAGATCGAAAAAACGACATCCAACCGGCAAATCTTGAGCATTTCGTCCGTCTTGCTCTTCTATCGTGTTCACTTTTCTCGTCAGCTAGGGGAATTGGTGGTCTTTGAAGGGCAGTGGAGTGTCTTTTTTTATTATTGCTTGTATTATAGTTAATTTGGCCATTGGTCGTTACCAGCTCGAATCGCTCTCTTCTTTCGTTTAGGCGACGCTGTTGAGAGGATGTTTCGGGGCATCAGCCTTCCGTTGAGAGCAGCTCTTCGCCGGAGCTCCCAGGATATCCGATATAGGGCCTACAATCCCGGGTTTAGACAGATCGCATTCTCACATTCAAATATTCAAGCTTCTCGATTACAGCTGTCGCGTGGCCTCTCCTCTACTCCAACCCGGCGAAAAGAGAAGCCGTCTCCACCGCAGCCGAAGAAGGAAAAGGATCAAGGGACCGATGCGGAGACAGAGCTCGAAGAGAAGATAAAACCGGAAGAACCCTCAGAGGGGAAGAATAAGCCAGATGAACCAAGCCCCATTCCGCCTTCAGAGAGCCGGTCTGACTCGAGACCGAGCCAGGGAAGTGGCTCTGTAGCTGGAGCTGGAGCTGGAGCGGGCGGAAGCTCAGGTAGCGGAGGCGGTGATGGGGGGAGGAGAGGGAAGAAAGGTTCTTCTGAAAAGGCGCTCCAGAAGCCGACTATACCGGATGTCTACCCACAAGTGATGGCGATCCCGATTGCTCGACGACCTCTGTTCCCCGGATTCTATAAGGCCATCACAATCAAAGATCCAAATGTTGTTTCCGCCATACAAGAGATGATGAAGCGAGGGCAACCCTACGTGGGAGCTTTCTTGTTTAAGGATGAAGCAGCAGATAAGGATGTCATTGACAACATAGACGAGGTTCATGATGTTGGTGTATTCGCACAAATTACGAGTGCTTTCCCCGTTCATGGAGACGAGAGTGGCCTTACCGCAGTCTTATATCCGCATCGGAGAATAAAGATGACCTCTATCCTCCCATCTCGTGATGGCTTGGCGAAAGAAGCCGGTAATCCGGAACAGTCGAAAGACTCGTCAGCCGAAAAGCAAGGCGACGTTGTGGCAAGTTTTGAAGAGGGAGCTTCCGAGCAAACTACAAAGGACGCCGCCCTATATGAATTATCGGCCTTTTTACGGAAATATCCCGTAAGCATAGTTAATGTGGATAACCTGGTTGAGGAACCCATCGACAAAAAGAGCCCTGTCATACGTGCGGTGACAAGTGAGATAGTCAACGTTTTCAAGGATGTTGCAAACTTGAATCCCTTGTTTCGCGACCAAATCTCTACCTTTTCCATGAGCCAGTCTGCTGGAAATGTGATAGAGGAGCCTGCTAAACTGGCCGACTTTGCTGCCGCAGTCTCTGCTGGCGAAATCAAAGAGTTACAGGACGTTCTAGAAACAATGAATGTCGAGGAACGTCTGTCGAAAGCGTTGGTTGTCCTGAAAAAGGAACTTATGAATGCCCAGCTTCAGTCCAAGATCTCAAAGGATGTTGAGGCCAAGATACAAAAACGCCAACGAGAATACTGGTTAATGGAGCAAATGAAAGGCATTCGACGGGAACTTGGTATTGAGTCTGATGGAAAGGACAAACTTGTGGAGAAGTTCAAGGAGAAAGCTGAAAAGCTTGCCATGCCTGACGTTGTGAGGAAAGTGTTCGACGAGGAATTGAATAAACTTGCACACTTGGAACCTGCAGCATCTGAGTTTAATGTTACCAGAAACTATTTAGACTGGATAACACAGATTCCATGGGGCAAACGAAGCGAGGAGAATTTCGGTATTAAGAATGCCATGAAGGTGTTAGACGAAGATCATTATGGACTGAAGGACGTCAAGGACCGAATCCTCGAGTTTATTGCTGTCGGAAAACTTCGTGGAACAGTTGAAGGAAAAATACTTTGTTTTGTTGGGCCACCCGGCGTTGGAAAAACGAGTATTGGAAAGTCGATCGCTCGTTCCTTGAATCGAGAATACTATCGATTCAGTGTTGGTGGTTTGACAGATGTGGCTGAAATTAAGGGCCACCGAAGGACCTATGTCGGAGCTCTTCCCGGCCGAATTATCCAAGCCCTCAAGAAATGCCAGACAGAAAACCCTCTCATACTCATTGATGAAGTTGATAAAATCGGAAGAGGACATCAGGGAGACCCAGCATCAGCTCTGCTAGAGCTTCTTGACCCAGAGCAAAATTCATCTTTCCTCGACCACTATATGGATATTCCCGTGGATCTCTCCAAAGTGCTTTTCGTTTGCACAGCCAACATGACGGACACTATTCCCCGTCCGTTGCTGGACCGAATGGAGCTGATTGAGCTCTCCGGCTATGTCGCTGACGAGAAAATGGCCATTGCGGAGCGATACCTTGCCCCAGCCGCCAAAGAAGTCAGCGGCCTAAAGGACGTGAATGTAAACCTTGAAAAAGAAGGCATCGAGGAGCTGATAAAATCGTATTGCCGTGAAAGTGGTGTGCGCAATCTCAAGAAACAAATCGAGAAGGTATACAGAAAAGCGGCATTAAAAATCATCCAAGGCCTACCGGAAGAAGAGGTGTCAGAGGAGAGCAAAGTTAGGGAAGAAGTGAGGGCTGAACAAGATGCCGCAAAGCGAGAGGCCGAGGCTTCAACTGAGGCTACTAGCCAAGCCCGGGAAGCTCCAAAGCTGGAAGCTGTTCAAGTTCCCTCAGATGTCCACGTCTCGATTGGGAAGGATAATCTAAAGGATTATGTCGGCCCACCTGTTTTTACTTCGGATAGACTCTATGATACTACTCCACCAGGCGTGGCAATGGGGCTCGCATGGACAAGCATGGGTGGCGCTGCGCTATATGTAGAATCAATTCTACAATCTGCGTTGACATCATCATCCCGGCCCGGCTTTGAACAGACTGGTAACTTGATGAACGTCATGAAGGAGTCTACAGTGATTGCATATTCCTTCGCTAAATCCCTTATGGCGAAAGAGTTCCCAGAGAATAAATTTTTTGACAAAGCAAGACTTCATTTGCACTGCCCTGAGGGTGCTGTCCAGAAAGATGGTACGTTCCCCACCCTGCTGGCCCTATTCTATTATTCCTAACAATGCCTTCCTTTAGGTCCTTCTGCTGGCATTACCATGGCAACTGCGCTTCTATCACTCGCCCTTAACAAATCCGTTGACCCTACTATTGCCATGACCGGTGAACTTACAGTAACCGGGAAGGTTTTACGGATAGGTGGACTGCGTGAGAAAACCGTGGCTGCTCGCAGGGCAGGAGCTAAAACTATTATATTCCCCGCAGACAATATGTCTGATTGGCTTGAACTTCCTGAGGTATGTTTCTTTGCGATTATTTATTTCCGAACGAGAACTAACTTTAAGTGTTCCCAATTAGAACATCAAGGAAGGAATAGAAGGCCATGCTGCTAGCTGGTATTCAGAAGTATTTGATATAGTGTTTGGCAATGTTGACCGACAAGTTATAAACCATCTTTGGGTCAAACAGCTTGCGGAACCAGAGAAAACCGATAAAACGATCCGGGAGGATGAAGATTAGCCCTTCTTTCATACGCATTTACTTACCTATATAGAGGCTCCTGTTTCCTTTTCATACCCTGTGATATATGTATTCCTCCTCCCCTCTACTGTTTTGCCCACTTCTTGGTCTCTTACGCATCGGTCGGAGTTGCGCTTGTGTTGTTTTTCTTCATTTTCTTCTTCATTGGTTTTCACCAAGGTCATTCCTTTATGCTAGGTAATGGACAGCGGACAGGTGGAATTCCCTTCGAGAAGAGGATATGAAAATAATGGGAAAGGGCCTGCTTACCCTGGAAGCGCAGCTTGATCTCAGCTCATATCGCTTGCTTACTGCTAGATATTTGCCCTTGTATATTAGCATTATGATAAATGATATCTATAGAATTACAATGTTTTATTCCGTTGAAGCCTCTCCGCGTCTACGACAGGTGGAGCCCGTCCAACAAGGTTTAAGCCTCAAAGTCTATCGGCCAACCTTAATTATGTATTTAAATTTTAAATTAGACTTAAACCAAATTCTATAACGGTTTGCAGAGATAAACATCGAAAAGCACACTTTTGAACTACTAAATAAAGAGAGTGGGTTACGACTACAGCAAAGAAAAACGATAAGATGCACCCTACACAGTTACTTGGAACGATATCCTTAACGTGCCAAAATCTTTTGGCAACCACAGTAATAGAGTTGAATTGAGCTTTTTAGGGTATAGTTCCATAACCGAGTCTAACACCAGAGTCACCACAGTTTAGTTCAGACTCAACTAAGGACATCTTTAAAGATAGCAGCCGCTTTCGTTTTTTTCAGCTGAGAAAGGATAAACGAAAGAATTATCCGTATAAAGTCGGTCAACTCTTCCTCATATGTTGAACTAAATGGGCCAAACTCTTGAATTTGGAGAAATGGAATACTTCCTCGAGCTGGGCTGACTTTCTGGCTGTTTGATGCAAAGATGTAATCAAGATACTTATTATCGTACGTCCCAATGCTAATGTGGAAAGTCAGATGATCCTGAGCTATCATAAAAGTATGGTATGTCCGCGCAGAGTTCTTCCACTAAAGCAGAGGCATTATTAGCAAAAAATTTTTATAAGAGGCTGCAGTATGACAGTCAAGGAGAGTTTACCGTTGTGTCCTCTTTATGCCGATTCCAAATGTAAGCGGCATGTTCCATTGACTGTTGAGCAAGAACGGGGACCCCATTTTTACCCTCGCCACGTGGCGCTCGTTTAGCCTCGAATATAATGGCTTCGCGGAGATCCTTGCCTGGGGACACACTAAAAGGAATACTGCCATCAATACGAGCCCGAAATTTTACTTCGTCCCGTAGATTTGACACATTTCTTAGGGGACCAAATTCGAATGTCGTTTCAAAAGAACCTGCCATGCACAGGGGTTTACCCCCAGCGGCTGCACAAGACTAGCTAGCCCCCTAGAAGGATAACCGCAAAATCAGTGACGAGAGTCTCTGTTGGCGTGCGGGGAAGAGGCTCATCATCCGCACGCTAACTACGGGGTGTTGGGCAGGAGATGGGCTGTCCTCAAGAGGAGAAGTACTAAGGTATCCCATATCGACATCTTCCATTTGGATATCTTCTAGGGAAAGATCTTCCACCGCAGCACCGTGGTGAGTTGGGCTTATGGGAGCCTGGTGACCATGTTGTTGCAAAGCATCGAAAAAGGGTCGTCGCCATCTCCACAGAACTCTCTAAGCGCGTATAAAGTAACATAAAAGTTTGTCGGCAATAAACTTGAGCTAGTGAACTCTGCTCTTTATTGGCTCTGAGAGCCAGTAGCTATGCCTAGCTGTACAGCTCGAAAAAGCGAGGGTAAATTTTTGGTATGATATGAAGCGGAAGAAGCAGTAACAGGTGGAAGATAAGAGTGCAAGGAGGAACGAGGACAGAAGACGAGAAGTAAGAGCGCGGGGTTTATAGGGGAAGGCCGGCGCTTAGGATGGTTGTCTGGCGAAGTTTCTAGTGAATGATTGGCTGCATTAACCGTTGGTTCTCCACCAGACAAGGTTAACAACTATCACGTGTTTCATTACTTTCCAAATCTTTCGTCCCTCATTCTTCCTATCCCTGTTCCTCCCTCTCCCTCTTGCTCTTCTTCTTCTTCTTCTCCTTCTGCATCATCCTCATCATCTTCTATCAACTTCCTATTATCGAAGAATTGCATACGTTTCAACTACATGCCAGTAGCCACGATGAATTTGGAGAGACCCGCATTCAAAACGCCGGAGCAAGTGAGCTTGGGGATGTAATGGCTCTTCAAGATCTATCTGTCATGCGCGCCAGACTCCTTTTCCTGCAGCTGGCTACAGAAAACAGAGGATCTCGAAGTGAAATGCATAGACGGCACACGCGATAAGGTAAATTTCCCGACTACTCCAGAGCTTTTAAAGGCCATCGGGAAGTGCGAGAGAGTTACCTATCCCGAAAAGCGCCTTGGTTTACCCAGCAACGGGGGATTCTCTGGCTTCATAGAGACAGGAGTCTTCCAGGTCTTTAAGGAGTTTCCAGTCGTCAAGTACAGTGAGTAAGTTAAATACCGGTATATCAAAGGCTTCTCCTCCTTATTGTTGCCTATCTCTCGTATCTCATATGATCCCATCTAATATCTCGGTTAGGCTTCATGGTCCAGTGTTTAGCAAAATTCGTGACTTGCTATATCAGTCATACCCTCGCATGATGGGACAAAGAATCTATTATGTTGAGACAAACCACTGGGTTTGCATAACAGTGGATCTCACAGGTGGGGTCGATCCGAAGCAGTCTCAGGACGATCCCAAGAGCTATCTTCTACGATCTGAATTGTTGGAGGTGTTTTCGATCTTTTACTGTCAAATGAATGAAATGACATGGAATTCTCGTATTGAGAAATACAAGCCTACCTTTAGATACAAAGAGGGGTTCCTCATGGTAAAATATTTTCCTTCCCCCTTTCGTGTGTCTGTTAAGCTTCTCTTTTTTCTCACTAATACTTGACTGAACAAAAGGCTACGGTCATGACGTTCATGTATGGAAAAGTTCGTGTCATTCAAGCGAGTTTAAAGCCATCGGAAACGTACCCAGTGCTTACGTTCACACTACGGGGCATATACGATCTCAATGCGGAAAAATATGACAAAGAAGTTGCCTATACTCTTATACAATGGATCCTGAGCCCTCCCAAGCCCGCAGAGGTGGATTAAGTCCTTGTGATGATTCGGAGGATTGAGATGTTTTACATTCGGTGCTGCTACCTTTAGTATTTTATCTTGTTGTCTGCCTCCTGACCTTTACAAACCCAGAGGCTGTAACTGTAGGTTATTTGTTTCCAGCGTGTTAAATACGAAATTCTATGCTACGACAACTGGAAATGCCGACTCTAGTAGTAGAATGACACCCTGATACTTTGATCGCCTATCTCTTTAATAGCCTAAGTTGGTGTTCTGCAGAGAAATTAGCCTTTTTTTCCCCTTCCTCTCAGTCTTGTACACGCGAGTGAAAGGAAGAAATATGTACTGATCGACGAGGCTCGTAAAATCCTTGAAAAGTACGATGAGGTCACTAGCCAGTGCGAGTGCGGGCCGCCGCAGCATCTCCCTCCAGCAGTTATAAACATCTTCCAGATGGATTAGACCGCCATAAAGGAGATTTTTCTTTTTCTCTTTTCTTTTCTTTTTCCTCCCTTTTCATCTCGGTTAAGAGTTCAGAGAGAAGACGAGAAGAGAAGGTCGAGAGAAGCCCAGGATTGTTCAAGGTAGGGCCACCTGTCAGAACGTCAAGGGCAAAACCAGCCAGTTAAAAAGAACGAACCTTAAACGTTCATCAGGGATGGTTACTGTTAGCTGTTACCTTCAGATGTTGCTCGGCTTGTATTTGTCGCCTGTCCGCTTCTTTTTGTGCTGCTGCTGTTGTTCCCATTCTGCTGATCAGCACCAGTCGACAGACAGGCTTGCCTTGGAAATAGTAATACATCGTGCGTGAGTGCTGGCGAGTTGGGTTGGTCAATTGGAGCCAGCACAAAGCAGCGCTAAGGAGAACTGTCACTAATGCAAGGTTAACGCAGGCAGCCCTATCCACGTCGTGCCCAACGATACCCTGGCTCCAACCCGCCCCTCAGCAGTCGCATGGGGGAAGTTAAAGTCGGTGGGTCGATGAGAAAAATTCCATCGACGAACAAGAAAGTAAACTTTTTTTCTTTTCCTTGGTTGCTGTGAAAGTTACTCCGTGAAGGTTTTTTTGTTTGTCCAAGGAGTCATAAGTAGGAGTAGATACGGTATCCGAAGGAAAATTCTGATACTGCTGTTGCCTGGCGCTACGAGGTTTTTTGGACTGAAACACACGGGCGAAGTCGTCTTTGATACACTGGAGAGGTGGCTGGGTGAGAGAGCTCGCGACAGGAGAGAGGGGACCAGAGAGACCAGGACTGGTTGTTATCCGCCTGTTCCCGCCTTGTAACTTTGCGGGAGGGAGGAACTGAGCCATGGATGCGGCCGTCTGATGGGCCGCTTTATCCATAAAAAGCCGGAGGAGGGCCTGCCTGTCGCCCAGGTCGGTTGTTTAGAGTCTGATCTTCTAGAAGTGCTCAGCCATCCCAGCGCATATGTGTGTGTGTGCGTATCTGCATAGCTATATTCTGCATCTGCGCCTGCAAACTGTAACCAACCGAGTGTCAACTACTGCTGGAAGGGCAGTCATCGACGGTCTCTTTGAGAGTAACCACCCAGTATCTATCAGGACCGACGACGGGGGCTCCCTTGGAAACCGAAAGCTTTTCGGCCATCCTGAGTCGCCATTAGCTCGCCGTCTGTCCTCCTGTCCGCAAGTTGTACATTTTCATGCCACACAGCAGACGTCGTCTCTCCTCCCTCCTCGCCCATCAGCCAGTCTCTGGCGTCCAGCTCGGTATGTCATTCGTGCGAGTTGTCTAACCTGCCTGCCCCTATCCTTCTCCCATGTCTCTCTGCGTGTCCTGTCCCTGCTCAGTGGCTGGACATTCTCCGTCGTCTTCTCCTTCTCCTACTCTTCTCCTGCTGCTTCTGCTGCTGTTCCTGCTTGTGTCGTGTCGTGTCGTTGTTGTCGTTTTCTTGTCGACGTCGAAGAAGAGGAAGCGGCAGAATCAAAAAGCGGTCGCCAAAACGGTCAACCGCCAGCCTCATTCTGAATTTTCACCTTCCGCCTTTTTTCGTCCCAACCGCAACCAACAACAACTACACACAACAACAACAACCACAGCGCTACACACAGCAACGACAGCAGCCAGCAACAGACAGGTCTTTTCCTTTTGATCCCCCTGCTAGATGAGAAGACTCTGCTAACCTCTGGCTGTCTCTTCGGCAGGTCGTCGTTCCAATTGACCTGCGTGCGGTCTCTGCGTGACGGGCAACAGTCCAACCAGGACCCTGCACATATTGAACTTTTCTCTTTTTTTTTTTTTTTTTTTATTTTTTATTTTCTAATTTCTCTACCCTCCTCTCCATCTTCCCGCGGTTTATTGATATTGCTATTATTATTACGATGAATCCTCCTTGCCTGCTCTAGTTACACGAAGGAAAAGCAGCCCTCTCGCTTCTCCGCTGCTGGCTGGCTGCATGTAAAAGGCCCTTTTCTCGTTTGCCGCTGGAGGACCAAGGAGCCAGAGCCTCCAGCCGTACCGTTCGCACCTGGTCGACAGGCTCTCCAACCCCCCCTCCCGCCTCGCCGGTCTTTTCTTATGGACATTCCGCGCTTGTCCAGCCAGTCATCCAGGTCAGCTGTTACGCTGTCGAGCCCAAGCTCGCCTTGCGTCGTGCTGCATGGCCATCTCAATTGCCGACGCACCAGGCCCATTCTTGTACCCATTCTTCCTCATGCCTGACCTCAAGGCCGCTCCCCCGGTCAGGCACAGCTTGTTCCACCGCCTTGGACTTCGTAGCTGGCTGGGGAGGGACGGCGAAGGCATCGAATCTCACTCTCAGTTCATTGCTCGAGAATTGAGCCGCCAGCGCCTAGCGGGTCTTCCTTCTTCAAGTGCAAAGCGTGTTCACGATGATGTTGAAAACGACGTCAACTACGATGATGATATCGACGGTGTCACTTCCGTGGCAGACAGTGAGCAACTAGGGAGCTCACTCCCTCAGCCCAGTCCGTCGAACGTCACCGTCGGTTTACCTAGAGCCCCAACCTTTAAACGACAGAATTCGGAGCGCCGCGACCACCTCACACCTTCGGAGTCTGGTCTAGGCCACAGACGGGCCTACTCTGCCGACCGTCAGGGAGACATCGGACCATGTAGAACGAACTCCCCACTCCCGCCTTATTCTCCCCGGAACTCTGTGCCAGATTTACCCACGAAGAACTATGATATATCTGCTCAGGCGTCTCCCACTTTGATTAACGACGAACCGTCCCCACTTCAGCAGGACCCTGAACAGGGGCAAGGACAACCCCAAACTGATTTAGCTTCGGAATATGGACCTCCCTCTGAAGGCACTATCGATAACGAACTAGAAGCGGAACTTGACAAGAAATGGATCCTTAACCTTAGTATGAGGTTCAGGGACAAATCTGACCGTGAAAAGTTTTTCATTACTTACGCTGAGGCCCCGAACAGATGGCGAAAGGTCACCGTGTCCTGTGATTACCGTAATGCCGAACCCGACTCGCTAGAATCTGATCTGAAAAAACTGCAATACCACCGTGAAAAAAATGCCCATATATACGAATCCATCCGCGAGTCTATCGATGAGATTCAGTTCTATGACACTGTCACCAACCTCAAACTGGAAACTCGAGATGGCCGTCTCCATGTTCATGTTACCGAGGATGTGAACGAAGTCATCATTTTCCCTCCAATCTCCAGCGTCGAATATCTCAACCCCCTGTTTATCCCTGAAAGCGAACTAGACTTTGATTCCCATTTATCTGGTTTTGTTTACCGAGTGAAGTACCATGGAAAGGACTACGTGAAGAAAGAAATCACTGGCCCCGACACCGTCGAGGAATTTTTATACGAAATCAACGCCCTTCATGCCCTTCTCGACTCTACCAACGTTATCAATTTTAGAGCAATCGTTGTCGATGACTCCGGAACCTTGGTTAAAGGACTTTTGATAGATTATGCGGAACAGGGTGCCTTGGCCGACTTGTTTTACGACTTTAAAGGTGAACTGTCTTGGAAAAGGAGAGAACGCTGGGCGAAACAGATCATCAAGGGCCTCGGGGATATTCACGAAGCTGGCTTTGTCCAGGGAGACTTTACCGTATCCAACGTTGTCGTGGATGAGCACGATGACGCAAAAATAATCGATATCAACCGCCGAGGCTGCCCGATTGGATGGGAACCACCAGAGTTTGCCAAAAAGTTGGAAAGTAAACAAAGAATATCCATGTACATTGGTGTGAAATCGGATCTTTATCAACTTGGGATGACGCTTTGGGGCCTTGCCATGGAAGAAGATGAACCAGGAAGGCAGCCTCGACCTCTCCTCATCCCGGAGGATATGAAGATCCCGGCTTATTTCAGGAGAATAGTTGACATTTGTCTCAGCGAAAGACCACAGGGCCGTTTATCCGCTAAGGACCTCCTCGCCTTGTTTGATGATCAAGAAGAGGAAGATGATTTCCCTGTTCCTGGAGCCGAGATACCCCGATACGCCCCCATGCAGAATCTCAACGGTGTGTATCCGGGACACCCCCACACCAATTACAACTACCAACTAAACTCAATGTACATGGACCAACACCCCAAGAGTATGCACTATGCCCCTGTGCCCACGGGAGATCGCCTCCGCTACCAACACATAGGAGTTGAGCCTGTGATAATGCCGCCGTCGAGGAATAGCCCTGATTTCCACTGTGTGAACAACAACTTACAAACCGCTCACCATCATGGCGAACATGGCATTCCCGAATCTCCCCATGCACTTGATCATAATGGACAGTTTCTACCACCTGGAGGTCACTGGGCGAATGGACACCATCCAGTACCTTACTATAATCCTGCCTTTGTTAGACCTGCTCTAGCTTCGCACCATGCCACTCTGGGGTTATCCGAACTGGAGCTCTTGGATCGCCAGGATAGAGAGACGGAATCTGACCCTCGATTCGACGATTTTGGGCCTACTGACCTCCCGCCGCATTCTGAAAGTGGATACACCATTGACGAAGATTATGTCCATGAACTGCAAGGCCATGATGAAACCGAACCCTCGTACCTAGTGGATGACCATTATCCAGCACCTAATCAAGCCCATATTCCCCTCGATTCTCTCCCTACCCCTGAAGATCATGACGAACCCCAGCTGGATTACCTTGATGAGGTTACGGACGCCAATCAGGCAGATTCGCTAAATGGCCAGGAAGAAAATAGTTATGCTGAGCCAGTGTTTGATCTTGAGGATCTTTCAGCTTCTCAACTACCAATCAATCCGGACTTCATGAAGACCGCCAATCCCGACCTGCCTACATTTGCGGGTTACGACTATTTTGATATCTCCCCATCTGAAACTCCATTAGAATTGCCAGTTTCCAACGATACCCTCCTCACCTCTGGTTTACCGATCAACCCTCGACACAGTGTGCCCGAGTTCAAACCCATGTCCTTGAATAAGTATGGCGATGATGATTTCTTATCTTCAAACTTGCCGATTAATCCGGCTTATATCGATCCTTTAGACCGTGACATCTCTCCACGCGATCGAATCAAGGAGGTCTCTCGCGACGACACAGGCTCCGCTATACCCGGACTCCAGGTCACATTTCAAGGTGATCTCTTCCGTTCAGCGCTCCCTATCAACCCCTGCCACAGTACGCAAGCGTTTGAAAATTACAGGAATACACCATCGCGTCCTGATCAGTTGCCAAAAAACCTTGGTACTCCTAAACTAGAATACATTTCTAAGCGAAAGATATCTAAAAATACAAACATTGGTACCCTTGCGTCTTCTGATGCTTCGCGCGTTACCTCTAACGATCTACTCACGTCTTTGCTGCCGATTAATCCACAATTTTGCTGCCAGGATCTCAGCGCTCCCCTGTCATACAATGACCTTTTTACATCTACTCTACCGATTAATCCTCGCTATAAAGGCCAAGATATCAGACACCTGAGGAACTTGGGTTGTCATGTCCGCCCTCGTTCCAGCGCAAAACACCCTCCCGCTATCCCAGAGCCTCTTCGCCAAATACCCCCACAGCAACAGTCTTCCGCCTCATCTCGGGATGACCTTTTTCTCTCAATTTTACCAATAAACCCTCAACGCCAAGATCCGCAACCCGAAATTTTCACTATCTCCGTTTCTGAAGGGGCCAACGGTGATCTTTTGTCGTCAAAGCTGCCAATTAATCCGGCCTTCTCTCACCCAACGACTTTGCGGAGAATGATACCTAGCTCCCAGAAGCTAAACAAGGCAACTACAAATACCCCTCCTACTGAACTGTTTACGTCAGTACTACCTATCAACCCGGCTGCTCGCATTTGATTATTCAACAACATAGACGAGCTCGACTCAGAGTCATTTACCATTTAAAAATGCGGGGAACCACCTGTTCTCCGTTCCAAAACCATTACAACAAAAATGCCACTTTTTCCCACTTCGACACTTGTATTTGATACTGAATGTTATCTAATTTCAGTCCATTTATTGCATCATTTAGTAGGAGGAGCGCGGTGTTTTCCTTTTCCTCTATTGTTACCCATTTCGTTTGTTTCTCCTTTTTTCGTTTGTTCTTCCATTTGTCGTTTCGTTTTATCGTTTGCTCATTGATTTAATGTTGATGCATTTATGTCTTACTTCTCTGCCCGTTTTTATAAATCAGCCATTTTTTCCAGCCATTTATTTATTTCTTCCTATATACCCTATATAATGACCTGTCTACGCTTTTCATACTCGGCAACGACCAAGAAAACAACAAAAAGCAAAAAAAAAGGAATGCAAAAAGTTTTTCAGCTATCCCCCACTTAGCACATTGATATATGCAGATTTTGGCGTCCCCCTGGATTCTTGGAGTATTCCCTTTTTATGTGCCTCTTCGATTTTATTTTCGAGTTTGAGTACAGTACATAATCTACTTGTTTAACGAATGATGACATGGGTATGACTTTATTACCTAGGGAGACAGAGGAACCCAGTGATGGTGCTTTGTTTGCTTGTGCCCCTCTTGTACGGAGTATCTTTGCAATTTTTGGCATGCATGGGGCTTGTCTTCTCAGGGGGTTTTTTTCATCTATTTTGGATATTCAAGCTTTTATGTCCTGAAACGGCGCTGGGCTGTTTGTATACGAAATGATACATTAGTTATGTCTCAATCCAAATCCAGCTGATCAAGTACTTCTTTCTTTTTGATTGCACCAGCCACGTTTAAAATTTATTATATGACAGGTAAGGTATATTGGAAAAACTATCTCAAGGAAATCATTACATATTTTAATCTTCAAAGGAAAAAAAATTGCCGGGAGTCGTTAAAATACAGGTGTAAGGTAGAGACAATATAACGTTAGAGATTGAAAATATGAAGATATTGTAAAAAGGAGAGCCGTAGGGAGATATCATCCAGGTAGGAAAAGCCGTCCATAATGGGTGTAATAATGATAGATGCCTCCTACACAGCGGGTAGTGGCATAAAGAAAGGAAGGGATGGAAGGTGTGAGAGAAGGGAATTGAAAAAAGGAGATAATAGGCAATGTAAGATGCAATACCACATAAAAGTCCCATCCGCATTGAAAATTAAATATAGAGGGAAATAAGAACCGGCCACAAGAGACAAAATGCGGCATCGTTGCGATAAAAATGTATCGTGCCCCGCATATTGGGAAGAGGGTATAACGGTACCCGGTTTTTAGGATTGTGGTGCCTTGGATTCTGGCTCTTGCGCTTCTTTATCTTCAGCCCCCTCGACTTCGTTGGCTTCCTTAGCTGACTCTGTTTTATCCTTATTTATAGTGTCGGAATCGGTAGGTGCCTCAGCTTTAGTAGACGGCTGCTCCTCGTCTATTTTGCTCTCATTACTCCGCGGTACTTGTGTTTCGCCAGCCCCCTCCCCCTTTTCTTCTATCGGCTGGACAGGGATTGTGCTTTGGCTCTCTTCCAGTTCGTCATCCATACTCGATATAGTGGGTTCAGATGGTCCTGGGGACCCGGGTGCTTCCTCTGCTGATTCCTTTTCGGAATCTGCTACTACTTCTTCCGTGATAGGCGAAGCTGAAGAGGGTTCATCTGATACCATAGCGGGCTGTTCCATTTTGTTTGATTCACTAGCTTCCGTTGCTGGTGCTTCGGGTAGAGTATCCCGCTCTTCGCTTGTGGGTAATGACTCTGGTTCTTCGGTTAATTCCTCAGATATATCCTCGACTATCTTCTCATTTTTTTCCACCTTAGAGTCTTTGGGCGGCTGAGGCACTCTTTGGATATTTTTGTTTAGATCATCATCTTCTGCTGCCTCGGCAATCGTTGTGACGCCCACACCAGTCGATGGGGAATGTCGGTGCCGCCTTGTGGTTGCTGCAGACAAACCTGTACTAGGCTCCTCAAGGCTATTGGGAGGCGTTGCTGTTACCGAATCCTCCTTGCGCAAAATAGTAAGTCTTCTATTTACACCTTGGTTTTGACTAGTCGAGGAATCGGTGCTAGATGCTTCGCCCTCTGCTTCGGGAGGAATTGTGTAATTGTCATCAGGAATGAGGTTATAGACATCGCAGACTGTCTTGAAAAAGACATAAAGACCGTCATGACCTTCAACTTGCCAAAAGACGCCTCGATGCTGAAACCAGGCGTGTGCGAATATTCGATACACCCGCCGGAAAACATTTGTAAGGTGCCTCATGCTTGCTTGAGGACCCCCAGTCGCATCAGAGCCGAGAGTTAGTCGGCTGGGGAAAAACTTGGGCGACGTGAGAACATTCGTTGCCCAGTCAAGAGTATGGCAGCAGTAATCGATCGCACAGCATGATTTAGGTGGGTCGTGGACAGCACATAGGTATTGCCATTCGGAGGCACGCATTTCCGGGCATGTTTGAGCTGAGCATGGTGGTTCTTCGGCAAAAAATGCGATGACGAGGTTGTTTGCTTTCATGGTAAGGAATCGGCATAATTCGTACAGCCACAGAGATCTTTCTACGCCCGCTGGGGGCTCTGCTAGGTCTCGTGCGATTTCCCGGGTTATTGGGGCAACAGTATCGGAACCTGAGGGTTGCGTGAAATGGTGGTATGAGGCTTTGAGATGTTCCTGGAGCTGAAAGGGAGAATCGAGCTATAGGCAATATATGAGTTCTCGTTAGCCTCGCCTCATCTTCTATTGCGCTTATGAACAAGACAAACAAACCTCAGAGAGCGGAACCAAAGGAGGACCAGAGGCCATATTCGCGGCCTTGGTTCCGGGCCGTATTCTTCGTGCTGATGCATCATCCTGGCCATGAGGTATTCCTAGAAATTCGTCGGACCCATCATTTTTACCGTCACCGACGGTTGGGGACTTGGGTCCGATCTGTACTTCTGTGAAAGGAGGAGGGCTTGGTAAGCGTGGAGAGCTTGACGGTGAGACGGCTGACCCAGACATGATAATGGCCTGTCTATATAGACTCTTTGATCAGCCAGCAAGGTAAGGATAAGCCGGTTTTATGGCTTGCTCAAGCTGTCCTTTTTTTGTGATGTAAACATACAAACTCGTACCTGAACAAATTAACCGCGCGCAAAAGATGAATCGCGCTAAAGTTGTTCCGTGCCGCCCACTTTAATTGGACGTCGAATATCTATTTAGGTTACACGCATCGATAGATATCGATTAAGATAGCCAGATCTATAAAGAAAGGTTGAACAGATTGGCATCGCAGATAATCTCCCCATACCATCACGATGAATACGATCAGTGATGATGATGATAGCCCGCCCCAGCTGGTTGATGTGACTGCTACTCCTGAGAAATCTGAGGAACAACCCAAGACTCCAACAGACCAAAATCTCCCTAGAGTCCCTATAACTATAGTAACAGGTACTTTGGAGGCTAACTTGTTTAACACAAATCCATAATACTCTAACAAGACGTACGTTTCTTTCAGGCTACCTCGGAGCAGGCAAGACTACGCTATTAAACTATATCTTGAACGAAAGACATGGCAAGAAAATAGCAGTGATTCTTAATGGTTTGTCTCTCTATTACCGTCTAAAAAACGACCATACTGACTTTCTCGATCAGAGTTTGGAGATTGTAAGACTGGAAAGCGCTCTATCTGCATGAGTGTCTAACTAAATGACCCGCCTTTAGCTGTCGATATTGAGAAGTCAATGACTGTGAGCCAAGAAGGCCAGCAAGTAGAAGAATGGCTTGAACTAGCCAATGGCTGCATTTGCTGCTCGGTAAGGTACGTTCGTTCTATAGGAATGCCGATAGAAAATACATACTTTTACGGTTGACTCATGAACCTGGGCTCTGACTGGCTGTCAACAGGGATGCTGGGGTTCTGGCCATTGAATCTCTAATGAACAGGAGGGGAACCTTTGATTATATCCTACTCGAGACTACCGGGCTAGCTGATCCTGGGAATATTGCTCCTCTATTCTGGGTTGACGATGGACTGGGCAGCTCCATCTACCTTGACGGGATTGTCACGCTGGTCGATGCAAAGAATATCAATAAACTATTGGATGAACCGTCCTGCGAAGAAGAAAAACAGGGTCTTCATGGGGGAAGCATGTTAACGACGGCCCATTTACAAATATCACACGCAGATGTGATCATTCTCAACAAGACTGATCTAGTGCCAAATGAGGAGCTTGTAAAGGTAAAGGACCGGATTACCTCTATTAATGGCTTGGCTACAATCCATACAACGGACCATAGCAAAATATCGAGCATTGAGGGCACGGTTCTTGAGTTGCATTCCTATGACAAATTAACAACGGTAGATTTCTCAACCAAGGGTCAAAGTCAACTCGATGCTGTAAGTTCTCGCCTATCTTTTATCTGAGAAACCTATTTTTTCGACTTGAAGACCGCGATTGACCGATACCACTTAGAGCATATCTACACTTGCATTCACTTTCTCAGATATAACAGAGGATAGGGTTGCACATATTGACGAATGGCTGCAAGCCGTGCTCTGGAATCAAGAATTCCCGAAACCCAAACATAGCCCTGACGAGACTATCACTGACTTCGAAATCCATCGACTCAAAGGTATTCTTCGTTTAACCAATGGGAAAACAAGAATCATCCAGGGTGTAAGAGAAGTGTTTGAAATCACAGACGCAGAAGATAGCCAGCCGTCATCTCCACTGGGATCTAAAATTGTTCTTATCGGACGCGGGCTTGGATTAGATAGCTCAGTGTGGCAGAAGAGCCTCCTTCCGTATTTAGAAAAGTGAGAGGTTATTGGAACTAGCTATTGAAAACCCATGGTATCAAACAAAAGGTCAGATGGATCTTTCCATATCTATAAAAACCAGTAGACAGAGCGCATCTAGATGCCGTGGATGGGATTTTCTGAAATATCACAGACTGTTTCAGTATGTCGTTTCCGCATTGTCCGCAGGTGAAATCGGGTGTCGAATGGCAGTTTGCGCCCTTGGCCGTGTCCTCATATTCCCTAAAGGCGAGCCGTCAAGCCCAACTTCACTTAAACTGCAACCCTCTTCTTGGTTCTCCTCAGCAGATGCATTTGACTGTGTTGACTCAAAAGGTATAGGGCTTGCGGCGATCTTCGGTCTACTTTTGAACACACTATCATAATCAATGTAGTCGCTATATGGGTCTTCGTCCGACGCCTCTGCATTATGTTTCTCTTTGTTTTCGGCCCTTTTCTCTGGTGTTTCGAATGGATCGCCGGGAACAAGCAACTGGGATTGCCTGCGGTTGTCTGAAATAGGCTTCCACGGACGAGGGGTAGTAGCAGATACAAAGAGCATGGACTGTCTAGTACGCTCTAACAAAGTAGTAGCCCGAGAAGATGGGTCATCGGCGGCTTGAGATTCTGCCTCATCACCCTGAATACCGCTTTTATCATCTACAATCGAGTGCTCATCAGTTGTAGGGTTATTCTCAGGTAATTCACTGTTGGTAGCCGTTTCCAGAGACAAAACGCCTAATTGCATGGCCAGTAAGTCTTCCGTCGATATATTTCTAGCAGCACTTGACCCAATGATGATGTCCGTCTCTTCTGCGGCCCCGTGGGGAACGAGATTTTGTTTTTGAACTGGGCCTTTATCAACCATAGCTTTTGGGTCAGGGGAAGCCTGAGGGGAAGCCTCAGGCGTATAAGCGACCTCTTTCTCTGGCGAAAACATCGGAGCGTCACCAATTCTAGCGGAATGCGTAGGTGCTCCTTGATCTTCATCATGTTCAGCTAATGGATCTATGGTGTCGTATTCGTCTTGGGAGAGTTCTTTTGATTCCTTGGAGTCTTCTGGTCGTTGCAACTGAGTTCGTAGGCTGTCTAGATCTAGTGAATCCTTGAACTTCCGCCACTTTTGAAGACGAGATTGTTGCTTTGAGAGACGGTCTTCTAAATTCGCTAAAAGATCGGGGTGGCCTTGTGGCTCAATATCATCTTTGACTGCGACCTTTTTCATACCAGACCATACCTGCGAAAAGTCCATTTCAAGTAGCGGCTCTGAGACTGCATGTGAGTCCCCGTTCAGGATTGTGTTGGCCCAATTAATATCGCCATGCCATGTCCTGTTGATAGAGTCTTGAATTTGCTGTTGATGTCTCAATTCTGAGGCCAGCGGTTTGGGCATGCGCCTTGCGTTTGAGAGCTCATTTGCCTTCAGATGAAGGAATTGCTTTAGGTCTCGACATGTTGAATTCAACTCATTTTTCTGGTCTATCATGGAATGCAAGGACGCACGGTATGCAATTATCATCGGTAGCAGATTTTGAGTATCGCTGGGAGGCCCTCGCTTGCTTGTGGGAAGGGATAACGGTGGAGCTCCGGTACGGTATTCACGAGACGAAACTACAACCTTTCGTAGTACGATTGTAGAAAACTCGGCCAGAATTTCATCAAACTTCTCACCTGTACACTCCTCAAGCATTGATTTTCGCAGAATTCTCTCTCTTCCAAGTGTTCCATTTTTTGTCAGCTCCGAGAGTGACCGGAAGAGAGCAGCCCGAAGGTTTGACGACTGAAGAGGTTCAAGTGGCGGGAAAAATGGTTGAAGTTTCTATGATTTCGGTTGAATGTTAGATGATAAATGCCTGCTGAGTACTCCTGACAGGTGTAGTAATCCATACATTTCTGGTGAGCTCAGGATCCCATAGCTGGAACAGGTAAAACAAAGTCCATTCCACCGCCTGGACTCGTCTTCGCAGGTTGCTCTGGTTATCTGAAAGTGTTGATGGCACAATTCCGGGCCAATCCGGACGCAAATCAAGGCGCAAGAGCTTCAAATTGCGTATGAAGACCGCAATTGGCGGAGCCTGAGGCCATGTTTCGGCTCCAGAGCTGGGTGTAGTAGAAACGCGCATGGGGTTCGTGTCGCAGAGGCGTCTTATATGCACAAGCGGTTTTTAGTGGCGATCTCGCAGGGGTACTCCACAGCGTTCGCTTATTCTCCAGATTTGAACTTGTATATGGTCATAGCTATCGATATTGCATGCAGTCAACTGTGATTTTGATATTCAGGAGAGATTTAGCGACTCGTTCAACCTTTGGAGCTTTGGTTCAGGAACAGGTCACATGACTAGTTATGGCTTAGCTGGAATTACCCCTGAAATTAACCAGAATGTCTATGGAAACGCTGCAGACTGTGTCGGGGACCAATGCATGATTTTACTGGTACGGGGGATAATGACAGCATTTGCATGTAGGCAACCTTGCGCTAAGTTACAGGGAAGGGCGTCTTTCCAGGGAATGAGCGAGTGTTGCACTGCTTTAATATCACACAGCACGAAAGGCCTCTGTTTAGCAAAGCTACCTGGAGGATTCAACCACTTATTATTCAAAACTCTTAACAAAGGAGAGCATATACACTGTAAATAACCAGGCTTTTTCTTTCGACCAAAGTCTTCCATAGTTACTCCGTAAACAACCTATCAATACCGAAATTCTTATATCCAAAAACATGCGATTTGATAGGGCCGAGCTTCTTAGTCATCTTGATCATCTTGCAGGGATCTTTCAGAAGCTGCTAAAAAAAGCAAGAAAAGCCATCCATGAAGGTTCATATAAAGAAAGACCGGACCCCCTCCGCCAACCCACTACGCAGCTTTACACCCCATTGATTGATATTGATTTCGTCCCTAGATCGCTCGTTGTTGGAAGAAAGATGGGCTCAAACACTCCCTGGACCGCCCAGTCCGGTAGGTAGCGGTCAATCTGTTTGGTATAAGCGATATGAAGTTGACATTTTCCGCATAGTTATTGGGACGCTATCACATCCTCTAGCAGAAAACAGCACCTCGCCCATCCCTTTCTTTCACCTCCTAGAACGATTGAAAACTACCAAACGAGAAGGCTGGCGACGGTTCAATATATCCAATGGCGAGTCTATAGCCGATCACATGTATCGCATGTCTGTCATGACGATGCTGGCCCCGCCCTCGCTTGCCTCCAAATTGAATATCCTTCATTGCACGAAGATGGCGCTCGTCCACGACATGGCTGAATCGATCGTTGGCGATATAACGCCCGTTGATACTGAAGTGACCAAGGCTGAGAAAGCAAGGCGCGAAGCAGAAGTGATGGAATACATCTCTAAGACGCTACTGGGTAGTGTCTTTGGTGGAACTCCGGGCGAGGGCTTTCAGAAGATTTTTGAAGAATATGAAGAAGACAAAACGCTCGAGGCACGGTTCGTGCACGATATTGATAAGATGGAACTGCTTCTGCAGACTGTCGAGTATGAACGGGCCCATGGTGGGAAACTTGATCTAACGGAGTTCTACCATGTCTTCAAAAAAATACGTCTGCCGGAAATCAAGGCATGGGGAGAGGAAGTTCTTCGAGAAAGAGAGGCATTCTGGGCGGATAAGCCTAACCCTCCTACTCTACCCCAGTGATAATTGCGCACCATTATCTTTATTTCTCGAAAGCCTAACACTCGGCCGCTTTTCCCTAGCCCGCTGCCGGCACCTGTCTGTTTCATGGTATTATGTCACGCCCTTGGTTACCCTGTTTATATGCATGTTCCTTTCCTTTGTAATTGGCAGCACCGATAGATTCATTTCCCGGACTGAGACCACGTCCGAAGCTGAGCAGAGCTCAACACAAGCATCAATAGACGCACATATTAATACATTGGCTTTAATGCACAATATGGATCTTTACCTTTTTGATGTGAGTGAAAAGCTTACAATACTTCCCAGGATCTTCCTCATGCATACTTTCAAGGTGTGTTGTTAGCCTACAACTAAAATTGACAGCATGAAGGCTCATGTGTGCTGTTATGCTGGTTATATTCAATTTATATATCGGTGAGGTTGATAACTAGCTCTGCGCGTCTGCTTAATGGTACCTGAATAAGCATTTAGATGTTCAGAATTGGGCTGGCGCTTCCACATTCTCGGACTCAGCTCCTTGCGCGTCCTATTGGTAGGTGAAAGGCCCCCCCTCGACCATCTTTTATGCCTCTCGTTAGATAGCTGGAGTTCGTGGCGCCACAAGGGCTCCCTGGCTCGCTGTACGACCGGCCGAGAAGCAAGCGATCTTAAAAGAGAAGACTAAATGGGCATTGTATGAGGAAAAGAAGTTAGATGGCCTTATCAAAGGTGTCATGGAGCTGGTTGATGGCCTGACCGGTATATTTCCTGCCGCTCTACCACGCCAGCTACAGCTTTGCGAAGCCGAAGCCTCTGAGATTACTGGAAGACTGTGGTAGCTGGCTGCTTGCTTAGGGGCAAGGCAATGAAATACCATTACACCATCAAGCTCGTTGAAACTAACTATTTGGTGTAATTATAAATAATAAATTAGTTAGTTATAATTATCTGGAAACTCAAGGATATTACTTCTCTACGAAGTATTGCTACATATTACCAAAATGAGCTGCAGGGGTTGGCCAATTTAAACCACGTGACCACGCGACGACCCCGGACCTCGGGACTTGGTCATCTCGCGACTTCATCAACTTTGACGGTACCATCATTATGCATTCTACTCCCTCTGCCGGCAACAGACACACCAAATAATCAACGCCTGGGTTTTTACCATTCTAAACGCTCAAATATGAACTAGAGTTGGAAAAAAATTCGAAAAAAGACTCAATCTATAATCTCACTTGCGAGTGGCCACCCTTTTCGCCATCAATGCCACGGTCCCTAGCTTCTAGGAAGAACCGAAATGCACGCGGAGCCAATTCAAGACTCGCTCTATTAGAAGCACTTGACACACCTCCAGAGCCTTCGGCTGATGCAATTAAAACTTCGAAGTTCTTTAACGGGGAGGACTTTTCTTCAGAGGACTCCTCCCTATCTGAGCCTGAGGAAAGCGAGTCAGCACTGCAAGACAACTCAGATGGCGGCGGTGACGACGATGAAGATGAAGACGAGGATGTGAACTGGGAAGATGCCACTTCTAATGCGACTCCACATACCCAAGCTCCAGCTCCAGCTCTGCGAGATTTGAGTATCGTATTAGAAAGAAATGAAGAATCATTCGCCCCGTTTTCGCTTTCGTCGAAGAAAGGCCCTAGTAAGATTGATCGCCTAATTCGAACACAAACACATTGTATGCATGTGCAGTTTCTTCTCTTCCACAATGCTGTTAGAAATTCCTGGATCAATGATTCAGAAACAAAGAATATCCTCCTGAGCCAGCTGCCAGCAAAAGTCAAGAAACACCTAAAGAATTGGAGATCAGCCGTTAAGTCACCTAATTCTTTATCAAAAGGCCAGGATGAACCAGCATACTACTTACTGGCTATGCTTGCTTCCTACTGGGCTGAATCTTTTAAGATCACCGCCCCTGGATTGAGAAAAAGAGGTTACAGGCCAATTCCCGTTCTCGGAAGAGAGATTTCTAAATTCAATGGTCCGGATGAAGATGGCAATGACCAGGGGGAGATTATTCGAGATATCACCGAATTTCGTGAGCTTGCTCGACAGCGGCAGGGTTCCCGTGACGTTGGTGGTCAATTATTTACCTCCCTATTAAGAGCTGTTGGTCTAGAAGCAAGAATGGTTGCCAGCCTACAGCCGATTGGATTTGGATGGAGTAAATTCGAGGACTATAATCCCAAAGAAAAGCCAAGTCATTCCGAAAAGAAGATTGATAAAGATCTCAGCTATCCTATATACTGGTCTGAAGTTGTCTCACCTATCACGAACGACATTATACCTGTGGAGGCGCTTGTACTACCATTTTATCTAGCAACCACGCCAGAACGTCTGGCAATGTTTGAGCCTCCAGCACCGAAGGCAGAAAAGGCAAAACAAGTAATAGCATATGTGATTGCATACTCTCCAGATGCAACTGCAAAGGACGTCACCATTCGGTATTTGAAAAAGCAAGCCTGGCCTGGAAAAACAAAAGGGTTTCGAATACCCGTGGAAAGAATTCCGTACAACAAGTCTGGGATTCGTGTATATTACGAATACGACTGGTTCAGGACTATAATGCGGGGCTATGTTAGGCCAGCAAACAAAAGAACTATCGCTGATACCAAAGAGGATGAAGCGCTTGTACCCAGCCAGGCAAAGAATAATAAGCCAAAGGAGGGTGAAACGTTACAGAGTTTGAAGGCATCTGATGAGTTTGTTCTTGAAAGGTTTTTGAAAAGAGAAGAAGCCCTCCGTTCCGGAGCAACTCATGTTCGTACTTTCACCACTGGTAAAAACGAGAAGAAGAAAGAGGAAAAAGTCTACAAACGGTCAGATGTGGTGAGATGCCTTTCTGCTGAGAGTTGGCATAAGGAAGGACGAAAAATTAAAATGGGGGAGACGCCGCTGAAACTCGTTCCCATCAGGGCAGTTACACTCAACCGGAAAAGAGAGGTTGATGAGCTTCATCGTGAAACAGGTGAGAAGCCAATGCAAGGTCTGTACGCCAGATATCAAACAGAATTTATTATCCCGCCGCCTATCAAAGATGGGATAATACCTAAAAATGAGTATGGCAACATTGACTGTTTTGTTCCCTCCATGATACCACGAGGAGCAGCGCATGTGCCATTCCCCGGGACTGTCCGTGTTTGCAAGAAACTCGGGATAGATTATGCGGAAGCAGTTACTGGGTTTGAATTCGGGAGTAAAATGGCCGTCCCTATCATTGAAGGAGTCGTTGTGGCGGCCGAGAATGAGGACCTTTTGAAGGATGCGTGGATCGCTGATGAACAGGAAAAGAGAAGAAAGGAGAAGCTCAAGCATGATAAACTTATCCTTGCTACATGGCGGAAATTCATAATGGGCCTCCGCATCAATGACCGGCTCCAGGAAGAGTACGGTGGAGTGGGTGAAACTGAATCTCACAACCCATTTTCTAGTCGCATGGACCCCGAGCCCCCTCAGCCTACAGAGAAATGATGTTCAGGTCGATGACACTGGGGGTGGGTTTCTCGTTCCAGGTGTGGATGATGAGACACATGAAGAAGGAGGATTTTTGGTTGAAGATGATGAACTACATAGAGTCTAGAGTCTACCACGTGGTTCCTGGGATTTGGATGAGCGGGATGAGGATATTTTATCTGATGTTAGTGATGCCCTTTTGGTGAACCCCGTTGGAGTTTTTGATATACTATCATCGCCGCCCCACCGCCCCACCACTACCATCTCCTCTTGGTATTCGGGATATTCCACGTACCACAGTTACATGGATCGAACGAGATACACTTGCCAACCGGAATCTCCATTGATATATCACTGCTCAGTGACCTGAATTGGATTAATGGTTTAACTACGCATCGTTCTGACTGTAAGAGAAGGAATCTGGTGGAAATGCGATAATGCCAGCCGTGGATATCAGTTAAGCGGCTCTTATCTAACTTGTTTAACTAAAGCACTAGCGTCGCTCAGTATAACTCCCTTGTGATGTGGATCAGCCTGCAGCGAGTCACGTGAGCCCATTAGCTCCAATTTCACGGAGTTGGTAAACTTGACTTCTATCAGTTTCAAACTGCGTCCATACACTGTAAAAAGCAGTGCCTCACCCTGCTATTATACCAGCATCAAATCTACAGAGACTTTCGGGCATCTATAAGCTCCCTGTTTACCTCTTTGCAAAGCCACGTGCATTCCCTCGCAGCTTTAACTAGAGGCTTTCTAGTTACCATCCCGCTACTAACAACATCACCATACCATTAACCATTCGGTTACGACAGACTCATATCTCAGCTCACATCATCCATTACTATTTCTTGCCTAGTTTTGGCAGCTGGCTAGAAGCTAACCGCTCTTCTTCAACTCAAAAAGAGAAGTCGTACTGATCATTGCCATGTTCAGGCAGCATATCAATATAGCCTTCACATTCACTAAATACCCTCGCTTTGCTTCGACAATCCTCCGCATTCAGCATCATTTGATCCAGCTACCAGACAAATTAAAGATTTAACCGAAATAGGTAAATAAGATGTATGGATGATAACACCTCGCTACAACAACATTTTTCCTCACGCAGGCCTGAGAAACTTAACTTGCCTCAATATCCCTACATCGTCTCGTAATAGGTAAACCAGAACATGAAGTAAGCCTTACTCACGTTGGCAAGATTTAACCCCGGGTTGTTGTCGGTTGTGACCTGGAATGTCCATTGAGTAAAAGGCCCTACCATTGCATAACGGTCCTCTCCTACTGATCCCACATCCCCGTCTGTGGTGCCTGGGCCCATCGTCATTGGGTCTTTGATATTATATCTGAATTTAGTTATAAGTGGGTCATGGACAAAGTCGAACCGTTCATCCTGCTTATTGAGTATGGTCTCCTTTCCCTGGTGCTTCAGCGTCAAATCCAAGAAATGAGAACCAGTCTCGGCCCCGTCTAAATAGAAGCGAACCTTGGTTAATCGGATGTCAACCATAGAACCGAATGGATTCGGCTTATGGATATCAAAAACTGGTATTTCAACGGTATGCGTGATGCCGTCCGTTCCACTATCCTTGATCATGTCGACATACATGTCATCGATATCGTATCTCAGGCCATTAAATTTCTGAGGCTCGGTACCTGCTTTTTCAAGGAAAGTATTATACCGGGTGATGAGCGTTGAGTTAACCGAAATCAACGTTGTTGCATTGAACGTTGAGAATTTGAATCCTTCCATCTGTTCCCCCACTACATTTGCCCGGTCTAGGCTGACGAACAGGTAGGAACGCTGCGCTTTATACAACCATTCTTGCGTGGTGTGGATAGCATCAGTGTAAAGCTTTTTCATGAAAGCTGTCATGGTCGGATGGTCTGCCCCAAGTTGGTCATACTCCTCCCGGGAGATGTCTGCCCGTTCAGCAGCAAGGGCATCGAGCTCCGTCTGGTACTTGATCAGCAAAAGGACTGCCTCTGTATATCCAATGACAGCAGCATTTCGCTCCTTCACAATTGCTGCCATGGTCGTTAGCCGAAATATGAATACTTTTACCTTGGAAATACAACTTACCGATATAGTCGTGGAACCTCTTCCTCAGGTTGTCCAGCACTGGTTTTCCCAGAATATCTTCGAATTGGCTCCAGAAAGCGTCCGCTTTCTCCGCAATTACTTGGAGCTTTGTTGCAGCTGGATCATCGAAATCCACGCCGCCATCTTTGAGCAACGTATACCCTTCGGCCAAACCTTCTATAGACTCCTTCATATCCTTGGCATCATGTAGCAGCAAGCTTCTGTCGATCTTTACACCAGAGTCGGATTCAAGCTTCTCTATGGCATTGTGGATGAGGTCTGCGCCTTGCAATGCGACCATAGGTGCGGATCCATGCACAAAGATCACCTGCGACAGGGCAGACATAAGGTCCTCCCAAGAGACGGTGACCCCTGTTTTGACCTGTTCCTCAACCTCCTTAAAGGCATTCATCAAACTTTTCTTTGCCGGACCAATGGATTCCGTTGATAAGTGAAGCCTTTGCAAGTTCATATCGAGATCGTTCTTCTTTTCTTTGATTTCATCTTGAACCAGGCGCTTTCGGAAGTCACACTGAGCTAACCTATTCCTAATCGCTTGCTTCTTCTCTTCGGCATTCATTTCACCGCCCAAAAACCTGCGATAGGTTTTTTCAACCTCTTTCAAGTTTTCGAGCAGCGGTTCGACGGCTGTTTTATAGAACCCGAACGAACCGCGTGGCACTTTCTCTCCGTCATCACCGAAGATCGTCTTCCCTGACAGGAGATTCAATAGGTTTCCTTGGGCTTCGTCCTTAATTGCGCGCAAGAGGGTGAATGAAATGGGTTCATCCCCAGGCGCCCCACTAAGGATGAACAAAGATGGTTCTGCTTTGCGATATGCCTCGGCTAGGCGTGTTTTGGATATCTTCTGGTCTTTCACGTCTCCCAGGAAAGCCAGCCTCCGTGCCAGGCGGCTATAAATGTTCGCTGAGCGGGCTTTTTCGTCGAGGGATCCACAGAACCAGAGTAGGTTAGCCATATCTAACAACATCCGGCACTGTGTCGGGTGCACGAAGCACACTTCACTGTCCAATATTTTCCCCGGGTCAGACAAGATGTAAACATTGTGGCTCCCGGGTTTACCAGTGTCTCCATTCGGTCCCCGTTGCTTATCTCCCATGCTGCCAGTACCGTATGGCCCACCCTTAACGTTAGTGTGTTGTTCAAAGGCGTTGGCCAGACTATCTCGCTGCGCTGCCAGGTCTATAAGAAACTGTATGAGAGTCGGCTGTATCGACTCTTTTGGAGTGGCCATCATGATCTTTACCGTGCTCAGTGACGTTGGTATCGTCATGGCTGTCATGATTTCTTTCAGGGCGATGAAGCCGACGAATCGTTTAATCTTATCCTCGAAATCTGTAGGCCACATCTTCTTTGGATCCATCAGTCCTTTAACGATCTCGGCACCTTGCTCAATGGCCTGCTCGAAAATGCAACCAAAGATAACATCGACCCTTCCCCCTTGCCCCCCATTTCCGCCGCGGGGTCCAACATCTTTCCCAGTCACTGGCTGCCGGTTGGCTCCTGGGCCTCCTCCAGCTGCGTGGATTGTATCTGGTTAGTAATCTTTTGTCTATCCAAGTACGGGAAAAAAGATAATCTGCTAACCATCAAGGTGTAGTTTTTCTACGGAAGCAGCCTCCACATGCTCCGCGAATATCTGCAATGTCCCCCCTTGGTATGCATCAGGGTCGCTTTCAACACCCCCTTTCCCGGAGATGATAATGCTACATCCTGTACTGGTCAGCTCTGGCCCGTAGAGCTCACCTGTATAGATGCAATATTTATCAAACGGCTCCTTCTCCTCATTTTCTGAAATTAAGTCGTGCGTCAGAGAAAATTTCTCTACGTAAAATGCGAATGGCGTTTTGATAGTTCCCCCAATACTAGGTGCATCATCGGATACTGAGAGAAAGAGCTGTGGGTTAACTACCGGATACTGGACGGTGTCCGAGTCCGGAAGCGGGTCAGAATTGGGCGAAATTATTGCGGAGGCTGGTGATTCCATTATTTCCATGGGAGCAGGCTGATGCTACTAGGGCGATTTTCAGAATGTCTGCTTGTCCCTATATAGCCTTTATTTTTTAAGCCCCCCTCCCCTGTTACACCCACGTCATTTATGGTTTCTCTTCTCTTATAGGCCCTTGCTAAGCTGCCCCAAGACTGGTACGTTTCCCCAAACAAGAAAGTATCATTTGCATGATGCAGTAAACCCTTGCGCTACAGGCATTATTTTGACGCCAACTTCATGTCAGATTCAGCCAGCCCGAGACGTTCATTACGTATTTAGCGGAAACATTCAGTCCGAGAGAATGAACTGTATGCAGATGCGATCTACACCTATCAAAGACATCCTCGAGTTATAGACTAGGCAGCCCGATTTCATTTCAGCCTGCGTATACACCCCTCCAGCAAACTTCCCCCGCACTCCTCTATTCAATTAAGGCAAAGGGCACCCTCCGTCCAATTTGATAGAGATAAGAGCCAAATGAACCATTATCCACATACGGCAATGCTTAGCGCAAGCCAAAGATTTAGAGTGCTATCACCCCCTAAGTTGCTGCAGAGATTTATAATATTATGTATATGGTTTGTAAAGGGCTTCAGTATATATATACGCCGATAGCTGTTGTCCCATTCAGTTATAAACACGGTAACCAACACCCTCTTGAGCGCTCTTCAATTGATACCACTGATTGATACCCCTGGACCCCAACGTCCTTGTTTACACTTCACTCCACGCGATGACTACACAATATGAGAAATCCGATTATTATGGCAAGCTCAGTGGTAAAGTGACGACCGACGACTGGGATATTCTTGTGTCATATACACGGCAAAAGCTGAACCACCTGCTGGACCAAACCTGGGGCACAAAGCCACTACTCCAAAATGTCAAGTTTACGAGTAAGCCGTATATTCCAGGCGTCGATGTCACAGAGGACTACGACTTCGCTCTCGCCTCTCCCGTACTGAACTTTGGGTACCTGGACGGGAACCCAAGGGCACTCCTAAAAATGGGATTCTCTGGATCAGTAACCAGCACCGTGAAGCCTAACAAACCAGTCACTACCCCAATTCCAGCCGACGTCTATTTCTTACAGATAGGTGTCCCCCTTGCGTCTTTCAGTGCTGAAGAGGACAAGTTCTATGTTTGTTTACCCCCTTTAGAAGATAGATTTACGTGAGGCTGACATTAACTCATTAGGAAGGCAAAGACGTGGTGGAATTTGAATCCAGTAAGGAGGCCGAGCACCATATAGTCTTCCATTTCCAAAATGAAGACGCCACATCCTGGGATTTCACTGCCGACGAAACTAAACCGCATCCGCTGCTGGAAAATCTTCTAAAGGCTAAAGGGGATATCGCTACTTGGTTCGGGTCCCAGTCCCACGTAGCATGGGTCGAGTACGCTGTCAATAAAATATCAAGCAAAAAGGATCCCACTTCCGTCCTCCTCCGGCCAAAGTCTTATAAATTTATAATCGCAGAAGATACCCTATGCGTGTTTATCCAAACCGAAGGCAGCGGAAATCCACAAGGAAACACCCAAGGTACCCGATTCGGTCGAAAGTACGACCACTTCGACTTCAGTCCAATTCCAAAAGATTATACAGGCTCCATCATCCTCTCAAGGGACGTGTTTTTTCAAAAATTTATATGGACGCAGATCCAAAACATTCTCCCCGGTGGTGTAGTCGACAAGACCGCAGGAGCCGGCGCGAAACTCGAATTGCGTCCTACGGGCCTTTTGAACTCTGGAGGAAGTGCTTGGATTGGCCAGTGGTTCTGTACCCTTGAAGCCAGCAAGATCGACTGTACGGATCATCCTCTTACGATTGAATTTTTCGATGAAGCCCCATTTGATAAGCCGAAATATAAATGGTCATGGACATTTTCAGGGAAATTTCCCTTTATCGAGAATGATAATGTTATTCACATCACTTTATCGTGTGAAATCCCAACGGTAAGCCTTATATTTCCCGCGGAGGACTACGTTCTATTGCTGATATCTTATAGAAAACTAAAACCCTTGCAACTGTTGAGGGCGACACGATGAAATTCACCCTTGCGTTTGAATCTGCGGATCAACCTCCTACCAAGTCTGATATAGACATTAGCCCAATAAAGGCAGAAATCAACTTGCCGACCTTCACCGTGGACTTGCCTGAATTAAACTTCTTCTCAACCCAAAATATATTTGCTCCTGGAGAGAGGTTCATCCAAGTCTCCGATCTTATGTTTCCCTCCGACCTGGTTCTCTGCGGTAACATGCCCAGCTAAGGCATCCAAGTTACCGGGCTCTAGGTAAGTGTACTTGGAGATCTTGGAGATTACATTATGACAACTTCGGGTCAATTTCGGGTCAGTACAATTCTATAATGACATTCGGTTTCCTATTTAAATTAGCAAATGATTTCGGGATTTTATTTGAGTATTTGTAAACACATCCGGTTTTCTAGTACTTGACTAGAAAAATAAATATATGGCCTATCTTTTTATAAATAGGGGTGATTTCCCAAATCTATATTGTTGACAGCTTAATGAGCTGCTAGTTGTAGAGATATCACCTGCCCAAACCATGTAAGCCGTCCGCGATTATTGGCTGATTCGCAAAACCGTAGTCTAGTTTTATGCATTTACTCCTAATGATAGAAATACTTTCTTTAAAACGAGGGATAGGGGATGTGGTCAAATCCTCACATACACGATTAACTATTTATGCAGGTTGACCATGAAAGGACATACAACTGGTAACCACAAATAGCAATCGTTCAAGGGATCAATCCCTCCAGTTCCTTACGAATGCGGCCTTGATTGTATTCTTTCCGTCGCCTGTCCATCTCCTCCGTAACCTCTTTTCTTGCCTCCTTTAACTTCAATTCAGTAGAACGTTCTTCACGCTCTGTCTTATCCTTGGTTTTTTTATCGATATCATCTTGAATGTCCTTTGCTTTCTTTTCGAATTCGTCCTTGATAACTTTCGCCTTTGCCCTCCATTCAGGGGTACCAGGCGGATCCGTTATTTGACTAAGTTTTTTGTCTCTGTCGGTTTCTTCAGATTTGATCTCATCCCCCAGCTTTAAGATGTCGTCCGGTAATACATGGTCCGCCATTTTTTTGTCAATGTATCGTTGGAGTAGGCTTTCAACCTCGATGGAAGGCACTTGCTCCTCGCACTTTTCTTTGACTGCGGCCGCATATGCCTCCTTAAACTCTCGAGTCCAATACTTCCTGAAGTAACGGTATCTTTTGTAGACACCATCGTCCAGTTTCTCGTGTAGATAAAGTTTATAATTCCCTTCGAGTTTTTCCTTGACGATTTTGGACAGATCCGGATCCCTTGTCTGCTCCAGACTCAGTTTACCGACAACCTCTCTGATCCTTTCATCCAACATCTGGTCGAAATCCACATACGTTAGTTTCACGTCAGTTTTGAGGCCACGGGAGCATCCCTCGATGCCATAATTTCTCAAAGCCGTGATGAAACCGATTGAAAAGCCCCCTGCCGCTGTTCCAACTGCTCCGCCTATGAGCTGAAAATACAAGACTCCAACTCCAGCTGCCGCCACTGTGAATAGGAGGTGGAAGGTGCCGAGAAACAGGTCGCCTTTATCAACACTGTTGACAGTTGTGGCTGCAGTGGAGAGGCCTGTGGGTTTCTTTTGGATGCCAATTAAATCCAGAGCCATCGCCAGTGACTCAGCCGCGGCATCCTCGCGGACATTGACTGCAGCAACAGCCGTTTCCTCTGATACATCGCTGCGTGGGTTCGAAATCATCTGGCTGGTGCACTCCTTCTCCAAGCAATTTCCCCAAGGATGATACCGCTTAGCAGTAATGGAGGTCTTTTGTCCGACATTTTCGCTCTTCCAGGTTTCTCCTGAAAAGCCTGGTGTTACCGGGGGGTCTTGCGTTGGGAATTCACATTGAAACTGAACTCGGAAGTTGTCGGATGATGCGGTTGTGAAGGTGACCCATCCCTGGTTATCCACACTTTGACTTGTCACTAGATTTCCATCCACTATGAAGGAGTGTATGTCAGTGTCCTGATGTCAGGCATCATTCTTGTCAGTAGTTAAGGGAATTCACCGTAGATCTTCCCAGTAGCGGAATGAACCATTAACTCCCAAAAGCCCATAGCGTTACTATCAAAACGATATACGCCTCCCGCAACACGCAATTCAAAATTAGGACCAGCATCCACTAAGGTTATGAACGCCTTCCAATCATCTGAATTGAATTTAAAGCCCTGACTAGCAGTATATTCCGGTGGATGGTCCTTGTCGTCATCGCAGGAATTCAGAAGGCCCAGCAATATATCATTGTCCGTATAGACCTTATCGAAATACGCCTTTAACGCATCTGCCACTAGGATTAGCTAACTCATTGAAGATAACATTGATAAGAGCATACCTAAAGTGTCGTTTTGCATGTTTGCTGTTTTACACTTTGCCTGAGCAGCTCCCAATCTATAGAAGATGGACGCGTACTAGAAAATGCTGGCTGTTGATCGGCGAGAAGTGAGGGTATGAACCTCAGGCCGTTTGATATATACTCTGTCCAGATGATGCAGTTAATTTATACCAGTACTCTACATCCCACACAGCTTCCCGCATATCCAGGCGAAAAAAAAAACAACCTCTTAACGGAGTCAAAGCCTCCGTCAAGGTAAATACATGATCTAAAAAGATCGCAAACCAAACTGATATCTGAGGTTGTCCAACCCGATATGTCGGCATTGCAGGATTCAAAATTCAGACTCAGCCAGCCCGTTAGAGACACGCCAGAACCGAAAGCGGCATTTGGTATATGTCATATGCACAAGTTCAGCCAGCCCATTCCGGATAAGGGTTTATGCTGTGTCAGTGCGGAGTAGGTTTTGCAGAAGCTTTAGCTCAGTATTAACCTATATAATAGGAAATTCAAGCCTATGGCAATATATAGACATTTCAGCTTATGCACGGAAAATCAGGCAGACATGCATAGTTCAAATATAAATACATGGGTATAGATATGATATAGAACTCAGTTTACCCAAATAACCTTAGGAATCTTCTAGGAATTTGAAAGAATTCCCCTTATTAGAATATGGATATTTAATAGGTAGTTTCTGTCATATACTCAGCAACTTAACGTGGCTGGTTATAGAGTTGCTTAGTCGGTAAAGCTGACTAAGCTCCCATGAAATGGCACATAGCATCAAGGTCGATGTTCCTATTAGTATATTTTTGGAGGCCTGCATGGTAGGCGATGAGTATGGTTGGTGATACCATCATCAGTGTGGTGCTGGTGGGAATGGTGGTGGGAATGGTGGTGGGAGCAGTGGTTGAATTGCACGGAGTACAGAGCATGCTGCATCGATCTCGTGTATTCGACTGACAACCTGCATAGCAGGCTGTGGCAGTGGTGGTAGGTGGGAGCAGTTGGAGGATGTCGAGGCTGTATTTTTGGTGGCAGGCGACACGATGGTTGCTTGCATCAGGAGTAAAATTAAGCTTAGTCAGCGCCAAGCCCTTATGCAGGTCTACCGAGGTTCTCCCAAAATAGCATCTTGGCGAAGTTTGTATTATTGAGTTCACGACTGCTTCAACTGCGTTATCGATAACCAAACAGCTATTTTACCGTTCAACCACATTGTCCTGAGCTCAGAGTGCAATGACGGAGCTGCCCCCCAGCGAAGCTGCTACAGACGAGATGAGTGTAGTTGCGAGAAGCCCAATTCACTTTGGGCCCTTTCTTGTAACACCGCAGGTACGTTGCTGGACCCTAACTTAGAGCTATTAGCATCGTCTTTCAAGATTTCCCCTTCGTGAGACTGGCATGTAGCCAGGTAGGCGGCTAGTTAACAGGCACTCAAATAGGTCTTCTTCGTCACACCTCTCTCTTTCGCCGTTGTTAACCTGAAACCGCTTCTGCCAGGCCATGTCCTCGTCTGTCCGCTACGCCGCACTCCGCGGCTTTCAGACCTGACCCCCGCCGAAACGACGAATCTCTTTCTCACAGTCCGTCGAGTCAGCCGCATGGTTGAACGCATCTACCAGGCCTCAAGCTTAAACGTTGCTATTCAAGATGGTGTCGATGCCGGACAGAGCGTGCCTCATGTACATGCGCATATTATACCCCGGAAGAAAGCTGATTTGGACCACAAGGGTGGCTCGGATGCGATTTACGGTATGCTGGATGGCGAGGAAGGCGATCTTGGTCGATTTTTAGCGGAGAGGAAACTTGCCATGGAAAATAAGCGGACGCGGTCTGGGTTCCCCGCTGTTGACAATGATTCTAGGGAGCCTAGGTCCGATGAGGAGATGCAGAAGGAAGCGGAACTGTTGGCTGAAGAGATGGAAAAGGAGATAGAGATGGAAATAGAAAGCTCTAAGAGGGCATATGATAACTGAATCAATAGGAAAAATGGACGTAATGGCCTCCTTTAGAGTTGATGGGATATCTATCGGATATTCAACAATACTTTTATAGATTTCAGTGAGAAGTTGGAAATCTATTCTAAAATGCTTCTATAACTAAATACCAAATCCGCCGTTTTTGAAACCTACAAAAAATATCCTTCTTCACCAGTACATACCTCAGAGTACTGTTGAGGTTTAAGAAAGGCTGTCTCTTTTATAAGGACTCACAGCTTTCGTCCCAAGATCAGAGCGCTGAGCCATTCAATCTTTACGACCGTATCCTCTGGAGACGGGGTGTCTCGTAGACTATCCTCCGCCTTGATAATGCTTTCCAACATTTGATCTGCAATATCTCCAGTTCCGCCCTCACTCCGTCGAACTTGGTTCGGATGATCGTCTTTCCAACGTTGATATGCGCTCCATGTACGAGTATACTCAGTCGCCTGGCGAAGCGTCATCTCAGCTTCCATGAATTTTGTCCCCTCGCCAGAATCAGGGCCATTAAGGCCTGGCTGGTATTCGATTCGCTGAACATCCGCCCATTCATGCGTCGGCGGCTGTATAGCACGTAGTTTCTCCCGCATGATCGAGCTGCCAGGCTGTATCCAGTAAGAGGCAAGGCTGTCTTTGTCCGAGCCGTAGCAGTAATTTTCCATTACCGCGTTGCCCTTGGGATAGTCCACAAGAAAATGATCTGAGTATCCCCAGAATGCAAGCGTGCCGCCGGGTTTCATCACCCGCTGTAACTCTGCGAAGAGAGGCTGGTAGCTGAACCAGTGGGCAGCCACTCCGGCCACAACCATGTCCACGCTGTTATCTTCGATGAACGGAAGAGACTCGGCAGCTGCTTGAACAAATTCAACATTCTGTTCCTGTGTTAGGTTCTTCGCCTGCTCTATCATGCCGGCCGATGGGTCGATGCCGTGGACTTTCTTAAATTTCGGGGCGAGGGCACGGGAAACCAGGCCATGGCCGCATCCAAGATCCACACACGTGTTGTATTCCCCCTGATGGTACGAAAATATCATGTCATACAGCTTCTGAGGGTATTCTGGGCGAAATGAGGCGTACGCCGTATATGAAAAGTTGTTGCTTCTATAGAGCTCAGTCGCATTAGTTTCATAACATCCGCACCAATCGGTCACCTTTTCCCCCAGGCAGTCTGGATATCGAAGAGTTTACTAACGCAAAAGTTGCCATTGCCTGCGATTTGACCCTTTTCTCTTGGTTGGTTACTTTGAATGTGTTGTTGTCAATCTGGAATAGTGGTGGGGTTTGAGAAGGAAGTAAGAAGTATGGGAGTGTTCATTCGAGTTTATATATGCAGCCACCAGATGGCGAGAAAGTAACCGAACTTTGCCGAGCAAGCACCACGGGCAAGACATTCACCATCTCGCACATCCTGGGGCGATTGATTAGTTATATTTAGAAACCTAGAGAGCTTGAAATCCACCTGAGATCCACTGTTGTAAGGAGTTATCCTTTCCGACTCTCATTTGTAGATTTGGCCGGTGAACGGCTCCCGTGAAGCTTAGCCATACAAGAGCCTCCATTAGCTGCAAGCTGCATGCCACGAGCTGTAAACATAAACATCATGCATGGACGATGTCTCGGCTAAGGGAGGCGTCCGTATTCGTCGAGATCTTCCTGCATGGAGCGATTGATTCTGCTGCCCTACCACCTGTCATGTTCGGTCTATCCCCCGCGTATAGACATGGCTATAAGCATGTGTCTATCGGGATAAGAACCTGATCCTCTGCCTCCATGACATAGTAGCCTAGACTAAGTCCGTCATGGGTGTTGACTTGTCGCCAGAATCTGCGCCAGGACTGTCTTGGGTGCGATTCCTCTGTTCTGATAACCTCCTCCGGCTGGGCCATAAGGACCCTGGTGTAGATGTATTTATCCAAAGCGACTTCTAGGCATTTCAGCTTGGTTGAATAATGGTGAACCAGCTGGTCGGTAGTATAGAAGATTGCCGCGCTTACAAGAGGATAGCCGCAAAGCCCAGGCTGGATCCAGCCAAATACTTCGTGGGCGTGCCTTTCTAAGAACCTGCCGCCTCTCCTGATGTGTAGGCGCAGGCAGCGTAGGTGGGGGAAGAAAGAACAGAGAAATGCAACCAGTGCAGCATGGTCTCCAACATCCATGGCGTCGCCGTCCGGGATGATTCTAGATGTTAGTTCAAGAGAGGTGATTCCTTTGATATAATGCCCTGGGATCAAATTGGGCAGCTTGAATATGAGACCATCGAAAAATTCATCGTTGATGATGAATGTATTTGTGTGATAGAGAACTGACATCGCCTCCGTATAGCTATTCGACATCGCATTAGACACAAATCAAGCATATACCGAGAGTGATAATAGTTAAATAAAGTAAAAATAAGAAGACAGCCTTACCACTGGCGCGACGTCAGGAGCCACTCCAGCACTCCGATGAAACAGCTTGAATGATCTCCATAATGGGCACGACAGGACGTATACTGCGGCAGAGCGCAGCGGTCGTTCCAGAAGGGGAGGTTTCTGTACCTATGGCAGACACAATGCCACCAGCGCCACTCTAAATTGTGGTCGTCCGTCCGTTTGATCGTGTCGAGGCGAGCATGAGCCTTCCCAGCAACGTAGGAATTGGAATAGTTCAGGCTGATGTGTATCGTCCTCGCTCCGAACATAGCAACATACACCATCCGCCGGATCTCCGGCGGCAAGCGCGTGAAGAAGAGGCTGTTCTCCGTCGCCCACTGCTCGTCCGGCGCGCTGGGCGCATATGCCAACGACAGCGGCCGCCGGTTAGAAGGGATAATCGGTATTATGGGCGTCCGCGGCCGCTGAAGACGAGGCCGGGGTGCAATTCGCGAAGGCCTCTCGCCGTGCTGGTCTGGAGGGCCGCCGCGGTGGGTTATCTTCTTTCGAATCCACTCGCTGAATTTCTGCATTCTTCTTTCCCTTTGACATGTACGACGTCACGGCTGCAGAGAGGCGTCAGTGAATAGCGTGGATAGACTGCCAGGCCGTCCATCGCAGGCCAGATCAGGGCCCTGCAGGCAAAGAAGGCTGGGAGATTATTTGAGCGCGCGATGACTTGCAGGGCCGCTAGGGGGTCAGCGATGCGACGAGTCCGATGTTGGTGCCCGCTGCCGCGCCGGTTCAGCAGCAGGGCCGGCGTTGAATCATCTGGCTATTATGCGAATTCATCAGTACTCTACTCCCTATATCATCATCAGCTCGTCTTAGCCGCTGGTCTCTGCTGTTGGTCAAATAGAATAGACAGATCAGTAAGTAAATAACCGCGTTGGCGACGGGCGAACCTTGCAGGCGGCAAAAGCAAATTGACTATAACCGTAACCACCGCGGGGTGAGAAGACTAACTGAGAACAACATCTCAATCGTCTTGTTTGATACGATATTGTATCTGCCTTCGAGACTGATAATATCCTTAGTTATGGAGGCCGCTGTCAAGCTGTTCTTCTCCTCTCCGCGCTTTGCTGTCGCCGGCGCCAGCACTGATACTAGCAAGTTCGGATACAAGAGTAATAGCTACCAACCCCTCTACCCCGGTGGATGATAGATACCTAGTAATAAGAATACTGATCTGACGGTTTTCTCTAGTTCTCGCATGGTATCATGAGCACTCGCTGGCCGTCACTCCGCTGAACCCGAGGGCGCCATCGATCTCGCTGCCGTCGAAGTCATACACCACAGTGGCATCCCCGTCTGACCTACCAATGCCCTCACAGACGTCTCTCTCAATCGTGACGCCGCCAAAGGTGACTATCCAGGTCCTGCGGGACGCAAAGTCAGTGGATGTGCCGGCCGTGTGGCTGCAGCCAGGGACCTATGACGATGAGGTACTTGAATATGCCCGCGAGAACTTCAAGGCTGCCATCGGGGGACCAGGAGGCCAGGGCAGCGAGGGCTGGTGTGTCCTCGTAGACGGCGAAGCTGGACTCGATGCTGCCGGAGTAGAGTGGACTTCCCAGAAGCTGTGAAGGGACAGCTGATGTTTGGCGGGATTGATGTACATGAAAAACCTGCTTTTTTTGGACATAACATACAGCTCAATGAATAAATATACTGGATAAGAAATGACTCGTTTGCTACGAGAATACGCAGTTTGTGATTCATGGTAGGGCGGTATAGATAGGTATTCTGATAGACGAACTCATTTTGGTTTGTATGCGTATGAAGCACTTCTCATCCTCCCTTGAGGGGGTAGGCATCAACTAAGTATCAAGACACTGAACAACTCGTTTACTTGCCCAAAAAAAGAAACGAAGAGCAAACTTGCTGAAACTGAGGGCTCATCTTGTATGTCCCTTCAAGGCGAAAAGAAACGAAAACACTGAGATAAAAGGACGAAGTGAGAGACATGGTATCATCAGGTCATTAAAGCGTGGCATTATCGGGATATAAAGATATCCGCTGAGAGACATGGTTCGTAAAGCGTTGAAGAGCGAGAAGTCACAGGCTAGAAACGCAGAGAAAGGAAAACAATAGAACAGAAAATCCAAAGAAAACGGTGTAAACATCAATAAAGGGGAAAGGGAAAGCGTAAATATGGGGCGGATTAATCCCATTCATCCAGGTCCATTTCGTCAACCTCGATCCGTGTCCCCAACGCCTGTCTCCCTTCTCTAATCATGGCCTTCAGTTGGTGATTCAGCCTGCGTATACTGGCATCTTCTTCACGCTCCTTACGTCTCAATTTGGCGGCATGTCTCTGTGTCTCTCGAGAGAGCGGGCTGTCGTCAGGGTTTGCCACAGTAGTGTGCTTCGGTGGTGTCTTGTAGATGGATGGAGTAGACGAAGAAGAGTAGATCTGCGGAGAGATGTTCGTGGAACGTGTTGGCGTAATAGGAGTCATGGGCCGTTTAGGCTGTAATCTAGCAACAGAGCGGCGAGCAGGCACATGGTGAACAACGCTGTTCCTGCGAGAATGCTTCCTAGAGTTGCAGGAAGATGGGCTGCTTTCCTGGGAATCCTCGTCTTCCTTGACCAGAACCCAGTTGTTGTGTATGGATTCACGGCGTGGCTTGTCGATCTGACAATGGTCGTCTACCGGGTAACGGCCGGGAACTGGTACATCATCCATCAAACGGCTTGACCGTCTCTTCTGTGATGGAGTAAGTCTGTCCCTTTTCTGGCTCGGTTGCACCGTTGCTGTGGAACTGTCCATATCGTACCCCCTGCCTCCGCCGGCGTGAAACCCTCGGAACGGAGCGGACAAGCAGAAATTCCACACTTTCCCAGCAACGCCTCCAACGAGGTTGAGGACTGCCTCACCCCAGCCTGGAGTACTCTTCACACTGACGCCGTCGTCCTGCGGAGCCGGAGAGTCCCGTTTCCTTTTTGTTCCTTCAACATTTGACGGCGTAACCGGTACGTCCGCCATTGTCCGACTAGGCTTTCGATATCTCGTGGGACGATAATCAAGTTCGGTTTCTTCATTATCGCCATCACGCTGTGACGAGAATCCCAATATCGACTCCCTGGCCGACGTCAGCAGCCCTGTATCCAGACCTCCCTCTGCCAGTAGATATTCGGTGTTGGCCAGAGGCACAGGGCTGGCGATCCGCGAGACAGGAGACGGGTGATCCCAGATAACCCGGTCGTCCAGGCCAACCATCCTCCCGTCGAGCCCGCCATATCCATAGCGAGCACGCTTGCAACTGCTCATGAGCGGCGATGAGAGGGTGCGACACAACGACAGCGAGGATGCCGCTGAGGCTGGCGGTGGTGAGTAGTAAAAGCGAGATCTTGCACCGGCCAAGTCCAGCTTCGGCGGAACCGGGCTGTCGAGGAAGAAATCGCTTGACATCGAAGTCTGCGTAAACGAGGACATGTACTTCGTATCTCTGGTTGATGAGGATGAGGATGACGGGCTGCAAGCAAGCGAGAGGAAAAGGCTTGTGCCTTGATATTGACAGTCACAAAAAAAAAATGAGGCTGGGATTTGTTTGGCTGGTGAAAAGTAGCGTTCACTCTTGGCGCGCTTCCAACCATTTTCTTTCCTTTTTTTTCTGGATAATCAGCTGGCTGTTTGCTTACTATCACATGGATAGCCGGAATACTACTGTAGGAATATATACAAGTGAGAATAAAGAGAGAAAGAGGAAGGAAGGAACAGATTGCCGTGATTAATTATGTCAGTTATGTTCCTGGTTAGTTAGTACCCATACAGGTTGGTGGGTGTGGCATTCTCCCGCAGCCGTTTGTTCTCCTTCTTCAGCAGATATCTCATCCACCAGGCGCAGAAGATGGAGAAGAGGGCAAAGCCGGCAGAGCAGCCAAAGCCGATGCCGTATCTGGGCGAGTCGGATTTGGGCCAGACATACGCTCCGTATATATACCCTATCTGTCCCCCAACATTCGTCATGGCAAGGACGACCTATATTCATGGTTAAACCGCGGTTCCCGGATAGAAGTGCTTGGTTCTGGTTCAAGAGGCTGAACTTACAGCTTGTTTCTCGCGAGTCTGAGATAGAGTTGACGAAGCCCAACCAATGATGACTGAGTTCACTGAATAAGCGCCGATGGGGAAGATGAAGCATGCAACATAGCGGCCTGCAGTGTTGAGAGTCGAAGCAGCAATCACAAACCCGACGATAGCAGTTGTAAGACCCACGGTGATATGCCAGGTACGCTCGTGGAAACGCCCGGATGTGTATCCAAAGAGTATACCCGCAGCTCCGGCGAAGAGGAAAGGAGGGCATGTCAATACCAAAGTGACGGTTGTACTGAAGCCAAGTGTCTTGACGACTCTGAGGTTTATGAGGGCCTGTGTTAGCTGTCCCTGAGACTATACCCAAGCTACAGAATATAAGAAACACTTACGTCGGAAAGAAACTATTAAATCCACAGGCAGACAGATGAAAGTTCTGCATCAGACAGAAAATCCATGTTCTCGGGTCCCTGACTGCTTGCTTGAGGCCTTCCATAGTCGATGCTTTCTCCGGTTCTCCCATCTTATCTCTCTGGATTCTCCCATGTGCGAGTTCACGCTCCGCGGGATCCAGCCAGCGAGTAGTCAAAGGTGTGTTCGGGAGGAGCCAGAAGCCAGCAATGGCAACAGCAGCTGAGACGGAGCCTTCAATGATAAAAAGCCTAAATAATATCAGTAAACACGCCCATACCAAAATATACATCTAGGGCGGCCATACCATCGCCATCCTGACAATCCCCTTGCTTGATCAAGGCCAGAGAAGACCCCTGCAGCAATCAATCCAGCGAACCCAGTTGCCAAAATCTGTGCAGCGTACAGCATGGCGATTCGAGCAGCAACTTCTCTTCTAGTATAGAAGATGGACAATATATACGTTGCTCCAGGGTAAAACTAAAGGGTTGGTGATCAGCAGTGTACAACACCATTCAGTCTGTCTGTGTACACTTACAGGAGCTTCTGTGACCCCAAGAAGGAAGCGGCATACCACCATCCCAGAGTATGACTGAACCAATGCCGTGCAAGCTATAGAGGTTAGAGTTATCCCCAACCATAGGCGGCAAACCACATACCCGAAACCGCTGACCAAACTACCATCCAGGCACTCATATATATACTCGGCGGCACTCTGGTGATAAGCATGTTACTCGGAATTTGCGTGAGAACATAGCCGACAAATAAAATGGAAATCGTAGTGTTAAACTGAGTGCCGTGCATGCCAAGTTCTTCCTCCAGGTTGTTCAGGCGGGCCTGTGCGAGAGTATTTCTATCGATATAGTTGAGGAAATACATGATAACCAACGTCGGCTACATCAATCATACGTCAGCTTTTGAGATAACCAGGTCCAGATCCATCATAGGACAATAACTAAAGGGCATACCATAATACGCCAGTCCAGCTTTCGAACAAGTCTGACTTCCTCAGGGGATAACTTGGTAACGGCACCGGCATAATCACGGTTTTCCGCAGCGACCTTTTCGTCCATTCCATCTTCAGTCTTGATCCTTTCGACCTTGTTATCCGCTTCGACAGGCGAAATGCCCGTCTTCTCTGATTTATCGTCAGAACTCATCTTTACTGGAGACGATTCCAGAGCATACAAAGCTCAGATAGCCACAAGCTGGAGTATGGGGACTCAGTAAATTTGCTCGACTGTCCTTGAGGATGGGGGATGAGGATCATCTTTTCAACTCCCAGCGGTGGGCTGATCAATTACCATGAGCATTCGCCTGAGGCGGCTGGTTAAACCGCTTCCTCGCTTCCCACACAGGGATGCTGGCAAAGGATATGCAGGTTACATCAGTACAACTGTTCCCTCCAGTGTCAGCCAGCCCTTTTCCTACTCGTCTGATTTTTACCTTTTGCACGGAAGGAGCCTGGATCGACAGCTTGCCATATCACGGGACTGGGATCTAGGTCAGTGCGGGGAAGCTTTAGCCAATGAAATCTAGTGAAATATGTGGAGTCGGTACTAGCAGTCACCTGATTGGTGAGCTAATCTCAACCCCTGCCCAAACACAAAAATAAGATGCAAAGCAAGCTCGCTAGTCACTTCATATATTGGAAAGCTAGAAGGAAGCGAGATCTCGACGTTTAAGGGCGACTTGTATAAGTGTGTTTAGCAGAGGATAGATTTAGGAGTTTGATGCATTTTGATACAATTTGAATATGGGAGGGTTGATATATCCAGGTACTTCAGACAAAGTAAACCGGTATGACTGCTGGTGCCGACAGTATAAGCTTAGATCTTCAAGAGCAGACAGGTAGGTAAATGCGGTTCTGGCACGGAGAATATATTATCTACTGCATATGTGCCACGTGGTAAAGATCCGATTTAGACGTTGACTAGAGAGAAAGCAACATTTATGGAGAAGCTAATAATGTGCCTGTTCAACGGTAGATGGATTTAACGCCTTTCAACACCCGGGGCTAAGCTCAATTGCCTATCTTGCTGTACTGTGTCCAGAGATTAAAGATATTGAGGCCTAGAAATGCCGGCTTATCTGAAACATGTATGCTGTATATCATGTTCAGTGATTCATAGGTGAGTTACTCCGTATAGGCCGATATAGGGTATAAGTGTCTGGGGAAGAATTTCCGAGAAGAAACTCCCGGTTTGGGCTTCAGGAAACTGTTGCCCTAACCAACTATTAGTATATCCAAGGCATATTTCTCACAGCTGGCATCTTCATGTTGAAGTTGATAGAAAGGACACTGACTACTACGTAGCTGTAGATGACAATGGCGAAACCAAGCTCCCCTTGTCAGGAGTGACGGTCCAGTTAAGATTATCATGAGCCTCCGCTCTGCTTGTTTTCTTTAGTCACTAAAACCTCCCGTTGCTTGTCCTTGTCCCGTTTTCTATTTTCTTTTTTTTTTTTTTCCTCGGTTTGTTGGCAGGGGCAAGAGTCTCGAGCACGTGATCGATATTTTTAGGGGCTCGCGTTCCTTCGAGCGACCCATCGGCTAGTTTCATTCCATCAATCTGCCCTGTTCAGCTTCACGGTTGATCCTCCTTGCAGTCAGCGGCAGTGCTGGAGACGATAATAACTGCAACCGTGGCTTGGTGAACGGTGCTGGGCGCGTTGACTGTGGCATTGACGCTGCGTTTGTTGACCCTTATCGGACCATCAAGGTAACTAACAAAACTATACGGCGGGGGTTATTGATAAGGCTTGGAAGTCGCAATTGAATGGTTCCTGGAGCTAACATTACACTGCAACTAGGTCGGCTACTTCGGATGGGGAGATAAAGAATATATATATACCATAGGCCCAATATGACGGCGGTTTCGACTCCGCTCAATCGCCAACCAAGCTGGATTCCGCTTCTCTGCGCCGTGGCAGCCCTTTCCCTCCCAATAACCATTCACTTTATACGCACGCGGAATGATACGATGAATACGGCCGCGCTTACAGTATCTCCGTCTCTTCCGTCTCTTCCGTTGTTTCTGGAGGCACAGAAATGGGCATCCACGGAACCAGGAAAGATCGCTATAATCGATAAAACCAAGAACCTGAGCTTTACCTATCGCCAATTGCTCAACGATGTATCCACATTAAAAAGGCGAATTTTGGCTCAGGTGAAGGTTCAGGATCTCGAAGAAAAAAGAATAGCGTTCCTTGTCCCGGCTGGATATGATTATGTCGTCTGCCAATGGGCGGTATGGGCGGCCGGCGGTGTTTGTGTGCCATTGTGTATGTTGCGACTTATCGACAACTATCAAACGCTCGTCATACTAATTGGGTGATACAGGCACATCTCATCCACCAAAGGAGCTCCTTTATACAATCTCGGATTCAGATCCGTCGTTAGTGGTGCTCCATAGCTCATTCCAACACCTAAAGCCAGCTTTGCTAGACAGGTCCTCCAAAGCCTGCTTCATGGAACTCTCGCCAATTACTGAAAGCAGAGACTGCGCCTCTATACCTAACCTTCATCCGGCATTTGCGCCGTCAAGAAGAGCTTTAATGATCTACACCTCTGGCACAACAGCAAACCCAAAGGGCTGCGTCACAACACATCAGACGATAACGTTTCAAGCAACATCCCTCATACAGGCCTGGAAATATTCCCCATCTGACCACCTAATTCATGTACTTCCTCTTCATCACATTCACGGCATCATCAATGGCCTTACAGCGACCCTACTCAGCGGCGGAACAGTCGAAATGTACCCCAAATTTGATCCTCAAGTTGTCTGGGATAGGTGGAGCAGCCCCGGTTCCTCGACCATGTTCATGGCTGTACCGACGGTTTATTCACGACTGGTTGACTATTTTGATGCTCATATTAGATCAACTGATTCTGAGGCAGCGGCTAGGTCTGGTGCCGGCGCATTGAGGTTAGTAGTCAGCGGTTCTGCAGCCCTGCCTACGCCAATTAAGACAAAATTTCTTGAAATCACTGGGCAAACCTTACTTGAACGGTACGGGATGACTGAAATAGGCATGGGACTCAGCTGTGGCCTAGACGTTTCACGACGTATTGAAGGGAGTGTTGGCTGGCCCCTCCCTGGCGTGCAAGTTCGTCTAACACACCGAGAAACTGGAAATCCAATTCCTGCCACTTCATGTGACGAAGACGGTATGATTGAAATCAAAGGTGATAATGTATTCCTTGAGTACTGGCGGCGACCAGAAGCGACGGCCTCGGAATTTACTAGCGATGGCTGGTTTAAAACGGGGGATGTGGCAAGACGAGATGCAGCAGGTGCGTACTACATCCAGGGAAGAGCCTCCGTGGATCTAATTAAAAGTGGTGGGTATAAAATATCTGCACTGGAAGTTGAACGGAAGATGCTCGCATTGGAAGAAATACAGGAGGTTGCCGTCGTGGGAATTGCTGATGAAGAATGGGGGCAACGTGTCGCTGCCGTCATTAAGCAGAGAGAAGGGGTGAGTGTTCCCCCTTAATCCCCTTTTCTTCCACTCTAGCAGCATATCATATAATGCATTACGTCAATTACTAACATAATATCAGACCACAAAACTAGAACTGCAAAACCTCCGCGCAAAACTGAAGTCTGAGATGGCAGCATATAAGATCCCAAGTGTCCTGAAACTGGTCGACAGCATCGAGAGGAACGCTATGGGTAAAGTAAATAAGAAGATGATTGTGAAAAAGTACTGGCCAGACCTTCAAGGGTGATTACAACTTCACTTATCTCTGGCTCAATTTTTGGAGGCATGTTTAATGCTATCTACCATCGCCTGGCGGTGGCAACATTATATACCTTGTAAATACTACCTACGTATGTGTCTATCATAGCTTCGTGCACAAGCAAGTTACTTAACCAATTACGCGAACGCTTAACTATATGATAAACCTCGTTTATTCTGAGCTTTTGATAATAATGCAGGAAAGTCTTCTATCTTGATAATATTCTACGTGGCTGTTGCTACTGGAGGTAGGGTGCTTATAGATATGCGTAAATACAGGCCATATTCGACTGTATATCAATGTTACTAAAGCACTCAGTTATTTGGTATAGAGATGTCCAATTGTGCTTTACCGGGGCTATGGGCCAGATTCTTACTCGATCCCAGAAACCCAAAAATAGGGAATACTGTCTACCTCTGACATAACGACTTTAGGCCAGTGAAGTCGTATTACATTCTGCCTAAAACAACAGACCTTGGCCTTTTACACCATCAAAAGGGCCCATTATTGCTTCACAGGCATCCAATCCAGCCCGACCAGTACCGAGCCCCGGAAGTTATTCTAGACGCTGGATGGACATATAGCGCAGATATCTAGAACCTTGGGTCACTGGTAGTTTTTACCAGGGAGGGAAAACCTAAACTAACCGATGCTTGATTAGATTTGGAATATGCTTGAATCTCGGGACCTCTTTAATTCGCCGCTTGATGAGGAGGGAAATTATCACTCTGAAGCTCATCTGGTAGAAATGATTGACGATTGCTCTACTCGGCCCACCTCCGAAAGAGCTAATCGATCGCGAGCGTGATGGGCCACCTGCTGCTCAGAGTGAGGCTGGAACGATGTGCAATACGGCTTCCGAATGGTATGGCGGGCCATTCTTTGACGAAAACGGTATGGCTGTTTTCCTACACATTCCTCACTGCTACCAAGTTTCAAACCGATATTATATCAGGGGAGTTCCTGCACAAAGGCACTATACCGTTCGAGGCACCTGAGGCATTGAAGTCGTAGGTGCTGCTTCGTAGTTTAAGGAAGTAAGAAGTATCAAAAACTTTAAATCCTTTTTAGGGCTCTATTACATAATCAGCTGACTAACTAGCGCTTCGGAGATAACGAACTTTAAGCGCGAAACTTGGATGAACCAAAGGCGCAACTCCGAAAAGAACCACAGGACGAGAAGAGAAGACCCAAAGTTAGCCGGGGGCCTTAATCTAGTCCGATATACATCTCTTCTTTTTGTTCGGTTGGTCATTGTTCATTTTTATATATATACTTCTTTCTTCCCCCCGCCCCTCGCCGCCACATCCCACTAGGTTGGATTGGGTATTCGCTCGTTCTCTGCTCGTTTGTCGTCGTCATCCAGGGAGCTTTTGCGCCGGAGATATAATCCGCCTAGAGATTTTTTTAGAGGGTAATCTCACTATTCTCGTTGCGCATGGCACCCACCCGGCTGGTCCGTACACTCAAGCTCAAGCTCAGTCTACGGCCCGCGTGCCAACCTACAACAGCATCGGCGGTTGTGCCTTGGAGATCGGAAAACTCCTTGTCTGTTGCCGCTGGTTCCCCGCTTGGTTCATGCCTCGGCACGTTCTCGGGACAGCAGCACTGCAGGAGAAATCTGACATATAGCCGCTGCATCACGCATTATAACCAGTCACAGCTGCAGTTGCTGGGTGCAGACAGAAGAACAAACATGGGCGACAGCAGGGACGCTTCTGCGAGACGGCTGCGGGCGCTAGCGGAACATATATCTCCTGCTGGCCAACAGAACCAGAGCCGATCATATAGCCAGGCGGTCACTGGCTGCTCGTCTGACATTGATTTTTCCGCGCTATCAAAGCTTCTGCCGCATGATGGGCCTGAAGGGGAAGCGGTATGGTATGTCGTCGTGGCCGCGGCGCTGATGGCGTTTCATCGAGAGGCGGCAGTGGGTGCGTTGTGGGAACATATCGTGTCTACACGGCCGACTTCTACAGAGGAGGAAAGAGCACTGATTGCACGACGGATAAGGGAGAGTTGTCTCAAGGCTAGCGTGCTGGTTGGATTTCCACGGGTAATAATGATGAAAAAAAAAACAAACACCCATCCCATCTTCCCTTCCAGCCAATCCCCGGACAGAAGTGACATTTATGTCCCATGCAATCTAACTGTCTTTGAAAAACCTAACGTATGCAAAATGGCTGAAATGGATCAATTTGATATATAGGGAATCAACGCCCTCTCGTCGCTGCACGGGTCTCTGGCCAGCCATACACCGTCGACCCACCGACTTCTGTCCGCGGACAGCTCGCTGCGCAGCCCGGTCGATGGGAAGACGAAGCTGGAGCGAGGGACCGCGTTCTTCACCCGCCTGTACGCCGGGCACACGAACAAGATACTGGACAACATGTCTCGCAGCTCGGGCGGGGACTTGAGCTACTATGCCCTCGCTAGTGTGTACGGGGAACTCATGGCCGAGACTCGGGTCGTTAATGCGATGGAGACGGTGCTGATGGAGTTCGTCTGCTGTCTGGCGGACGACGTCGCACCACAGGCCAAAGGGTGCGTCTTATCCTAAGTATCTACTTCTAGTTGCATGTTGCACGTACTAATCAAGGCAGACACTTCTTCGGCAGCCGGAACATGGGAGCATCTGGTGCACGGATCAAGGGAGCCGTGAGCATCGTCCAGGATCTGGCAAGGCAGGCAGGCCTGGATGTCCCCGGAACAGGAGAGGAATATGCCTTTCTGGCGAAGGCTGACTCGTGGTGAAGTGCGTACTCCATTTCCTTTCTCCGGGCAGTCCCTCGCCTACTGATGAATGTACATATGCCTGATAAACACGAGTGGATAAGAGAGCACTCCGTAATAATGCTTGGGTCAAATCAAATCTCTGGTGATGTCGCGTGCCTCAGCCTGAGATGAGCGAGGATGGCTGCATCCGTGAGACTCCACCGTCCCACCTGTTTATGTACGCAAGAGATAGTAGTGGATGTGCCTGTATCGACACTCTCTGCAGCCATCCCTACCGCCTGCCTATCGACCTGCAGCTTCTCCCTGTCCCTTGCCATGCATCCCTTGCTGTCTCCTGCTGTCTTGCTGTCTTTATGTCTTTGTCTTTCTGTCTCCGGCAACTCGACATGCGACTTCCTTCCCCATCCGCCCTAGCGCCTTGGCACAACAAGCATCTTAGTCATCCCGCCCTTGCCCATGCTCTTTCATCTTGGCATCACGTGACCCACGTGCGACCCTCCTCGACGCTCACTGGCCAGGACGCACCTCGAGCAACCAGCGACTTCCCAACTTTGTCCCTTCGCCATCGCCGGCAACTGTGGATGCGCCCACATTTTGCTCTCTCGCTGCGCAACCAGGGTTTGCCCTTGTCTGTTACTCTCTTACTCACTGACTTTGTAGCATGGATGGAGTAACTGTCGGGTGGCCACCCTTGGCCCAAAACAGTCGGCCCCGGGTAGCAGATTTTTCTCTTCCTCCTGTCAAGAAAATACACGTTTGGGAATCTCCGGCCGAGTTAAAAACGTCGACGGCTCCCTGACCTCCTCTCCTTTTCTTTCTTTTCCTTCTCCTCTCTCTTTGCTTCTTCTTCCGCGTCGTCTTCCTCTGTCCGCCTGCACAAGAGCCACGGGTTCCGCCTTGCCGCACCAGCCGCGAACCTGCACGTCCAAAGCGAACCCCGGCCGGCCTCGTCGCATCCTGACTCTGCCTTGTCGCCCCGGCTACCCGGCGACGACCACTCAGCGCTGTCTGCCTTCCCTCGTGCGCTCTGCCCTGCTCGCCCCTAGCCAGGGCTTATAAGAAAGAAGCGTCTGCCCAGACGGCAGCTCGACCTTGGCTCGCTTCTCTTCCTCGTCCTCCACCGCAACCACCTCTCACGGCCGCTGAAACAGCTCGACCAAGCTTCCACAAGCATTGGCAGGCATCAGACAAGCTTCTCCAAGACCTGCTCGTCCCTTGTTCTCTCCACCGTTAGACGCGATATCTATTATACCAATATCACTATTATTATCTCCGTTCTAGATGGCAGACTTCGGTCCCAGGGCCCCCCATGGGCCGGACATGACGGGCACCCACGACCCGCTCGTCGACATGCGGCTCCACGAGAAAGAGGCCTTTGACGCCTTTATCCGGCCAGACGACTCGTACACCCCGGAGGGCGTCTACTGGGCTGATCTGCCGCTCATGCAGAAGATCAAGTTCGTCACCTCGGTCGACATGGAGGAGTCCAAGAAGGAGGCCGCCTCCTTCTGGGAGATGTTCAAGAACGATCCCTTGGCGCCCGTTGGTTACTACTTCAAGAACATGGTCCTGCCCGGTGCTGGTCTCGGTTTGGAAGGGTGAGCATTGCAAAATTACTTTAGATGTTTTTTAAGATGAGATCATGCTCTAACAGGGTGGTAGATATGTGCTTTTTTCGATCGGAAACATCAAGCCTTTGTTCCAGAAAGCGTTCCCTGACTGCTGGAAACACCAAACCATCTGTGACCCGACTTGGCTTGCAGCTGTCGAATACCTCGAAATCTGCGGTATTATCGTTGGTCAGATACTGGTTGGTATCCTTGGTGATTGGTAAGTTCCACCGTTTTATTTAACCCCGGTTTGGCACCACTGCAAAAAGAAAAGAAAAAAACTAACAGTGACAAGGATTGGTCGTCGTTGGGGTTTGATTCAAGATGCAGTCATCATGTTGCTTGGTCTTATCATGCTTACGGCTGCTTGGGGTGTCACCCAGAACGGCTGGGTTATCTGCTACGTCTGGTCTCTCTTCTTCTACGGCATCGGTGTTGGTGGTGAATACCCCATGACCGCAACATCTGGAATGGAGAACGCAGTCGGATCTGGCAAAATTTCCACCAAAGAGGACCGTCTTCACCGTGGCCGCAAGGTTACATCCGCATTCTTGATGCAGGGATGGGGCCAGTTCTTCAACCAGGCCATTCTTATCCTTCTTCTGCTCATTTTCCACCACGGTAGCGGAAATCCTCCATACTCCGCCCTCGCTGCCCAGTGGACCTACCGTGTCTCCTTTGCCATCCCTGCAGTTGGAACCCTCTGGCTCGTCTACTACAGATACTACAAGATGCGCGCAGCAAGCAAACAGTTGGCAATCGTCAAGGCCAAGTCCCGCGTCACCGGTTACGACACAGAATCCCTGCGCCTCACATTCAAGCACTTTGGTTTCCGTCTACTTGCTACCGCTGGTACATGGTTCGCCAACGATGTCTTCTTCTACGGCAACAAGCTGTTCCAGTCTGAGTTCATCAGCGTTATCTCCCCCCACACCACTTCCGTCATGCCAGGATGGCTGTACAACTTGCTCAATGTTGGAGTCTCCCTCTGCGGTTACTACCTTGCCTCTTTCATGATCGACAACAAGCTCTATGGCCGCAAGTGGATGCAGATCGTTGGATTTATGATGGATTTCATCTTCTTCATCATCCCAGCCTTCAACTTCGAATACTATACCTCCGCAGCGCACATCAGAGAGTTCCAGGCCATGTACTTCCTCTCATCCTTCTTCAACCAATTCGGCCCTAACTCCGTCACCTTCCTCGTCGCTGCTGAGGTCTTCCCCACACCTATCCGAGCCACCGCCCACGGTTTCGCTGCTGCTATTGGAAAACTCGGCGCCCTTACCGCAGCTGTCATGTACAACTACATCAGCACCACCCAGAAGTTCCACGTTGTCCCCTGGTTCGGTCTCGCTGGTGTCATCCTCACCTACCTCTTCCTCCCGGATACCACCGGCCTCGATCTCAAGGAACAGGAACGACGATGGTTCTACATCCGCCAGGGCAGAGAATCTGAATACCATGGTCCCGCCGTCCACCCCAAGCATCTCTCTGTTTACGAGCGATGGACCGGTGTAGGAAAGTACTACGACCCCGAAGCCGATTACAAGCAGAAAGTCGCTGAGATGCGACATGAATGGACCGCAGCTCAAGCTCGCAAGAACGACGAGAAGAGCGGCTTTGATCTCGACGACCATCACGACTACGAGCCAGTCCATGATGACGTACACAAGTACTTCGAGCGCACAAGTCCGATGATCCTAGGACGGGAAAAGAACGTTCCAATGGCTGACCAACTTCCTCCAGCTCACAGCAGCAGTAGTGAGGATGGGGTTGAGCAACATCCTCATCAGGAATAAATGAAGAAAGCAAGCAACCAGAAGAAAAAGCCACGCATACCTCTTACGTATACCGTCTGAGGATCCGAGGATAGATATACCATTACCCCCCGTTTCTTTTCACATCTATTTTATTTAATTCGTCATCGTCGATGTTACCCATGTCTTGTCATATTTCTTGGCTTTACCTTTCACATCACTCAAGATACCTCTCCCAAATGCACTTTTTCATAATTTCACCTGCCCTTTCTCGCGTTCAGCTATGTCTATGCCATCGTTTAAGGAGCGATCTAATTCTGTATATACTCTTAGCACCATAACATCTTGGTTCTGCTATTTGCATCTTTTGCGTGGGGTATCAAACAAAGTTTAAATTAAGCTTATCCTTATCGAAGCTTATATAATTTATATTCTAGACTTATAGACAGACTCATTTGAAGCTTGTTTCATTGGCTGGGTTTTGACTCTTAGCGTGGATTCGTCGCCTTCTGCGATCCGATTGGCTAGATGCCACATTAGATAATAGCGCCAATGATTTCATCTGAGAACACGACACTCTTGTTAACATCATGTTGGCAATATGCAAGCTATGTACAGAGGTATTTCCATCCAAGTGGGAAGCTTGCCTACCCCTTGCTGTTCCCTGTGATACCCACTATCCACCTAACGTTTTTCCAGCCTTATATCTAAGGGCGAATTTCCGCCCGCTCAACCTTGCTACTAACCGCCACTCAATATACGGAGTGAATAAAACAAATGAGACCTACCGTCGTCTCCCCAGTCACTATGCTCGCCATAGTCACCAAGGCGGCCCAGTGAATCTGAACATTATAGAAGCTCAACGCAACACTGCAGAATTTTTATCTTTTTACAATATCTTCTCCCTAAGTTGACCAGTCACCAGCATGGCGATTACTCCAGCCTTTTTTGCCCTGGAGCAATTTTCAAACCTGCTGAGCCAAGAGAATGAACCCGCACCAGTGGTCAGCAGGTCAGAGCTATCTTGACACCCGAATACAGCCTTTCCGTCAGAGTTAGGTGTTTATCACATACTATACCGACATTCGCTGAGTATTCGAAGATGATGCATGATTCATATTTTGAGAGACTGCTTCCCGAACTGCATCCTCGTGCAGACGCGAAAAAGGAAAAGCCCCGAATGAATATGCATGTCTTCCAGATACTCGGAGTCATATGCATTGACCCGAAGTTATATATTCTTAGCTACTAGCTACGTTATACACTCACTAGTAAAGTACGCCGCTGGTAATAGCAGTTCGGGGATATGGGCGCTTCGTTTTATTACATGAACTCCACACGGGAGACTTGTGCGGTTCCACCAGCTTCACGGGCCGAGATGGCGCTATACGTAGCGCGTTCATCTCCAAAATTATGCTATCTTGTTAAGTCTTGTCCGCCAAGAAAGGCAAGAAATGCATGGTTTTTCTAAAGAGCCCGATGACCCTTTGGGCGACGCTCGTTCTACTAGATCTGCTCGAATACAAAGTCCTCATAATCCACGCTTTCGTGAGACTGACAACGGCATCAAGGGGCGTCTTCATGCCGACATGGACCGCTTGAAGTAGGAGAGGGTTAACGACTGGATAACTCAATGTATCAACCAGCTACAAACCATATAATGCGTGCCACTAAGCAACTTAGAAGACTGTCGGGTTTGCAAATAATCCAAAAAAATATTCAATGACGCTCGGTCCCGGAAGTTTGACTTCTCAGGTTTACATTGACGATATTATCACGGATGAAGCACATCTTATTCTACCAGGAGCCAGGAATAAGGTCAAGGGGTAAAAGGTCAAGACAAACAGATCAGTGTTAGCCGGTTATCTCAGGCTCACCTCCACGGACCAGCTTGATACCCTTATTGAACGACCCAACGTGAAGCCCCCCTAGCTAATGTGGTGGCGGCTAATACAACCTGTCATTATGGGACCAATCGCCGAGGTCTTGCTCAATACTATAAGTCATGCGACGCTGCTGGCCAATGACCTAACTACTAATATTGTCACAATCTATGTAGTGGTCAATCTTGCTGCAATTCATACCCGCCGAGTAACCATTCAAGAGAAAGACATGAAATTTATACAGCGAATTCGCGAACATATGATCGGACACGCGCCAGGGCCAATGATTTCCAAATGGGTAGAAAACGACCGTGAGATGGTGAAGAAGTTTAGATAGTGACAAAGCGGCCACGGCCCTTCATCGGGCGTGGCATATACTCAAGATCATCGGAGCGGCCCCTGCAACGACGTCGATATAAACTCGTTTGAAAACCTCAACTACTCTCATCTAACCTAACTAAACGAGCGATGAACAAACTTATCTGGACGGCGGATAAGGTCTAATGCATATCTAGTGGTTAAATGCACATGCAGAATTGACGCCGCGGATGCGTTGAAATGGGAATCCGGCCATATGAAAAAGATGCACGGCCGGGTAATTGCAAGTGGCGTGACCGTGCCTCCCACTGCTCCGTCCGGGACGGCCAACAGGGACAAGAGAGCGTCATTGTACTGGATGATGACGATGAGGATATCCCGGTCGTTGACCTGACGAGCGATGGCGGCCAGATTATCGATTTGACGGAAGAGAATGGCTCCTCCGCCAGTACAGCCATTGTGCTGTACTAGACATTCAGGTACGTACATGTTTCATTGGATTTTTTTTTGGCTTGGTGACTGCGTTCCATCTTGATTTGAGGCTTTTGCCTCCTGCACCCATTCCCAGCTGTAAGGGCCATGTGTACAGCGCCCTGGGCATGGCAGGCGTACGGCTACCAATACTATCTAAGTTATCTGTAGCGGAGGTTATAACCAACCTTAACCGCGACCTTCTATACCTGGTTTTAACTCTATAATAAATCCTCTTCTTATACAACAGACACCTGTCCAGACAAACTGACTACTTCAGATCTACCTTATATTGCCGGCCGTATTCGCAGACGTCACAATTTCAAAGGTGGACACATACATTTTTCCTAAGACGATGTGAAATATATGAACGGGGGAAGCGGCTCATTATATCATTCCTTCTACAATTTGTCTTTGATACCCTACTATTTTTTAGTTCTTTGATTACCTAACATATCAGCTCCTTTCGCGGCCCAAAGAGGCAATATTGACAATATTTTGATCAAGGACAATTTGCCATCCTTCAGCGCATTTCAATGCAAACTTCTTGATGGCAAATATTTCCCATCCAATTGAGCTAGCTCATTGGCGCTTTTACTGATATAGCTCTTCGTGTCGGGCCATCCCACTAATCACAGCCATTTCCTGCTTTCTATTCCCTTCCATCATATAGCAGTCATAGTATTGCGTCATGGCGTGGTGCTGCTGTGTCATTTCCCGTCTCATGGTTAAATCATAATACCAGATGAAGGATTATTCCCTTCATCTTCCACTTGCCCCTCTTCGTCACCCCTATCGTTCATCCTTTAACACAAGAAAGGTAGTCTGATACCCAAAACACATTCATATATATCAATTGATTCTTCTAAGACCGTTACAATGAAGATAAATGCATTCTCGAGGCTTCTATCCCTCTTTTTCCTCCCTCTGGTTATTTCGCAATCCACTTCGGTGGAAAGTACGCAGCAGAGTTCCAGCAGCCGTCCCGCGAGTTCCAGCTCCAAGCCTAGCTCCAGTCCTTCCAATGGAGGCGGAGGAGGCGCCAGTGAAAGCGAAACTGGCAGCATTGGCAGCATTGGAGGCCCATCGCTCACCTATGCGAGTGACATCGTGGTCCCCGCTACTCCGCCAGTGCATAGCGCTTCCTTCGAAAGCCATGGACCCTTTAGTGGCTCTGCAAGTGTTACCGGAGCCCTTACGGCTTCTACCGTTCTTGGAACTGCACTTTCTGGTCAGCCTGCGCCAACAAGCGCGACGAGCTATCCATCTGATGGTGAAATGCATGGTGCACAGCCTGCGCCATACTTTCCTGCTGGTGGGTTAGGGACTAACGGGACCGCACCGGTTTATAACGTGCGAAGCGATTACGACTATCAATCAATTGTACGTTTCCTTTGTCTTGTTCAGCGGTGAATTATGCAAGGCTGACGCCCTATCTAGGCCCTAGCTCTGCACTTGGAATGGATGATATACGATCTCTTCCAAACCGGCGCTTCCCAGTTCAAACTTAAGGACTTCCAAGCCATGGGTCTGACCCAGTCGGATTACAATTCAATTTCTCTCATGGCAAATCAATCTCAAGGCCATGTCACGCTCCTCAGTAATATTCTCGGTGAATCGGCTCCTGGACCATGCATTCATAACTTCCCCTTCAAAACGGCCTACGAGTTCCTTGACTTCAGTCAAAAGGTAGTTGCCGTCGCGGAGTCTACAGTGTACAACTTCCTCCCACACCTAGACTCTCGTGAAACTGCAATGTTAGTCCTTCAGCTTGTTGCGACTACTGCACGCCAACACATGATATTCCGCCAGTTCGAGGCCTTGCAGCCCATGCCTGTATGGTTCGAGGCCGGCATTCCTCAGTCATGGGGATGGAGCTTATTAGCGCCGTTTATCAGCTCATGCCCCGATGATGCGAGGCTTGTATGGAGAAACTTTCCTGCTATGCAAATTATTGATGGGCCAAACGCAGCTAGAACGGATGGATCAGGCAAAAATGAAACTATGGGAGGTGGACTCGGAGTAGTAAACTCTACTACTAACTTATCAGACAAGTCGTGCTTGAGCTTTCCGTCTAGTAGTGATACTAGCTCTAGCGGGACTGAAAAGGTTCCTTGTGGCCGCTATGACCGTAGGGACGAGAATATTGCCACTAACACCACCGGCGGCGGCGGAAGCGCCAAATCTACCTCTAGTGGTGGAGCTAAGCCATCCGGGACCGGTGGAAGTGCAAGCGGAGGTGGCAGCAGTGGTGGCCTTAACATAGATTGCAAGCCTGGGATCACATCCAACTGGACTAGACCCCTCAGTGAGCCAGGCCGCAAGATACTCCTTCAATGGGAATCAGCCGGCCGGCCCGTCGGTCCGAATAATAGCTACATCACCAACACCCAGGCAAAGGGGCCTGCATTTGTGGCCTGGATCACTCAGTTGAACGTCACGTATACTCCGCTGGAGGTGACGAAAAATGGTGATAATGGTGGTAAAGGGGGTGGTTCTGGCATCAGCAATACCACAAGTTCCTCGGGTGGACCCCAGCCTACCGGAAGTACCGGCAGTAGTTCGTCAACCGGTACAAACACAATGGCCACGGCGAAGCCTACCAGTAACGGTGGCTCTTCTAACAACAGCACTGGCTCGCCAGGCGGTGATGGAGGAGGTTCTTCAAATGGCATCAACTCCGCTGGCAATATGTTCACTGGTATGACTGTGCAGCCAGACTTTGCAACTTTTGCAGGAGATCCAGCAGTGAATGGAACAGTTTTCATTGCAATTACGGATGAGGATTTGTTCTTGACCCCTTTCAACTTGAGTCTTATCGATTCACATGTTGTTGCTGGTCCAGCCATTTACCAAGCTGGTTAAATTTCATGGACACGTAGTTGCACTTCAATCGTCAAAACGGCGTTGGTGGGTTTAACCAGGCAGTATGGTGTTGGCCTTGCTCACGTTTTATACCCTTATATCTTGGAATGTTGTGATATATTCAAGTAAAAATTGTGTATCGGAGGAAATTAACCTAATTTATATAAGTGTTTATAAGTTTGACTCTCTTTCCCGGCCTTCGAATATTCATCCCTTCATGGGCTTGGGCTTGCGCACCATAATTGTGAGCCTTGCCCAATCACCCTTGCCTCCCTCCCCTAGGCCTCTACCCGTATACTTGCTAGCATCAAAATGTAGCTTCGCCGACTGTTTCTCAGTTGTAGGAATAGCCTCGAACCCACGTCGTTCATAGACAGGGTATCCCCGCAGCGATGCCTCCAGGTACGCCTCTGCACCATGTTTATCGGCCAAACCACAGCCCCAGTTCACCAGCAAGGTGCCAGCACCCCGTCGTTCATGTGCAGGGTCAGTAGCCAGTAATGTAAGAACTAGGGACATGTTAGATGTATGGCCGGTAGACATTGCACGACGAGGAACACATACCACAATTCTCCTTCCCTTCTTCGCCAAAATACAGCTTTCGATTGTCGAACAGCTTACCCATGCAGTATCTATACCCCTCAACATTTGCTCCCTCGGGGACAAACATATCCTCGCCTGTCTTCATTTGCTCTCTCCATCTCTCCAGCGACTCGGGACCGCCAACATAGACATTCCACTTTGCAAAGGCCAGTATCTCACCGGTCTCATCGTCAACACATTTAATGAGGTGGAATCCCGGGTCACTTTTCATGAGGTATATGAACCGCTTTGTCTGAAGTTCTCGTCGTATTGGCTCAGGATATTTTTTATCATGGTCCTGGAAACCGTCCGGGTTGCTGATTTCGCCGCAAGCACGGAAAAAGCCACTCATCCGGAGTGCAGCCGATTGAATGTCAAGGATTCGAGAAATGTCCTCGGCAGTTGCGGGGTGGACGGAGAGAGGCATGGTCAAGGTATCTTGCTGCGGTTCCTCTGTGTTCTTCGTGTTGCTAGCTCACAGGTATAAGGCAGCTAAGTTTTTATATAAGAACATGATAGATGACTCTAGGTTGGGCTTCTTTTATATGGAGAGCGCTCGGTATAATTGACGGAATGAGGTCATCTTATGATTCATCGGTATTTGATGCCGAGATGCAAAGGCAATACGAGATCCACCGGCTAACTTAGGTAACTGCAGCAACTAGTCTACACAAGTCGGCTCAATCGGGCCAGAAAGAGAGGACTCTACTGATGAGGGTTCACCAGAACAAACCACTTTGCTCTTCTATTTTGCCGGTCTTTGGGTTAGGGGTTGGCCAAAATGCAGATAGGTATGCGGTATTGCGAATGCGGTATTCGAGAGGCTGCGTATACCAATTGCTGCCCAGTTGACTCATCGGAATTGCTGGGATCAGGCATTCCGAGGCCGTTGTTCTCACTCCAGCCATAGCGGCCATTGGGCCTCGGAGTGAAGTTCAAATCAGGGGCTGGTTTGCGATTGAGAGCTTTTTAGAAGACAGGCATTCGACTTCTGCAGAGGAATTGGAGATGACGCTTTTCATCGTTGGCGTTTCCTTCTGAATCGGAACCGAAGGCCATCGTCACTCTCCTCATCGTCCCTTGACCTCTTCTGGGGCTTTGAGCGTGCCACGGGGGCTGCAGGTTGGGGAACCTCTTGAGAAGTGGCGGTTGATTCTACGTTGTTCGATAAAGACGGACTCCTCTGGCGCTCAGGAGGTGTAGAGCTTGCCGCCCAATAATCGTCTCCAATTCCAAAGTCTTTCTTCTTAGCTTCCTCCAGTGGAACAATAATTGCTCGTCGACGGTGAACCGCATCAGGGTTGCCTTTCCTTCGGAATTTCTTGAAGTTCTGGCGGCCATTCCACCTCTCATCCCATCGGCTCTCGTCAGTAGGAGTGTTGCGATGCGACTGCCTGGGTTTGACTTCCATTTCCTCCACAGAGATGAGTTTCTGAATCTGTACAAGGTCCATACCCTCAACTATTGCCTGGAACGAAATCGCATCCTCTTGTCGACGAGCTGTAGCAGCTTCATCCACTTCCTCACGCCGCTGACGGGCAGCTTCTTTCAGGTCGAGCTTCGGCTTTTTAACCCTTTGCGGTGGAGGTGCTGCCTGTTTTGTCTCCAGCGGTCTTTTGATTCCTCGTTGCTTCATGGCAGCAGTTCCTGGTAATAAGTCCATTACCGTGTCATCCCCCTCCCCTTCAGATGTAACATTAGAAGGGGCCCTTTCATGTAACGAGTCTGGAACAACATCCTGGCCAAACGTAAGTATGTCGCCAACAAGTTTACTAGAAGCAAAACTTACCGGTGCATCTCTTTCTCCTTCCCCTTCTTCGAGTTGGTAAACGGGTATTGAATCCATATCGAAGCCATCATCAAAATCCTTGAACTTTGGGACGTAGGCCTTCGACTTATTTCGTTTAAGCGTTCGAGCGTCCTTTTGGCTATCCTCAACAAGGACATTAGAGCTTGGACCAGATGACACCACTTGACTTTGATCCGGATCTGTATTTGGAACCGTGGCAGGAGGGGTAGATTGTTGGTCGGACGGCTTCTCACATCTCCGATATAGCTGTGATGCATTATTCCTTAGAATTGCGTCTAAGAAATCACTGGCTTCCACAGCTTGTTGCCCTGTCAACTGGGCCACTTTATTCTCAAGTGCAAGGGACCAATCTTCATGGCCCTTTTTGGAGAACTGCATGAACATTACACCTCCGGTACCATCTTGCTCGCAGGCGAGCCCCTTAACACCCGCAGCTTTATTTAAGAAATTCACAACATCCTCAGCCTTTGTCGTTCCCGGTTCGACATCATAGAGCAATGCTTTTCCATGCCCATTCGATATGGGGCCCTGCAAGTCTTCAAACCGCTTCTTGTCACAAAATACAAAGGTATAGCCCTCAAAGACGTTAATTCGATCGGGATTTGGTGCGTATGCGCTATCAGGTAGTTCAATACGCTCAGTACCGCGGGGAGGGAGGTCTTCAGTAGGGTCGGGCCATGCACTATCAAAATCCTCCTCCAGTGGAGAAAGGGATTCCTCACGTTCTACATCTTTCGGGGATGCAGCATATCTTATACGCTCGATAAACGAGTCTTGTACTAGATAGCGTCCGTTAATGAGAGCTTGGAGACCCTTGGCAGTGTTCCGTTTGCTTTGAACGACATGGGTCGTCTTCCCAAAGACGTATGGAATAACCGTCTTAATATCTAGTTCCTCCAGCTGCGATCGAGCATGCGCAAGCGGATCTTTCGCCTTTAGCTGCTTTGTTGGAAACGAAAAACTCAAGACAATGGGACACCACTTTACTCTGCAGTCCAGTTAGAAGTGGTTTCTTTAACCATTTCGATGACTGAGGCCACCACATACCGGAGAACGGATGGATACCGCCCAAGAGATAGTTTATACTCATCCCTGCTGCCGAGTTCTTTGCTCTCTCCAGTTATAAGTGTTCCATCGAGAGTGGTTCCCCATCTAGAGCCTGGGTCGCTGATAATCAGTTTCGACTTTGTATGTATATGTGACTGAAACCGAAACGGAAGTTAGCTTTGAGCAGGAGTATTGTTTGTCGACTCCAAAACAAACCCCGTCTCCCGGTTTCACTTTTCCGACTTCAATTATAAGGTGCTTCCGTGATATCGTCCGATTGTCGATTGTATGTGTGACTAGCATGAACATAGTATGTTAGCACAGCAGAGATGGAATGAGGTTTAGAAATAAAAAGAACTTACTACCATCCTGTTGAACTCGTCCAAATAAGTATTTTTTACCCGGTTTCAGCCATATCCGTTTTCCTATTAGTAGCCATCATAGGTCAGCCTCGTTGCAGGTATGAAGTTCGAAGAACCATCTCAAGTGGCGGCAATCGAACCTTGTAAGAAATCTCCGTCAGAGGACAGTATCCACATGGCTTTTGTCCTGTGGAAGGCGAGTGAAAATCATCGATATATAATCCTATCGAGAAGATCTCGAAGCAAATCTCAACGGCCAAACGGCTTCTTATCTACCAATTTCCAGCTTCTGCATTTCGATCTATCAGAAAACGCGTGACGAACGCGATATCACGTGCTAATTAAGGATTAAAGTTGTTCCATTAGTTATATAAGCCGAAATTGATTAATAACCATTCGGGACCTGAGGCTGAACTTTAAAAAGAGACATCTCTCCGTTCCTCCGTCACTTTCTCCTTCTCTTGTTCTTTGGTTCAAAAGAGTTGGAAAACGGCGTACATAGTGCGCCATGGGCGGTACGAATTTGGAATAATGTCTTTGAAGTGGCCAAAGTTAACTACAGCCATGGAAAGATGTCCACAAACTCGGAGCCGAAAACCAAAGCGGGTGAGCAGGCGGATGGTGAGGATCAGGCTACAGAAGGCATTGAGCATGATGATACCCTGAAGTATCAACTTCTTGGACCGTCTTTGACCAAGGCAGGCCAGGATAAAGTAGATCAGCAGAAAGTATGTATAACATATCATCGAATCAATATCTGTGTTTCGGAGTATTTAATGCATCCTTATTATTCTGCGTTAGGTATCGGAGATCATATACAACGCCTCGAAGGGGTCGAAATTCTTCAACCACGAAAGAGCCCGGGATCAAGTATTGACAGAAAAGATCCAGAAGATATTGGCGCACAAGGAAATAATAGAGAAACAAGATCTATCCCACAGCACCCGACTGGCCGATGAATACATCGCGGATCTTGAACTCCGCCGCGATTTGTCACAGTCTATCGTGCACATTGACTGCGATGCCTTCTTTGCAGCCGTTGAAGAACTAGACAGACCCGAGTTACGGGATGTGCCAATGGCCGTTGGTAAAGGAGTCCTAACGACTTGCAACTACCATGCTAGGAAATTTGGATGTCGAAGTGGCATGGCCAGCTTTGTGGCCAAAAAGCTGTGCCCCGAGTTGATCTGCATACCCCAGAATTACGAAAAGTATACTGCAAAAGCGCGAGAGATCAGAGCAATTCTGGCGAACTATGACCCGGAATTTGAGAGTGCTAGTGTTGATGAGGCGTATCTTAACATCACCCAATACTGTGCGGCCAACAACGTTGACCCCCAGGATGCTGTACAGCAGTTACGTGATGAAGTTTTCGCCCAAACAGGAGTAACAGTCTCAGCCGGAATTGCAGCCAATGCCAAAATTGCGAAGATAACGTCGAATTGGAATAAGCCCAACGGTCAATTCCACGTCCCGAGCGAGCGAGCTGCGATCATGGATTTCATGACCAAGATTCCAGTTCGCAAGGTCAATGGTGTCGGTCGAGTATTCGAGCGTGAACTTGGTGCAATTGGGATAACGACGTGCGGTGACATCTATCAGTTTCGTGGTATGCTGAGTCAACTCTTCGGCCAAAAGGCGTTCTGTTTCTTGATGCAGTGTTATTTGGGTCTTGGAAGAACACAAATCCAACCAGCAGGCACATTCCCAAGGAAAAGTGTCGGGACAGAGCACACTTTCGCAGATTTGGGTGATTTTCACCAACTCCAAGAGAAACTGAAGTGGACGGCATCTGCACTTGAGAAAGACTTACGCGCCGCAGAGACAAAAGGTCGCACCCTTGTGTTGAAAGTGAAGCTTCATACATTTGAATTGTTATCCCGACAGACCGTGGCTCCCAAGCCTCTACTGCTGGCTGACGACCTTTACAAGTACTCTCTACCATTACTGACCAAATTATACAAGGAGCGGCCGCAGATGAAAATTCGTCTGATGGGCCTTCGCTGTACAAGCCTAGTCAGTACCAAAAAGGGGACGTTTAACTTCTTTAACAGGGGCGATGCAGGACAGTCAGCAACCTCTAGATCAGAGGTTAGCAACGAAGCCATATCATCGACAGAGGAGGAATTCGAAGCTGCAGCCTCCCAAGAGCGGATGGAGGACATGGAAAGCCTGGAAAACCTCAGCCAGGAGCTAGAGTCAAGTCACAAAACACACCAAGCTGTGGACGATGAGCAAAAGACGGCCAAGCTGGACAAATGGCCCTGTCCAATATGTTCTATCCCGCAGCCCCCCGACCATGCACAGTTCAACCAGCATATGGACTACTGCCTTTCAAGGGAGACCATCAAGGAGGCCGTCCAGGGGACGCTGGGCTCTGAGGACAGCCCGTCCATTCCGCCAAACAAGAGGAAAGCTGCCGCTGAGCCAGGCTCTCGCAAACGGCTGTTTTTCAACTAGTACCTAATTTGCCCAACTAGCTGTGCCCCGCCGTGGCCCCAGAATAAGTAAATAAACAATAAGAACGACAGATCAGTCCACCAGGCAGTCCTGACATAATTAATATATTCTGATACTGACCGACAAGTAAATAACACTGACTCCTGTAACCATAAAAACGATGATGCAGAATATATTTGGGTGGGCCTCGACGCTAGATCCGTTTAGTCCGCGTTATGGCTTTATGACGAAAAAACAACAACGAGATTTCTTTGGCCCGCGAGAAAAAGGGCGTCTGACCGCAAGCAACGACAACAACAACGACAACGAGAACGACCGCCAACGCCGTCGAGGAGCCGCCTTGTCGGTGACTGACCATTTGAAGGACCAACTGGAGCGCTCGGCTGAGATATCTCCCTCTTCTCTTGGGTGTGGCCACTATGAATATCGCCCCGTTTTGCCCTACGATATGCCCAACGCTCACGCTTTGTTTATCCCCCCGTTGATCACAATGTCTCTATCAGATAAACAAAACAACAGCATGGCAGGCAAACCGTTTGTCCCACAGGTCGGCTCTGCTTATAGAAATACTAAGACTCCGTTGACGCCAAAGCTTGCCGGCTTCAATTCCCATCTACCTCGAAAGCTCGCCCATTTTGACTCCCCGAGCCCGAATAACAACCGCACCCCTGACGTCTCGACCCCCAAGCCGTCGGCCATCAATAACGCGAATATAACACCAAGATCTAGTCAGAGAAAGGCTAGAAAGGATGGAAATCCATCTCCGGCTGCAACTACCCCTCCTCCGGGCCATCTGGCTCCCCGTCTGGCCAGCCAAAGGAGCTCACGGAGCAACCCTAACGAGGTATCGCCCACGCCCCATGAGCAACACACCAGTTTGAACCTCAGAGTCTCGAGAGCAAAGAGCATGAGCAATGAACCTTTCGGCTACTTGCCAAACAACCGGCCAGCATCATCATGCGGTAGCTCTGTCGGGACTCCGATGTTCTTCCATGCAGACGATGCCCGCTCACCGACATCCTCCGCGTACGACACAGAATCGAAACCTCAACCTCAATCGACTCTACACCTTGCCCCAAAGTCATTTATCTACGCAGATGGTCGAACCGAAGACCCTACAGACTCTGCTGAACCCTCCTATAAACAACAGCCTCCTGTAAAGAAGCCGGTACTGGCACAGTCAACCCCTATAAAATCTCCAGAGTTATTCGTCTCTCCTCGGCTTCAAGAAACCTCCCCGTCAGGGCCACAGCTTAAACAGTTTACAGGCAATGCAACCGAACAACACATATTCAGCCCAAAACTCGTGCCGGCACAAGAAAAGGCGTTTCCTCAGATACCCAATAACACCGGCCGTAATGACCAGACACCCGGGAACTCCGTCAGGTTCGGCCATATGAAATCTACCAGCTGCGACTCAACCCACACTGTGGGCCGAAAGCATTCGTTTTTGGCTAGCCCTCTAATACACCGTCCTGCACTCACACAGGATAGCGCACCCCAACCAGCCGATGATTCTATCGACCAAAGCCCTAGAGTTTCACATAATCCATCACATTCCTCAGAGGATATATCGCAGCATCTTCTCCCACGAGCTCCGAGCCCGTCCAAAGATGACGGTAACGGTAACGAGCTTCAGAGGATGAATGAGCTAGCTGCCAATGCCAGACGAGAACGAAAAGTTTTGGACCTCGAGATCAGCAACTCGTCTCTACTAGCCATAAACCGTGCTCTAGAGCGAGAAATGCGAAAGCAAAATGCTGAACTCCGTCGATTTCGCCGTCTGAGCCGCTCCGGCCGGTTATCCATGACATCCACTCGCCGGTCTGTTTCAGGAGGTGGTCTCTCGATACTTAGTGAAGCAGACGGAGACGACACGGATAGCTATTCACATTTCCGTACGTCACCTGGCTACTCAGCTGATGAGCTAACAGATGACGAGATCGACCCTTCAAGTTCGGAGGAGGACAACATGAGTTCCGGCCATGCCGCAGAGCATGATGAGAAACACCGAGCTAAAGATGAAAGCCGACTACTTCTCGATCTAAAAAGACATCAACAGTTGCTTATTGATAGTCAGAAGATGAATCAGAGCATCAAACGTTGTCTTGGGTGGACAGAAAACCTTATATCAGAAGCCAAGAAGGCACTGGAATACAGTGTCCATGTGAGCGACGTCGAGGTCGGCGGTCGAGTTCTTGGCCCTGATGACTTTGATGGCGACTATTTTAAAAATACCCGAGGCCTCCTGAGTCCCTCGATGGATATATCTTGTTCGGATATACCGTCGTTCGAAGAACATGGGGCCCTTGAATCACCTCCATCTATACCCGATAGAGATACAAGCCGTTCGCCATCACCCATCGGAGAGACATAACACCACTTGCCATCTTGGTTCATGATCAGCTTCAAGTCCAGTCCTCAGTTTTTCATTTGTCATGTGTACTAGATGTATATATTACATGACTTGTTTATTGCATTTCCCATATATCAGAGCGTTTACTCCTTTTTATTTTTAGAATACTCATAGTCTTTCCTGGTTTATGGTGATGGGGGGTTCTTCTTTCAAAGCGTCCGGCGTTGGTGGACTGGCTCATTTCACACATACAACGATATCCTCAATCTCGGCCTTCTCTACTACTTACTCCCTTTCATATCTGACATTACATTACATTGCCCACGACATCTTTTGCATATATTCTTTTTGGAATATGCGGCTTCTTCCTCCACAGCAGAGGCCGGAAGGGTAACAATTACTTCCCATTCATTTTCCTATGCGTTGCTGCTGACCAGGAACGCTTCCAACTGTACATTCAATGATACCCCCTTATTTGTACCTGACTCCCCTGACGGTTTTATCAACCCGGCATTTCTTCATCCGATGACAAGCCATGTGCTGGCTTTACCTGTACCAGTATGTACAAGATTTTCCATTAATGCAAAGCTATCCTTGAGCTGATAAATCGGCTACCAATTTGAAAATCCATTTACATACAACGTCAGATCATATTTTCTTTCCGAAAGAAGAAAAAGAGTAGGAAGTTCAATAGAGAAAAAAATGAACACATTATCTATTTACGAGCATGTAGGAGAGGGGAATATCAACTGAGGAGCAAGAACCTCGTCAGGGGCTAGAAACAAAAGTGCCGAACAAAACAATCAAAACAATTAGCAAGCAAGCAAGCAATGGCGGATTATTTGCTTTCTAGAAACATTAATGAAGATCATCAGTGGTAGTAAGTTTTGTTGGTGATTATTTCTCAGAGCTGCTGGGGTTCGCTGTAGACTGTTTTGCTGCTGATGCTGATTTCTTCTTATCGTCTTTCTTCGCCATGCTGTCGGCCATCAGCTCTTCAAAGGCCATGTATTCTCCCTCTTCGTTGGGATCGCGTTCAGCCTGAACCATAGTTAGCCATACCCTAGAGCACAACGATAGAACAGCGATTAAACATACCTGCTGGAAGTATTTTCCAATAATAACCAGGGCCTGGGCACGCTCTACCCTCTTCTCCAGACGAATAGCCTTGTCGTTCAATATTTGGTCGCAGACTTCACGCAAGACGCTCTGAATCTCGAACTTGCTTCCTCTCCAGGCAGCGGCGAGGATCTTTCCAGTGACTTTCTTCTCATACTCGGCCTTCTTCTCGTCAGTCCAGTCCTCACCACCCTTTTCTTCGAGCTTGGCCATCTCCTCCATGGTCATCTGGGCATCCAGTGCAGTCGAGATGGTAGTCCATGTTTCCCTAGCCAGGTTACCCTTATCCTTTAGTCTTGAGAAGAAGCCTGATATGCCGAGGAACTTCTGTGACTTGAGGAAGGATGTTCCCTTGGAGTTATATGTGCTTCCAATAGCGTGTAGGATTTCCAAGCCAAAGGACTCCATCTTCAAGTTCTCGACTTCAAGTCTGATCTTCTCTTGGAAAGCGGTGGTGACGTCAGGCCCCTTGTCGGTCTCGGTCCAGACGCTAAGTCGATCAACCAGTTTGCGTGCAAGGGTGTTGACTCGTTCTTCACGCTGCTTCTTTCGCTCTAGCTCGAATGCAGCCAGCTGTTCCCGCTGTTCCTTGGAAAGACCCTTCTTCTTCTCCTTTTTCCGCAGCTCTTTCTCCTCTGGTGATAAGCCCTCGGCTTGCATTCTAGCCTCTTCCTCGGATTTATCCATGATTGCCTGCTGTCCCCAATTCCGTCGGGGGGTGCTAGTACCGGAAGCTTCCTGAGCGGCTCCAGCAGTTCCAGCAGTTTCATCCTTCTTAGCTTCATTCTCATCAGCAACGGTAACACCCGGAGCAGGAGCCGTAGTAGTTGTTTCACCAGATTCAGGCTTGGCTGGGTCCTTCACGTTGAGTTTGGCGTCTGCTTCTTTTGCGAGCTCCTCGTCTTCTTCCATCTGTTGCATGGTTATGTCCATAGTCTTGGTGAGGTCCTTCATCAGTGATATCTCGCCTATCCAATCAACGAACGCTTCACCGCCGAATATCATGCCAAACAGCTCCGCGGGGTCCTCTGTAGGTACTCTTCGTTAGTCTTTCTATATCCAAGCGTAAACCTCGACTGATGCCTACCGAATCCACCGCCCGGAACAGCCTTATCCTTTCCAAACTTGTCATATTGTTTCCGTAGAGTCTCATCACTCAATACTTGGTAAGCTTCTCCGATCTGTCAACGCCCCAAAAATAGTCAGTAATTATACCAATTATAATAGGGTATCCTTCTAGCTTGTACGATAGGTGAGGGTGAATTACAGCCTGGAATCTGCTGTGTGCTGTCTCGTCGTCGGGGTTCTTGTCTATGCCGGCGGGGTTAGCAGTGAACCACAATGCTTCAAACCGAGGACAGGGGGAAGCCAGTACTAACCTGGATGAGTTGTGATAGCTAGTTTTCTGTACGCCTTCTTGATCTCGAGCAGAGTAGCCGTGGGAGGCACCCCCAGGGCATCGTAGTATGTAGTGTCTACCACCATCTTCGCGGACCGGCGATGTCAGGTCCCTAGCAGGCTATGAGGGGCAGAGACAAGCTGAACAAGGCACCAGCTAGATAAATCGGAGTTCGGAGCGAAGACAGCTATATATCGGTATCAACGGCGCCAAATGTCGGTAGTCTATCCGCTGAGATGCGCTCTATATCGTGGATGCTGTGCTGGGTGTATATCGCAGAGGTGAAATAAGAAGAGATGAAGAGCAAGCTTGATCGCTTCTTTTTCATTAGTTCGTTAGTTAAATATTTGATCGTCATCGCAGAGCATCTGAAATAAGGTTTTTCTTCACAGCTGATTTTTAACCTTTGACAACCTCAAGATGAACTTCAGGCCAACAGCAGGCACAAGCCACGGATGACGACGAGGAGGCTCCTCTTGATTAACAGCTACAGCTAACTATAGCATATAGGGATGGGCCAACTGCTAAGGGACGAGAAGCTGCACAGCCGCTGTTCTACTTCCGTGCTTCCGTGTGTCTGCTGCTGTGGCGCGGGGCATCACAGCCCCCGGCCCGTACGTACGGAGGAACATCAACTGTTCGACTGTCAACTGTCAGAGCGACGGGATTTCTTGTAGATTCCAAAGACGGAGTTGATAAGCAAGGCTGAAATATTGAAACCAGAAAGAAGAAGAATAGTAATAAGAGAAAGAGCCCCTCGGATGCGAGATATCCTCCATATCACTCGCTTGAGACGTCGAAAAAAAGGGGCCCCTGAAGTAATATCTAAAGGGTCAAGTCTATTAAACCCCTTCCCACCAGCCGATAGTAACGAAAGTATTACCGGGTAATGGTGGACCATAGCTGATTTCCCTTGGGCTCATAAACTGTGAACAATCTAACTAGTCTTCTCGCGAGATGTATGGATGTGTGTATGACTTTGGTATAATAAAATGGGATAGGGCAGCCCCCTTTTTACGCCCATCGCAAGGAAAAGATCTCAGCTCCACCTCTTGACAAGGCAACTTCAACGCTACCGTCCTCGTTCTTTATCGATTTTTCTATGGTCTCCCCTTTTCTCTCGAGAATGATCTTACCTGGCTCAGGCTCAGGCAGCTTGTAGAACTGTCTGCCGGACCGGCTGAGGAATCCCTCCAGTCGCTCCTGGGTGACGGCAGACTCCTGTATGATGCCACGCTCAGTAGCATCCTCTAACGCAAGGAGGACATACTGTGTTGCGTACGGCTGGGTGAAAACACCAGCTGCTGGCTTTGGCTGGTCCTTGGCCGCTTTCTGATGCGGGGCGCTATCGGTGCCTCTGTAGGATAGCCTGTTAGGTTGGCTCTTCATTGTGGAATTTGAGAATTGGTTATAGAAACCTACAGGAAGAACTTTGAATCACCACTGCAGATGGCCCTTATGAGAGCGTCACGGTCTGCGGGAGTCTTGGCAATAGGCTTACAGAAAGCCAGGGGATCAACGGTATCATCTACCGTGAGGTATAGATGATGTGCCGTGATGGTAGCTATTATCAATACATCGACGTCAGTGCCTACTTGTTACACGATCGACCTTGGTTATGGGGCATGGTTGGAGTGGTATGTATATGCGTACCAGCAACGCTTGGTCCGCAGGAACGGACGGTCTCGACGGCAGCAGAAGTGGTACAGTGTTCAAGCACTATCCTTAGTTTGGGGAAACTCTCATGGATGCGTTTCAAGGTTGGCAAGAAAGCCTCCTCTGCGTTCATCACGTCAACATCTGGCACTTCACCATGCAAATTGAGAACCATATCATGCTCCTGCATGGCCTCAAACACTGGATAGAAGTCATCCAGGCTAGTAACACCAGAAGCAGAATTGGTAGTCACTCCTGGACAATTAAATTAGCAAAAGGGAGCTAAACGGGCATGTATGAGTGGGTGGGTAAGTCCAGTCAAGCAGCTAGCTAATCGGCTTGTTGAGTTTTCTTAATGGTATTTTTTTTACTTACCCTGCGGGTAGACCTTGACGCCAGTGATACCGGCAGCCGCGGCCTCCTTGATGACCTCCGGAGTAATGGAGTCATGCAGGTACAAAGACATGAGGTAGCGGACATCGGGTTCGATCTCCTGCAGTTTGGACTTGTACTCTACTGCCTGGGCAACCGTTGTGACCGGTGGCTGAAGGTTTGGCTATGATTGAACATGTCAGAACTTTTGCAACCAGGCATTCAAATGAGGGTACCAATCAATGTATCTCAAAGTCTGCGGGCAAAGGATAGATGATAGAAAGAGAGAGCAACAGAGGCTACAGTATAAGAATTGGTTTCATGCATACCATCACAAAGACAGTATCCACCCCTCCCTTTCGAATGTAGGGTGTAACTAACTGCATCATGGCCTCCTGGCGAAGGTGGACATGCATGTCTGCCGCTGCCGGCAGCTCTAGACGGGGCAGAGTCCTCAACCGCATCTTTAGGTAGAACCAAATGAACCTCTTCCCTTCTTTTTGGGGCTGGTATCTGCACTCGTCTGCAACACCTGTCTGTAAGCTTTACAATAAAAATAAAATAAAACAAAAAAAGAAGAAAAGAAAGCCCGCCTATCCTTCTGCGATCCTGGACAAGCCCAGAAAGTGGGATGTTTTTTTCCTTAGACGGAGAAGTTTGTCGGAAAAAATTCGTCACGTGAAGCAGAAGTAGAAGCAGGCAGCAGGCAAGCAGATGTTTGATATCGTGTTATTTCAGCATAAAAAGAGCTCTTGAGAGACCATTGAAGAGGATAAGAGGTGAGGATGGCTGGGAGAGGGCAGCGAGAGTGCTATTTATGCCTGAGGATGCCATTGAGACGGTAGATACTGAGAGCTGGCTGCCGGCAGAGTGTAACTAGAGTGTACGGAGTAGGGCTGGTTTGCTTACTTCCGGCCCTATAAATAAACCAGCAAAAGGGCGCTGCGCTGCAGCTATCCCTCTGCCCATCACCTCCAGACGCCGTCTTCTCCCGTCCATCACCTTTTGTCCTCCTTGACTTCAGCTTCTTTCTCTTCCTCTTCTTCTTCTTGCCGTGTTTGTCTTTTTGCTTGATGGCGGGAAGAGACTGCTGACTAAGCTCTTCCCACAAAGGGGCAAACTTTACTTTTCCTGCCGCTTTTTTTCCTTCTCCTTTTTTTCTTCTCGCTTTTTTCTTCTCGTCTTGCATAAACCAAACATCATCAACAACCACAACCAGCATCATCAACCTCCCCAGCTCCTACTTCACCGCTTCACACCGACTTCTCCCTTCTTCTCCCCTGTGTATCTCCCTCTGCTGCATTATATCCTTGTCGGAGCCTGCATATTTGTAATTGGCTGTCCGCCGGGCCTGTTTTGAGCTGGTGCTCGAGCTTCCTTTTCTCCCTTCTTTGCGTACTCCATCTTCTTCACTCGCCACACAGAAGCTCCTCCTCCGTAAGCCGCCGCGATGAAGGCAGCAGAGATCATCTACTACCTCTGCCACCCTCAGCAGCTCCGGGCAATCATCCAATGGTGTGTACTGACCCGCGCGCAATTGCCTTGTGTGAGGTTGCTGCATTGCAGAGCACTTTGCTGACCCGCAAATCACAAACACAAAAGGACTACGTACCACGAACCCGTACATACAAGGGACCTCTCCAAGGAGACAGAGACAGAGAAGAAATGCTACCATTTCCTCAAGCTTACCAGCAGAAGTTTCTCTGCTGTCATCATGGAACTCCATCCAGAGCTTCTGATGCCTGTGTGTCTGTTTTATCTCATCCTTCGTGGCCTGGACACGGTTGAGGACGACACATCGATACCTCTTGAAACCAAGGAGCCCATACTGCGCGGTTTCAAAGACATTCTTGAAGAGGATGGCTGGACCTTCACGGGGAACCGTCCGGAGGAGAAGGACCGGGAGCTGCTGGTTCAGTTCCACAATGTCATCACAGAGTTCAAGAAGATAAAGCCAGCCTACAAGGTTATCATCAAGGATATAACCGACAAGATGGGCAACGGCATGGCTGACTATATCAGACGCGGTGAAGAGGACGATGAGATAGTCAAGACTGTTGAAGACTATGATCTCTACTGCTACTATGTGGCCGGCCTGGTGGGCGAGGGCCTCACCCGCTTATTCGTCGAGGCCGGCTTTGCGCGACCAGAGCTGCTGGAGCGTCCGGATCTGTTCATATCCATGGGCCGATTCCTGCAGAAGACGAACATCATCCGTGACGTGCGCGAAGACCACGATGACAAGCGTCGTTTCTGGCCGCGAGAGATCTGGTCCAGACACGTCAAGGAGTTTAGTGATCTCTTCAAGCCCGAGTTCCGCCAGCAGGCTCTCAACTGTAACTCTGACATGATCCTCAATGCCCTCTCGCACGTAGAGGACTGTATATACTATCTCTCCGCGCTGAAGGAGCAGAGTGTGTTCAACTTCTGCTGCATCCCTCAGACCATGGCCATCTCGACTCTGGAGCTCTGCTTCCGGAACGGATCCATGTTTGAACGCAACATCAAGATAACCAAGGGCACGGCCTGTCGGCTTATGATAGATTCTACTCAGAACGTACGGGTTGCCTGTGACGTGTTCCGTCGCTATGCCCGTGCCATCCACCAGAAGAACACCTCCAAGGATCCAAACTTCCTCAAGATCAGCATGGCTTGTGGACATGTTAGTTTTTCTCCCTGTTTACTTCTTTTTGAATACCTGAACATATATACTAAACTGCATACTTTTATCACAGGTTGAGAAGGTCGTAGAGCGCATCTTCCCATCCCAGTCACCGGAGGCAGCTGCTCGACGATTAACCAATGAGAAATCCCCCGAGCAGCTGACGCAGGACGAAGCCGACGCCGAAGCAAGGAGAGACACCATGTATATCATGCTCACCATCTTCGGCGTCCTGGTTTTCGTCACAGTCACAATGGTACGTCAACTACTTTCATTCTCCCTGCACCAAGGTCCCGTCACTAAAACTCGTTTCTAGTTCTTTGTTGCTTGGCTATTCGGCGCCAGATTCGACCTCGCACTCGAAGAGTTCAAAAAGGGACGACTTACACCGGGTTCCGCCCAAACCCACGGTGGTGAGCTCTAAGGTTAACTAACCACTAGGTACTTCATTCTTCTTACGCATTTACGACGACCTTCTTCTTCGGCCTCTTTTTATGTGGCACCCGTTGCTTGACCTTCTACTTTGCATCTACGAATCCATTCTACTGTATGATAACAAACCATCTTTTGACGTCTATACTAATAATGTAATACTCCAGTGAGGGTCCCTTTCCCCCTCCCTACTTTTCTACTTCCCATTCTTTCTACCTGCCTACCTACCTGCCAGCACGGATGTCAAATTACAACACAATCCTCTCAATGGTTGCTGTTGTGCCGAAGATGTGCTTAGATTGATGGCTTTGACCTGCGTCCCCTAGGGATTGCGGCAAACTACCCGATGTACTGGATTTCTGTCGACCGATTTACTTCGAGACAATGGCAGGCGTCTATTGAAAATCTGGTTACACTCCTTAACCGCCTAGATAGTGAATGAATGAAGCTGAAGATAACCATCTGTCCCCCTGTTTTAAATTATGTGACCTGTTTCTTTTCTGGACCCTGCGTCGTATTCTATATCTCTCCTATCTATCAATCTATCACTCTATCTCTGTCTGTCATCGCCATCGCCATCGCCATCGCCGGCCTGCTCGGGTATTTTTCTTCTTCCTCCTGTTCTTCCAGCCCAACCCAACGCTAAGTATAACCATCGTAGCCCGACCCGACCAGCCGTCGAATGATCGCAGCGCATGGCGATGCCATGATCCCAGCAGTCTCTTGCATTCCGGTGCTCCTTTTTTCGCTCTCACCACTCACTCACTCACTGCATCTCTTTTCTTTTTTCTCCCTTCTTATCTTATTTTATTTTATTTTTTATTCTTTTTTTACTATCATCACGTCCTCCCCTTGCCTGGCCTTGACTTGTCCCCCCCACAAAGGAAGGGAGGGAACCCAGTCGCTAGGCAGCATTTTTTAGTGTCCACAGCCCTTCTTCCCGCGCTCAAAGGGGGAGGGCACCAAAATCGAACTCGGCTGCCGCTTCAGCTTAACTAACTTAGTAACTACAGCGAAGAGCGAGAGAGGGAGAGAAAAAAAAAAGAAACCCGCACTCGAGTCTCGCTTTTCCTTTCTTTTACTCCCGACCCGACGAGCTTTCGCTGCTTCGACTAGTTACTACGACTTCTACGTCTGCTTCTACTACTTCTGCTTCTTCTGCTTTTCTTCTTTTCCTTTGTGCTGTTCGCCGGCTGGATGGGCGACAACGAGGCCTCGCACACTCCGGCGACTTCCAGCGCTATGGCCGGCGAAAGTCCACCCCGGCTGCGAGCCGCTTCAGCCTGCGTTGCCTGCAACAAGAAGAAGGTAGGTCGTCTTATTCTCTCTCTTCTACATATGTCAGGAAGCTGTCCTAGATGCTACTGCCTACTTCTACTTCTACTTCTACATCGTCTGCTGCCTTCTGGTTGCTGCTGTGTCCCTCTTTTCTACCGTCGAGAGCTGTGCACTAACCGAAGGCCGATCGTGCCGGGACATCGCTAGATTCGCTGTATATATCCGGACGGCGGCCAGCAGTGCTCGAACTGTGCTCGGAACCACTGGACTTGCTCGTACGCATCCCCTCCTTGCCTTCCTCCTCCTTCTCCTTCGTCCTCGCGCATTACTCTCGTCCTGTGTGTTGTGTAGTTCTGCTGGCTGACCGTCGCAATCTTTTTTTTCTTATTTTTGCGCCCCCTTTAGACCCCGCGAGCGCAAACGAAAACGCCGGAAGGTCGCTTCAGACACAAAAGAAGAACCAGATACGACGCCTACAGGTGTAGACCAACTCACTGCTGCCTCTCTACTGCATCCGTCACGGTCGCAGCAGTGGGAGGCCGGGTATCCGGGATGGGAGCCTCGTCGCGCTATCCTTGCCGATGGGCAGCAGCAGCCTTCCGGCACATCGGAGTCCTCAGGGGGTCCCGGCTCCACGGCGCCAAACAGTAACCATAATAATCATAATAACACAGCCAACAGCAACGGCACAAGCCACCATATCAACAATATCAACACGCCTGCGACTCCGTCAGCTACTACTACGACGACTACGACTACGACCACGACTACGACTGCTCAGGATGCGGATGGAAACCCCGTGTACTCGCAAAGCGCCTCGGCTTCGGTGGCTCTGCGCTCCCAGCAGCAGCACCAGCAGGCGGAGCCTGGCCTGCATGAGCCGGCGTCAGGGGGCAGCGCAACCTTCCTCGGCCGGTCAGAGTACATACGAGGAGAAGTGCCTATCAACGAAGACCGCGCAAAGGCCTACCCAGCCGTTGCTACAGAGAGTCTGACGGACGAGGACATCCAGATACTACAGCTGCAGCATGCATTCGACCTCCCTCCTCGTGCCGTCAGGGATGGCCTGATAGATACGTTTATGAAGAGATGTGCGCCCTGGATGCCCATAGTCGAGAGAAGCTGGCTCATGGAGCGTCGGGACAGCCAGCCATCGATTCTACTTCTCCAAGCAGTCTTCCTCGCAGCCAGTCGGGTGTCTTCTGCCCCTGCCGTCACGGCCTATGCCTCGTCCAACGAGTTTTACCGTCGAGCAAAGGCCCTGTTCTGGTCGGGGTATGAGAAGAATACCATCACGGTCATCACTGCTGTGTGTATCTTGCACTGGTACAACCCCGAGGGCCCCGAGCATGTCTCGATCAATACCAGCGGCTTCTGGAGTCGCATCGGAGTTGGCCTGGCATACCAGATCGGTCTGCACAAGGAGCCTCCGCCTGGCCGTGAGGCACCCTTACGGCGGAGACTGTGGTGGACACTATACGTAAGCCGTTTTCTGTTTCACCCCTTTTATTACTCTGTGAGAATGTCACAAAATCGTCAATGATAGTAGCTTACCTCTTGACAGGCTCGGGACTGCTTGATATCCGCTAGCCATGGGCGGCCACGAGCAATCAACACCGAAGACAACGACGTCCGGCCACTCACTCCAGAAGACTTTTACGGATGCGGAGCTGATGACGCTCTGTTCCTTGCACACGTTGAAGTGTCTTCTCTTCTCGGCGACGTTACGCAGGCCTGCTGTCGTCGGATGTTGACACGGCCTAAAAGGATCAATATCGAAAATGCCATTTACAGATGGTCGAGGGAACTACCAGAGCAACTCCGCCTCTTCCAGCGAGTCTTTCCCCCCGAAGGGTCGACGGCGTCAAAACTAGTGCTCATGCCTTACCACTTTGAAGCACGACAGCTGCACGTCACATACTTTGTCATCCTCGCCATCCTCTACCGGGCCTCCTCCCCAGGCACCATCCCGTCTGCTGCAGCCATCCTCGCCTCTTCCTTTGTGGCCGGAATCTTCGAGGATTTCCTTGCAAGGGACGAGATCCGGTTCCTCGGCCCCATATTCACATTCTACCTCCTTGCATCGGGCGTCGGGCTGGCCTCATGCTACTCTTACCCTCACCTCTGGGAACGAGCCCAACAGGACCTGCGAATAATATGTAGTTCTCTCAAGGAGCTATCGAAACGCTGGCCCTCTGCCATCGGCAGCCTCAAGGCCCTACAAAGCATGATCGACGAGACCGCAAAGGCTGCTCGGCCCTCGGAGCGACCCCAGCCTACTCCGCTCACGACGGACCAACAGGCAACGTTCTGTGGCTTCGGCACCGATCTATGTCGACTTGGAGACGTCATGCTCGCCCACTATCCTCACGACATCGTCGACTCAGGCAGACAGGAAGACGACCAGTATGCCAGGACGGTATCCGACATGATGACCGCAGGGATACTAGCTGAGCTCAAGACACCCATGGACCCTGCTTCAGCTCCCGTCGATGAGTATCTCCCTCTTGCCTCGGTGATAGACCATAATACCCAGCTCGCCTTTGGAGTAGAGGAGCCTACTCCCATCATCCCCGACGAGGTCCTCTACGGCCAGTACGAGGGTATCGGTAACTGGCTCCTTCGAGGCTGGGACTGCACAGCCGAAGTCCCATGGCATTAACCATTCCCACTCCCTGAACGTGGCCATCATGAACGTGGCCATCATAACCATCATCATCATCATCTCCTCTCTCTCCCTCTCAACCAAACAATACATCAAAAAATAATATCTATCCCCAAGGGTCCCATCCATCACGTGACGCGCAACCCCGGCTTTCGGCTGTCGGGAAACCGGGAAGCTTTGGCGCTCCAAGAGGGGAGACCAAGCGGCGATTTTCGATACGAGAAGCTCCAGCGTTTCTGGCCCTTGAACGTCCCTCTTTTCTCTGCAGATACGAAAGAGCCGAGGACGGAGGTGTTGTGAAGTCGCTTCCTTACCGTCAAGCATCAAGCATCAAGTCTGGAAGCTTGTCGTGGGCTGCCCTGCTAGTCTAGTCCGAGGAAGCCTACCAATAGCATGCCATCTTTTCCGGCTCTTGTTCAATACTGTCGATGCCAAACACATAGTTAATGGCTATGCTTAGTGATGCATCTTCCCACGGCACTAGTCAATGTATACCCTTGTGCTTGTGGCTTCGGGGGTCAGTGATGATGTTTCTACCAAGTGAAACGACAAGGAAGCCTTTTAGTGCCTGTTAGTATCTTATCAAGGCACCAGGATGAAGTCGGAAAACGGTCACTGTTGTGTTGGTTACTGGTGGTCAGTGAAGGGACATCTGGAATGCTATGTCATGCTATGCTTCTGCCAGTTCATGTGTGTCATCTGGCCGAGCATCTTTATATCGTTAAAACCTACCGCTAGAATTATGCCCTAGAATCTACTTAATCTAATGGTTTAATGTCCTCACCTACTTCTCTATCCTTAATATCTCTAATATCCCTAATATCTCTACTTCTACTTCTACTTCTTCGACACGTGGACAAAGTCTCGCCGCCTTCCTAAAAGGGCGTCTTTTTTCTGCCAAGTCACGCTTTTTTTCCTTTTTCTCTTTTTTTCCCTCTCTTTTTTTCTGCCCATCTCCACCGCCTTGCGCCTGCGTCTCTTTTTCTTTTCTTGACGCCCAAATCGCGCTTTTGCTTCTTCGTCTTCGTCTTTTCTTCTTTTTCTTTGCGACCAAAAACTCCAACTTTTTCTCGTCTTTCCAGCTTCAACTTGCGTCCTCGACTCCCTCAGCTTGCTCCCCGTCCTCTTCTTCACTGCCAATTTGTCGTTGTCGGTCCAGGCCCTGGTTTGCTACCTGCCTACCTAACTAAACTGCTGCTAAGGGCCAGTTCTTCGCCCTAGCTGACTAGCTCAGACTACGCGCCGGGGGTGGTCACATGTCCGCCCTTATCTTATCCTGCTCGATCGCCTCTCCATCCCTTTAAGAAAATCTCGACTGGAGCGAGCGATAGTTAGTTACAGGATACCCCGGCTACTTGTCCTGTCCTGCTGTCCTGTGCTGGCTTATCCTGTCCTCGCCCAGCTGGCTGCCTCCTCTGCCTCCTCCTCTCCCCCGATCGAACCACGCAAAACAGCCAGGGACTTAACCAGTTATCATCTGGCCGTGGCCCCGTCCCGTACAACTACCTCGACCAGAAACAGTTAATTAACGAAGATAGACAGAAAAAACCTATAAATATTGCAGGGCTGGTGAGGGGGCTTTTCAAGGTGACCGGTTCTTAACGGTCGGAAAAAGGGCTGGTACGGTACTTGCAGGTATGTAAAACACTCCATAGCCATCCTGCCCTGTTTAATATTTTCATATATTTCACAGGAGGGCGGACGGGATGGGGACAACCCATCATATCATATCCGGAACAACCAACCCACTCGTTTCCGTTGTGCTGATATGTGTTTAATATATTTTCTTTTCTGTTAGTTATATGACAGTCCCTGGGATATAGTTGCACAAAAGGGGACCACTTGAATGAGGAGAGCAGGAGAGAAAGGCTTTTCTCCTGTCCTGTCCTGGCACGATGCTCTCGTCAGTCGATGTACAGTCGGGCGACGTCTCCCCTTCGACGGCCACCATCACCACCACTGCCACCACCACTACCTCGACAAACGCCTCTGAACAGTCTCTCCACGCCATCACACTCTCTGTGCCCTCGACAGACGACCTGAAGACAAGCCTGCTGCCGCCTTCTTCGTGTCCCGTGGTCGATGTAGATATGGACTACGCGGCTGCTGCAGACGATCCAGACTTTCTGCCTACGCATTTCAACGACTTACCCCCAGAGATACACGAGACCATCCTCGACCATATCCTTGGAGTTCGTGGCTCAACGCTTGCCTCCATCACCTCTGCAACTGTCACCACCTCAAGCTGGAGCAAGGCACTCCGACACCCTCGTAGAAAGGCTTTGTCTGACCTCGCCCTGGTCTCACGTGCGTACAGAGCACTCGTCCAGGGCAGGATTTACCGTCATAGTGAGTAAATAAATGATGCAAACAAACGAAGATCACCACAGTGTGGACGATGGTGAGAGTGTTCGGGCTAATTGGAGATTGTCTACAGTCCAGATTAAGGGAACGACGGACTGCCTGGTAGAGTGTGCCAAATGGTTCGACGCACACCTTCACCTTAAACCATACGTCAGGCACATCGAAATATGGGTTCCCGTCTGGGGCGATCGTCTAAGGAAATCCCACTTCTCGCCTCCCAGCCGCCGGGAGAGTGGGCAGGCTAACTTTGGCGTCATCGAAACCAACACTATGGAGTCCTACATGCACGGCCTGGATGCACTCTCCAGTAGCCGAACGAACTGCAACTTCAAATCGGCCAGTCACAATGCCACCTTACAACAGATCTTTGAGAGCGTCGGGTCCCAGTTCCCTGACGCAAAGATGATGACCCTCGAAGGTGGACACTGCAAAAAGCCACCTATGATCCGACACTTCGAGAGTGATCCGTGGGGGGACAGCGGACTGGAGTCGCTTACTCCTCTCCCAAATATCCAGACCTTCATCATGAAAGGTGCATGGAACATCATGCGCGACTACAGCCATTGGACCAATCTGTCCACAGCCTTGCCAAACCTTCGCGAATGGCACTGCTTCTACGCCAAGTCCAAGCGCGAAGCTCACATCACCATCTCAAAGGTTCTCAGAACATTTCCGCCTCAGCTGACCCGTCTCAACATCAGCCTCGACGGCTTCTGCAGTAAGACGAGCTCACGTGGCTTTCTTAACCCGCAAGACGAAAAGCATCTTTGCCGACTATTCGGCGCCATCCTCCCACAGCTGGAGTCCCTGACTTTTACCGGCAAAGTCTGTGCCAGCCTCTTCCTCTCCGGCAGAGCAGCAGTACTATCCTCCCAGCGAAAGTCAAAGCTGAAATCAGTCGACCTCGTCGTCAAGGCCTGCTGCTGGGGCCATGAATCTGACGATGGCTCCCTCATACCAACCGACATATCCGGCATCACCAACATGTCCTTCATCATCGAGTTTGAAAAGCTAGTTATCGCTGCCATTCACTCGCTGGGCGCTTTACCCGCTCTTCAATACATTCGTATCCGATTCATAGACCTGGATTCTATCTGTGGCCTTTTGAACCCTTATTTCCAACTAGTCGGCAACTCCTGCACGGGCGTCTGGAGCGAAGCTATTCTTAAAGTTCTCGAAGAAAACAGACCAGAGGCTCAGTTCGCTGAACTGAATAACGGTATTCTTGAAGATTACGGCATCAACTCGAGAACAGGCACTCGATCTTATCCACGAAGTCGCCCTCTTAGCATCAAAACGAGCTGCTACCGCATCATCGCCGATAAATCAAAGCCTTGATCACGCCATAGGCCGCTTTACTTACTTACACCCTCCCTCCATCTAGGTCACGGGCTCGATATCATTCTAATCATCACGTTCAAGCGTTACCGAAGCTCGCTTCTATTTTTTCTGTTTTTCATACAGCCATATGTTTTTTTAACTAAAATTTTTACTTCCTTTCCTCCCTTTCATGGCTAGATCGTGGAGAAAGTCACCATATTCGAAAATACCCCCTCCTTCCATTCCCCTACTTACTCGATCTAGGGAAATATCTGTCGAATTACCTCCTTCCTGCTTTTTGGCCTGTATTGCATGGTGTCAGGAGAACTGGGCGCGCTGAAAGAAAAAAAAAAACAAACGGTTTTTAAGGCGATCAGGGGAAGCAAGAGTGTGAAAGTGGAACAATCAAAAGGAAAAAGACCTGATCTGAAACTGCTTAAATGACAGGATCTTTACTGCTTCCAACATCAGTTATTTGTTTGTCACGTACGCATGGCACGGCGTCTTGAAATGTAAGCAGTCAGACCTACCTGTCTGTTTACTAACTACCTGTTAATTCTCCTAAGGCTCAAGGGATTTGTCTGTTTCTCTATGTCTGTGTCTGTCTCTTATCTCTTTGTTTTCACCCTATTTGAGATACATATGTAGCCAGATTTAATAATATTTCCTGATTCTCAAGAATACACTGGCATACAACATTACTATAAGGTCATTTATAAATAAAGCGATAATAAGAGTATTTATTATTTCAAGAGCTATATATCTTTCTTCACTGCTGCAGGGCTCGGCTTGTTGGCTTTGCCCTTATCAGGATTTCCTGTCCGCGGAAGATTGCTTATATCTGAGATAATAATCCCCAGAATCCAAATGTTTATGGCGAAAAAGGCAAGGGAGGAGAGGTATAACCCCAAAACAAAAGTTGAAGCTCCAAGGAACTCAAGCTGGAAGCCCTGATGAAGCCAAAGGCCCTGATGGAAGAAACTGTTTAATAACTCTTCCTCGAATAGTGATCGCTCCAAGTATAAGGGATTAATTTACTTACTTGTGCGCCTGCCCACAGAGCAGCGACGGTGGTTCCGAAAAGCGGTTGTTTGATGAGGGATGAATAGGGGAGGTAGAGCGGTAAAAACACAAGATACCAGAGAAAATACTAAATACAGGAGTCAGCAACCGCCTTGGAGGTTATATACCAGAGCCTGTGGGGTTTGAAAAATACACAAAAAATGGACATACCTGGCTTGTGCAGACTTTATTGAAAGTGACAAACGCAAATGTCTGGCTTAACATGGTCCCGGCAAGGTCCTTCTTGGCCAGTGCAAGTGGGATAAGAATAGCTGAAAGTCCCAATTGTGGCAGAAAGGCGAGAGACTCGAAGTTATTCCCGGGAATGCCTTGCGAGGTCTCGGATGAGGAAAGGTATAGTAGCATGTTGTAAGGAGAAAAGTTGTGGCGATGGTCCACGCGAGTAACGTGGTGGAGGTAGGTATGTTGCAAGAAAGGGGTTCCATAAAGCATGTACATGGCGGTATTCAGCCCTGCAAACACAATAAGGGAAGTCAAGCCGAGAATTATACGTTGAGGCGTCAGAAGTCGACAGACATAGTTGGTCAAGTTGCCGAGAGTAAACCCTTCTGATACATTGAATCTGTCGTTTTTCTCGTCTTCCAAAAACCAGATGATAGATGGACCATAGATGAAAGGGTATATTTTGAAATGTACGCCGAAACCCAAAAGGACGCCAGCTAGTACGGTTCGTTTCTCTAGTACAGCCCAGAGCAGAGCCATGATCATGACACATAGGAAACCTTCCGAGCTCCCTCGGGTGCTGATAGTAGCAACCATCGGATTAAGCAGCCAGATGCTTGAAAATTTAAGTGCCCTTTGCATATCCATTCGTTGGTGAGAGCGGAGAACATGCAGTATCAGCCATCCCGCAATGATATCAGAGACAGCAAATAAAGCTTTGCCAAAGGAGAACCAGACTTGCTGGCCGCCGAAGCTGGTCCAAGTGGTGGGGAGAAGAATCCATGCAAGCAACGGTGTGTATCTGTAAGTTGCTCTTTCATACGGAGACTGGCCTTCAGAGACAAATTTGGCGGCATCAGTGAAAACATAGTAGTCGATATCGGTATACTTCATGGGCGAATGAGAGTCCTGATAGAGGCCATAAAACAAGAGAACAACTCGAAGTAATATCGCTGCCCCGAATACGAGGGAAGGAGAATTGAAGAACCGCGACATTATGGAGATTTAAAAAAATCCTTCTTTGGCTGTCCTCTGTCCAGGATTATGCAGCTGTGGATTTCGTCTAAATGGTACAGCCTGCTGCTTTTGTGGAAAACATGAACATCTGACCCCTTTGACCAATTCAGGAGCCGATCATGCAATGGGCCAACTGCTGGGCCTGAACGAGTGTCAGTTGCTGAGTTATAGCGAAGGGAGGAAGAAAAAGTCAAGGCCCCTTTTGTTACTGCGAGATCTCATCAAAAAGGCGAAAGCGAAGTCGACGTGTAGATTGCTGGGTTGTTGTTGACCCCAGATAAAGCTTGTGCGCCTATGGAGGGGCGCTCGGACATTCTGCAGCAATATAAGCATATCATTGGACAAAGTATATTACTAATGTAACAATTTTTAAAATTTTAATGGAGTAGCTTATATAATCCCGCGCTTCCCTATCGCGAGCTTTGACTGCCCGATAAACTCGAGTAAACCAATATCAAAGACACAAAGGCGAAGGGCAAGAGAAACACCTGACACTAACACCTCTATGGCTGGCAACAAGCGAGCGTGGGATGGCAACCTGATAGCAAACCAGTCAAAGACAAAAAATATGGACACCTCAGCCGATATGCCTTCTATCCAGACTATCTTTACTGGCTTCCGCAATGAGCTTGATGAGCATCATGACCGAAGAGAGCGTGTTGTAAAAGCATCCAGAGATATCACAGCTTTGAGCAAGAAGATGTGGGTTTATTGAAGCTGTCTCCTATCTACTGCACACTCTTGCACGCTATTAATCAACCATGTCATATAAAAACACTAACAGTTCCTGTTTAGAATATTCTCTTTACAAAGGTAGCTTCCTTCACGCTGTTATTAGCATTGATACACCCGCCTAATTACTCTACCCCACTTTAGAGTCCGCAGTGTGAATGCACCAATCCCTCCAAAAATTGCAAAGGAAACGGACGATCGTATCAAACAAATACAAGAGCTCTTCAAGTCGATTGAAGCAGACGTCTCTGGCGTCAACGCATGGAGATACCATCAAATCACATGGGGAATCCAGGAGTACATCGAAGCTATATCGTTCCACCGGTACATTGAGAAAAAACAACTCATCACTCTGGAGGAGGTCTCACAGACGCTACCGGCTGGTATTAATGTAACAGAAGCAGACTACGTACTTGGGCTTTACGACCTGACAGGCGAAATGATGCGGTTTGCCATCACTACGATGACTACTGGCCGAACAGCAGGTGTAAAAGGGGGAGATTCTACTGCTCAGGACAAGGCCCAGCAGTCTGAGGAACCTACGGGTGGGGAAGCAGTACTTTCTGATCTACGTCAACTTCGGGCCATGTTTGAACAACTCAATGTTCCACGTGGCCTGAGTGGATGGAAGGAAGTAGACAAGAAGATTGAGGTTATGCAAGCCAGTGTTGAGAAGGTGGAGAGAGCCGTGTATGGGCTGTTAGTACGAGGAACAGAGCGTCCATCTGGGTGGGTGCCAGACTTGAGCAGTGCAGCTGCGGTCGAGTCGCATTAACACAGTACTCTCGAAAGCAGAGATATGATAGTATGAAAGTTATGTAAGGGTCATGAAATACGGATATAACATGTTAGGGAAGCGCTGGGAGAAGCTGTAGTTGATATTACAGTTTCTTGATTATGATATTACTCCATAAGTTTGAAACTTAAGTAGAAGTTCAATTCCTTCCACGAAATTATATTCGATCCTTTGCTGATTACTCCCATGGTCATCGCGGTTCAATTTGGGACATCCCTGCAGAAATGACCTCAGCGTGGAAGAAAGACCAACAGATCCACCCAACCAACCGGCCAAATTAATGGCCCACCCGCCTTGGAAGGCCTTCACTCCATTACAGAGCACACAAACATCAACACCGATGACACAGTGGATCAACACATGCATAAAATGAGACTGAACGGAGGGCTAAAAACGTAAGGCATTAAACCAGAGGGTCGAATACGAGTGACATAGCTTAGAGGATTAAACCTTGATAGGGTTCTCCTCCTCCGTTAGGACCCCAGCCTTAACCAAGTCTTCAGGCTTTGGTCGGTGCTGGATCTTGTGCTCAAGCGAGTCGGCACGCATGTGCTTTTCGAGATCACGGGCAGGTCCCTGAAGAGCTGGGGCAGCATTGGATGCAGGGAGTATATTTCCTATTGTAACAAACAAAGCATGAGGTTGGCATTCTCAACACACAAACCATACGTATCACTCCTAACCACCCCAGAGAGAAGGAAGGCATGGAAAGAAAAAATGGGTGTAGATGACCAAAAATTTAAAAAGGCCACATACGTTCAACGAGGGAATCACGGTCAGCTCTCTTCTCCAGGCCTTTTTTCAGTGAATCGGCGGCCTGTTGGCGAGCGAGTTCATGCTGGGCTGCTTGGAGAGAGCTGTATTCAACGTCAAAACATGAGCCTCTTTATCACGCTTCTTTGCGTATTTCGCTTGAAGTTGGGATATTGAGTCCTTATGCAGGCACATACGGAGCTACTTTGGTATCAAGTAGTATATGTCTATTCTTAAGGTCCTCGGCATCCGGACGGCACTGGAGAGACCTCGCCAACGAGTCACGGCGTTCGCTGATAGGGGAGGTGGGAACCTCAACTGTCGAGTTTGTAGGGGCGTCAGACATGGTGAAATGATAGGCTCGGTGGTATCTGCCTTTAAAGCAAGCGAGACGTGTTAAGCTGTCGAGTTATGTGAGCTGTATGTTATGAGTAGATGGATGTAGGAATGTTGAGCTGCAAGAAAGAGTTCAAAGTTGGCAGGAAGCCTTTTTGGTTGCCTAGCAGAGAGGAGGAAGTGACGTTGTCCCCTGGTACCCTTGCCGCGAAGACCAGCCACAGAGCGGCTCAAGATACCTCGCTTTAGGTATCTTCTCTTGCGAATATGTACTATAAGATACTTGTAGTCCTTGTACCCTGAAGCTGTTGCTGGACCAAGATGACATCTTCGACTCGTGGCGAGGTCACGCCCCCGCTCAAGTCACCTGACCAGCGGTTGGCCGAGCAACAACTGAATAACACTAAAAGTTACTTCTATCAAACCATGCGTCGGTCCAAAGACGACTATACAGGAAGACAAGGGGACTGTATAACGTATTAACCAGGTTAAGATACCGCCGGCTACAGATATTACTGTTCAGTAACAATGAATGGATTCCCCGTACTTGAAAAATGAAAGGGCCATGGAAACCATAACAGAGGAGGCCTAGATTTCGACGACCTTCTCAACATCAAAAACATGCTCCCTTGATCCGAGAAATTTTGATATGATGCCTCCCGGGCTTTTATGCGGCTGGTTGCTCTGTCCCGGAAATACATAACCTCGCTGGTTGCTCACAAGCCTTACCTGTCCGCGGATTGATTCGGAAGAGTAATGTGTATGACCATATATCCAACAATTCACATGGTCAAGACATGACCTTTGCGTGCCATCCAAGAGGTCCGTCCCGAAAGCAGAACTCCATGGATTTCCCTCATCCGACGCCTTCGAGGTCTTACTGGTTGAAGGAGCATGATGTGTGACAACAACAAGTTTCCGCTTCGACTCGGACTCTGTACTTCTCAGAGAGCTAATTTCGTCCTTCAGCCACTTCACATCCGCAGCGTGCTCTGCATTATGGCTGGCAACTGTCCAATCCTTAATACAGCGGAAGTCGTTAATCTTAGAGGCAACAACCTGCTCCGATCCTGGCAGCACATGTGAATGTAGAGTACAGCCTAGAATAGTAGTGTTACCAATATCAACCCGTTTCTGGTTCAATATAACCAACCTGCCATTCATTTGCGGTTCTTCTTGCAGTTGGTCTGCTAGACGTAGGCCTTCCTGGCGAGTGACTCCGAAAAACTCATGGTTGCCTAAGACAAGATAAACAGCCTCAAAATTCCCACACTGGGTGCATAAAAAGTCACGAAAGGCATCATAGTCTGCAAGACGACCGATGTCACCTGCGAGGATCAGCTGAGAGGCTCGTGGTTTGATGCGGAAATCCGCGTATTGTTGGCCGACTTCGAGGTGCAGGTCAGACATCACTTGAAAAGCAGTCGACTTTCGAGGCTGCCATGGCAAAGTAAGCCTGGAGAATGCCATCAGTTAAATAGATGCAACGAGGCCTTTGCGATATCAAAGTGGCTGCAGGCAACAAGGGGTGTCTATTGTACTCCGTACTCCGCACTCCGCACTCCGCAGGTATTTTATGTACGTTTCGTAGGGAAGCAAAGGAATCAGGAATAGTAATCCATAACTAGAGTGCTGTAATCATTTAACCATTATAAAGAGATAATATTCATAGCAATGATAGACATGGTTGAGGATATGTATGGGGTATTTAAATAAGAATGAGTGAGCCTTCTGATATCTGCTAGCAAGTCAACCAGTCATGCTTGGCAGGGAGCAGCCTGGCCATAGTTGATGCTTCAGCACTTTCGAACCGTTTTTAACACCCTACCTACTTTCAACCACAACTCACATACGCCGGCTGAGACTTTGAACTTAGCAAGGAATCCGACGCGATATTGGCGCTTTTATTTTCCGGCTGCTAACACGGAACTCTCGGTTGTGCAGTTGTTAGCTTGCTCTCAACTACTATAACGCACCACGTATCGTTATAATTTATAGTTAACACATATGGAGATATGAGAGGGTAGCTCGGTTAGGTTAGGTCTAGAGAAATCAAGCATAACAATGATCAAAGAAGGAACGGCTGCATTGATGCTATCATTGCGAATAATACTAGGTACTCATAGGGAAACATGGTTACCAGCTCAGCGATTGAGAGTCAAGGGAACCGTCGATTCATCAAGCACACCTTGCATCACAAACCCCGACCAACTCTCGCCTAAATCCACCTTAGCCTCGGCCAACCAACGATAAAGCGATACTGGGAACGGGTAACAGGAATGAAGGAAAATCGTATCAATTGCGATACGGGTGTACATGTCCGCCCATCTCCAATCTTCGGGCTTGCTTCCAATTATTATAATTTTTTTCGATCAAGAAAACGTTCTTCGGAAATCATGACTTGAGTCTCGAATGAAAACAGCGCACGTCGAGGTTTCGTTCAGTCACCACAGCTGATCCGTCGCTCAAGAGATCAAGACAACCTAGACTTGGATAAAAACCCTCGTCTAGAGATGGCACACGTCCACAAGATAATTTTTGTTCGAGAAACGAGTAAGTTAGACCCGCGACCCATCAAAACCAACCGATATAGTATCGGATATGGAGATTGTAAAAAGCCTTTTCGAAAGACGTGTGCATTCCTGCAGGTTTCATCCTTCCATATTTAACCATTTTTCCTCGGGTTGAGAAAGGTTAGTGAGTTCTGAAAAAGAAAAACATCATACCAGCTCCCAGCACCTAGATATCAAAATAGAAGCAACTGGGAGCATGGCACCATGTTCACGGAACCCAGAGCTTTCCACGCCCACGAGCAGCTCCCCTAAAACCTCCACCTCGAGCTCCACCACGGCGATTTCCATTTGGTCGGGGGTTCGCGTTAGATGTGCCACGGTTTGCAGGTGTTGGAGAGGGGTTACCATTGGGAGAAACGTTTTGCTTGGTCATTCCGATGCTGCGGCTAAACGAGTCTGGATCAATTGGAGCTGAGGGAATCTCAAGTGGAGTTTCAGCAGCAGTTGAAGAAGCTCGAGGTCTTCCAGTACCGACAGGATTGTTGCCAACAGTTTTATTACCGCGTCCTGGCGTATTCTTAACAGGAGTCCGCGCTGGTGTCTGGGGGCCAACTTTGCCTTGCTTTCGTGGCACAAAAACTAAGACGTCCTCATCGCTTTCATCCTCGTAGGATAATAAGGGTTTTGGCTCAGCCGGAGTTTGAATCTGGTTCTGGTTCTGGTTCTTTTCCAAATATTTGCAGTGATTTTTGAATTCTTTTTCCTCGTAGATGATGGATGTGCGAAGTTGGGCAATATTCTTCACAATGATACCGAACTTCTGGGCCCAAATTTGAGTCTCTCTGTCATTTGTAACGAGAATGCAACTAGATTGGGGTGTAGATATAGCGGGGAGAGCATGTAACCGCCATAGGACAGCGTTCAACAGCGGCTTCAAGACGTTGGGGACGGCCGGAGCGACGTATTTCACACTAGCACCAGGGTCCTCGTCATTATTAGTGGCTGCTTCACCTGAAGATGCGTTATTTTCCAGCTGACGGGATGAGCACTCAGGGCTTGCACGAGAACCACCGGACGTAGGTGATGCAGGACCGCTAGAAGTCCCTGCGGAAGCGGCAGAAGTAGAACTCGGTTCTTTCTCTTTTTTGAAGTTCAACTTGCTCAAAAGCATCTGCGATATGTCGTTGATTTCGCGGGTACTAGGAGTTTTAGGCTGGGCATCTCCAGCCGTAGACTTCTCTTCCTTGAGGGTAGATTCGACAGTGCCATGGGCGGGAGTAGCAGGAACTTCTTCTTTGAACTCCGGAAGAATGTATTTCTCGGCCTCTCCCCAAGTTGAAAACTGCTCCATAGGCCCTTGAAGGGTTACTTTCTCAGCTGAAATGTTATGTTTCCCGGACGTAACACGATCGAGGAAGCGGACGGCCTCGCACGCGTTGATACTACTTTGGGAGCCACCTTTCTTTATTATATGGAGACGCTCAAGGGCTAGGTAGTGTTAGTGAGAAGATACCCAAAGCGACCATGACGCTAGTCGCCGAGTTGACGGCACATACTGTATAACGGCACGATGAGGCCAATAGCATCCTGCGAAGTCCACTTCTTGATCTCTCCGAGGTTTGTGGTAAGACAGGTTTCATCAACCACACAGTGGAACACCTTTCGGCCAACAGACATGATGGCTTGTAAGGGCGAAATCTCAGAGGCAGACTTTCCGGTAGGTTGTAGGGGTTGATGGTTGCTTGACTGGGGTTTCTTTCGTTAAATGAGGCGCATGCGGAGAGGAAACGCGGAGGCTGTACTGATGGTTTGTAAGGCGTTTTTATCTCTGCGAATGACTTCAGCACATCAGTGCCAGTTATAAGAACGCTGCTAGATGGTCTAATGAGCAAGAGAGACGAGGTCAGTAACCCATCTTGCACAGTATACATATATGACAGTATACATATATGGCTGAGAAGAAAGCTGTCAGTGCGCTCTGACGGGGACTTTTCCATCGACTTACAGGAATAGTTGAGGACAGGGTAGAGGGCTGATTCAAGCATCTTTAACCAGCTAGGCATATATGCAGCGCTGGACGAAGTTGCGGCTTTCTGTGAATGTGACGAGGGACTGCTTCAACCCTTGAAGGTAGAAACACAGCCTGGGGGAAGCGATGATGATTCAACGTGAAGTCGAGAACTTGCGAAAAGATATATAGAGGGGACGGCATGACTAAGCGGGCTTTTCCGCTTGGTAATATTAGAAATATCGAAGGCAAATTTAAATCTATCAGGTTTGCCAACAAGGTAAAGGCTGTGAATAATATACTGATACAAAGCGAGGAGGCACAATGGCTATCTTTAACGCTGTCAGAAGGCCTTTGTAATACTCGGCCCATTCATTTGCTTTCAGATGCATAGATAAATCCTGCAAAATACCCGCCAAAAAAAAAAGAGCACAGTGACGTAGTTGACTTAACCAATCTCGCGGATAATGCACTAACTACTTGAGCCACTAGACAATTCAAACTGTTAGGTCTTCCGGATGAGGCCGCTCTCTTCCGTCACTCTCGACGCCCATTCCCTATATACTGTTAGGACAAAGTGAGCGTATGCAACAAGGGAGAAACAGCAACTTACGTCCAGCTTCCGTCATAAACTCGTCTGTTTTCCTGAGGGATGTAGTCTGCTTGTTCCAATGCAAGATCAATAACGGCAGCTGTGACGCCAGATCCACAGGTGGTGATGACAGGTCGGTTCCGATCAACCCCCCTTGACTCGAACAATTGCCGTAACTCTTCGGGAGAACGCAGAGTTTTCGTTTCTGGGTCCAGATAATCGCCGAGTGGTATGCATTGCGATCCGGGCATATGACCAGAAGAAAGACCGGCCCTGGGCTCTTTATCTTTTCCTGCCCATCGACCGGCAGGACGAGCGTCTATGATCTGGACTGCGTCGGAGCCTTCCTTGCCGTAATCTTCGCCCATCTCCTTCATCTCCTCAAAATGGACCACTCTGTTTGGATAGTGGTCGTCGACTACGTAGTCCGAGGATTCGTTTGGCGCCACTTCGCCTTCTTCGACAGGATAACCTTCCCTAACCCACAGCCTAAAGTTATTTAAAACATGCACATTGGGATGTCCAAACACTCTTAAAGTCCATCCAACACGGGGAGCACTGAGTATCCCTTGTTCTTCCGTATCGTATACTACTACTCTGTCATCGCGACGAATGCCCATCGATTGCATGGCTTCAGCAAATTTCTCCTTCGACGGAAGCATGTGAGGATAGGGGGAATTGGTATCTTTCACGACATCAATGTCAAAGAAGCGCGCATTGGGGATCCTCTTCTTCTTGAATGTCATGAGCCCGGTGCGGCCCTCTGGGTCATTAGGCATGAACCAGGCGGCGCATAGCGGAATAACCCGAGGAGTGGAGGATATTTTCGTTGGCACATTTTCCTTCAGGGCTTCATGGAGCTCCTTTGGCGTGACTACATAGGACTGGAGTGATATAGCCCGTTGCTGGGTCGTATTCGCCGCTAGTGTAGACCTAGAGAAGAAGGAGGCACGCTGTGAGAAACGAGCGAGCCGAAGAACTGTGGTAGCCATCTTTGAACGGCCTATTGGGGGTCTCCTTGGTTATTTCTGTGCTCTTACATAACGATGATCCTGAGACGCTTGGTATTCTGCTGTTGACGTAGTTGACTTGAACTGTTGAAAGCTGATACAGGTCGTGGGGATAAAGTTGGCTGGGCAACTGGGCAGCCAGCCAATCACGCAATAACTCTAAATGAAAAGACTGCCCAGCGCAAAACAACACTGATAACGATAACTGACTAACCGCTACTTAGTTCTTCCATGACACATCCTTCGTTCCGTCATAATTCTTACGTCTGACGGGTCACAGTAGAAGCGGTGACAAGAGCCGACAAGGCTGTAAGGGGTCTGTGGCATGGGCAACTAGTTAAAGCAGGGGAGGGAGACCAACCGCCAGAACCAAGAACGCGATCTTATCGCAAACAAACCCCTGGTCAATCCGGTCGACTTGCTGTTAGGTACTTAATCAGCCTACCAATCCCGCAGCAATGAAAGTATCTATTAAGCAATGGAATGCTGTGGCGACATGGCGGTGGGACATGCCTGAAGACGATGTCTGTGGCATATGTCGAGTCCAATTCGATGGCACTTGTCCTACTTGCAAATACCCTGGAGATGAATGTACTTTACGTGAGTTTAACGAGGGTATGGTGTTTGATCGTCGATTCCATGGATGCTAATACACATTCTAGTTATTGGCAAATGTGGACACTCTTTCCACATGGTGAGATCAGATTTCAATGTGCTAGCACTGGCTGTTTTTTAACCTCTTTACTAGCACTGCCTCTTAACATGGATTCAACAAGATTCAGCCAAGGGCCTATGCCCAATGTGTCGACAGAGTGGGTTCTACATGGCCTCTGATCTAGTAGATATGGTCACTAACGAAGTTTTTAGAATTCGAATGGAAGCAGAATGAATAATGTTCAGAGCGGTAGTTTACTGCACGGAGTTGGGAGTATAACTAGCTTACGGGATTCAGGCAGATGGAATACCCTTTTTATTGCTTTTCATCATATACTTATTGTCAATAGATTTATTAGTTATCATTACTTCTGTAGCTTGGTAGAAGCCCTATTCGTCCCTGCCTGGCACGTGATCAATTCTCAGGTTAGGTAATTCAACGCCATCCAACCTCAACTCTTACATCTCATAACAGAGTACACGGGAAAACATATATCGCTAGCTATGTAGCCCTTGAAGCGCAAAATGTCTCTTCCTAAGGATGCCGTTTCACCTACTACGTTATCACCCAGAGTTGCTAGTTTATCTATCTCTCCTACGGAGCATGATACCAGCGGCCAACCACCTCCCAGAAGCAGCCATGGGATGCTACAAGATGAAGCGGTTGAGGATGACAGTGGGCATGTCTCCCAGAATGAAATTGTAGAAGATACACCTATACCGGTCCATCCTCCGTTCAAACCTTTCTTTACGGTTATAGGAGATGCAACTTCGTCGGAATACTTTCATCCAACAGTCCACTACATATTTTCCGACGATGATACGAGCATCATAACCGAAGCAGCGCTTCAGTCTCTAGAAATAAATAAGCAAAAGCCACCATCATGGAGTACAGAATCGATTTCCCAGAAAGAAAAGAAGAAAGGAGAGTCTACTCCGAAGGCTAAGGCCGCAGCGGAACAATTCATCATTCTGGACGTGGAACCTACAAATACAAATGACACCAGCGGTGCTGCTGATGCGGCTACTACCGATGCGCAAGAGACATCCGCTCGTCCCAATCTTACTCCTCAAAGGTTTCGGGATTTTAAGGTAACATCTGCTCACAGTTTATCACCCGCCTGGCAAGTGATCAATACATCTCTTTCTCCGGCTCCGAATTTTGATTCGGCTTCCAACAGCCCTACATCGACAGATCGCGATAACAACGCAGTGCTTATGATTGAAGGAACTTCTGGATTTGCTTCTGACAGCTCTGCCACACGGCACCAGACTCAGCAGGCATCGGGACAGACTCTGGAGGAAATGATGGATCAGTTTGCCAAGCGTATGGAGGAACTGAAGAAAGTTGTTGAAGCAAGTGGAGACCAGCCGTTTGTACAGATGACAGGACATGCGGAAAACCAAGGAGAGTCCCCTCAGACGGAAGAACAAAGTCAAAAGTAAAACTGGATTTTACCGTGGAGCTTCGATGACCTACCGTCTGATTAACGACGGAACATCGTCGCCGTTGTTATCATCTTGGGGTACTATTATGTGTGGGCTATTTCCGGGATTACATCAGCTTTGGGTTGACGGCGTTTGGCTGAGCATTTGTCTAATTATATGAAAGATTTCATGTATCAACACGCCGCCCGATTGTGACTCTGAGAGGAATTTCTATCCCAAAAAAGATTTCAAGTAGCAGTCAGCTATAACATTATGTATAGTGTAGCCCTATGTCATGGTTAGGGCTATTAAATGTACAAATTAGGCAAGGGTATTCCTAATAGCCTTCCATCAAAATGCCGCCAATCCATCCAACTCCTAACAAAACGTTCAGTGTGTAGTTAACCTGCGCTCTAAAACAAAACGAAAAAAAGATTGCTTTCTAGTATGAAAAGCATAAACTTAATGGTGTGTAGGGCCACTCCTCACTCTTCTTGTGTTGATCCTTGACCCTGCGTTGAGAGTAGAGATAGGGGTGTTTTCTCGCCCACTTCCAACGCCAGTTGCAGTTCCTCTAGCATTCCGACGTGTCATCCGTTTTGTTGGAATTTTCGTCTCGCCAGTTAAGTTTGATGCGGCGGCAACAGAAGACGAGAGATGCCGTTTAAGTGGTGGTGGCTCTGTATCCTTGCAACTTTCATTATTGCGCCCCGTTTCAGCAGCCGCCGGTTCGGGATTCGGTTTATTCATCACATTGATATCAACTTCTCTTAGCTTTGTTGGTGATAGCTGATCGGGTTCCTCGGAAGCGTCAGCGGGTAAGGGTTTTTCGTCTTCAACATTATTATCCAAGTCATGATACACTGTCGACTTTGTTGGTGACGTGGGAGGTTCATGGTGTAATGAAGGGGAGCCTAGCGGCGTACAAGAAGGAGAGAGCGTGGTCAATGGGCCACATGGAGACTCCATCTTTCCAAGTATACTGGCATGCGATTCCGTCCGTGGGAGTGTGGCTTCATATCTGTATGTTTTCTTCTCAGGGGTAGTCCCAGTTGGCACGTATTCCGCCATAGATGTCGTTTGGATCTGTGACTGAAGGTCTAATAGCGGTTGCTTTACATCGGACGTAGCGGTGTTCACTAAGGTTCCAAGAGACTTATTTTCAGTCAACATGGCTGATTGGAATGCTGCCTCACGCTTCTCAAAGTCGTCCAATTGCTGAAGCTGTTGATGGTACCCGTCCATAACCCGTTGCCCTAGTTTTTTGGTAATGCCGTTGCTTACTTCACAGTGTTGATTGTTCTGGGACCTGGCTCTTCTGACGAAATCATCAAGGGCTTCCATCTGAACAGCCATATCTTTCTTTTGTTCATCAACAATATGAACTGTTTGTTCATGAACTGTGTTGGTAGTTGCATGTATCGAATTGTTTCGTGAAATAAAAAGCTGAGGCGGTGTTAGTGTAAAGTTACTCAGTGAAGAGGCTGAAAGAAGGCTTACGTCTAGATGATCTTTCATCTTAGATTTCAATTCTGATTCTGATTTGAGCACCTTCTCAAGCAATTCATCCCCACTTCTACCCCAGCTATCCAAAGTTCCAAGATATCTGTCATGCGACTGCTGGAGCGTCCTTCCTGATACCTGTACCTCAGTCTTGATAGTATCGATTTTGTCCTTAAGGCGAGCTGCTTGTCGGTCACTTGACTCGTTTAAGAGGGTATGAATCTGTGAAGCTAGAATAGAACGCTCTGCATCTGCCGCTTGTCGTTCCTCCTTAAGGGTCAATTCCAATCGAAAAGCTGCCTTCTCATTAGCTTCTTTAGCCTCCTCGTTAGCCTGTTGGAGCTGTGCACGAAGGTCGTCGACTTCTTCCCTCTGGGAGTGAAGGTGGCCCACGACTGATTGGAACAAATCGGTAAAGTCGCCGGTTAATAGATTATACATGGTGTGTAACTAGCATTGTTAGCTATTAATCCACCTTCTTATATGACGTGGAAAACATACCTCAGAGTCAAATTGCTGAAGTTCCTGTATCACTTCCTCAGAGATCCTCGCCGCAGCGGAAGAGAGCCCGTTCAGGCCTTCCCCGACTTTCTCCTGTACATCTTCCCTCAATATCTTTATTTCTTCCAGAACGTCATTCATGGTATCTCGGTTCTTGTGATTTTGGCGTTTGGAGTCTTCTTCAAATCTTGAAAGAGAGGATTCGGTTTCCTTAAGAAGTTCCCGGCTCCTTTTTAGGGCCTCAAGTTCACTGCTTACAAAGGTTTCCACGCGAGAAGTGAGGTCGTTTATGAGAGTTGCATGCTGGGAACGAAGGAGCGCCATCCTGTCATCAACGGATTTTGCAACATCCAGAACCTTGCCAGTACAATCCTCCCAGGCACTTTTGTTCTGTTTGTGAAGAACTGACCGCCTTCTAAGCTTAGAATGCAACCCAGAAACGTCTGTTACAGACTGATCAATGACCGACAGGAGAGTTGAGCCGATATTATGGAGTTTCTGTTCTGTCACTTGATGTGCACGGCGTAACAATGTCTCCTCCTCCAGGTCCTTCTGGGCCTTGCTCAAAATCTGCTCTGTCTGCTCCAAAAGGGTTTTTGTTTGGTCCAACGTTGACTGTGTTGACTCATTGCTCTTTTTCATCTCATTGAAGTTGCTTGTCAAAGCTAGGTATTCTTGAACTTTGGTTTTCAAGTTGATTTCCATTGTCTCGATCTTCGCCCGTTGCTCTTCACTGAGAATACGACGGGATTCGCTTTCCACGGTCATTTCCTCGTAGTTTTCGGTCGACAGGTAAACGCCGTTTCTCTGTCTCGTTGCTATCAGATCACTTCGCAACTTTTCAATCTCAGTTGTAAATTCTCGTAGCAGCGCCTTTTTGGAAATTGAAGAGTTTATCTGGGGCTTATTTCGAATATTCTTTGCTCGAAAAGCGTAGTCTAATGTGGACATGGTTTCCTCCAAATTGCAGCGAGCAGAGGATATTGTTGCAATTATGCAGGTTTTCGTACGGCCTCCCAAGGAGTCTTGAAGCAGCCGTGTAAGTTTTGATTCCCTATAATGTGTGAGTAGACGACTAACCCTCTTGCCTCCGGGGTAGTGAGCAACTCACCGATAGGGTATATGAGGACTTTTGTCAACCAAAGCATTTATCACCCGTCCAAGCGTAAGTAAGCTCTTGTTTATTGATCCAGCTTCCGTAGCTCTCTTGTTTTCAGCGCCACTGCGCCGAATGTCTTCACTCCCAGCAAGATCAACGAGGTTTAGTTTTCCGCTGCATATATATTCCTCACCCTTGTCCGAAACCCGCTTCAGGAAGGTAGTAATAGTAAAAATACTATGGCTTCGCGAACTGAGGTCATTGCATTTTGTTGAAGCAACTTGCCGACGGTGGCTCCCTTCCTGGAGCAGTTTAATACCGGCTGATGCAGAGTTGATATATGTTTCGCCCACTCCTTGAACCATGGTACCATTGTGACCTTTCTTCATGCCTTCTTCGTATATTTTTAACTTAACATTATCTTCAGACGAGAGAAGATCCCTGAGGTCCTCATTGTAGAGTTCGATAAAAGAGCATTTAACGGAACTGTCGACACCTTCGATTTTTTGGAACAGAGCATGAAGAATGCGTGGTATTATACCAGCACTGTCCGATAGCAACCCAAGAGTCTCTGTCATATCGCCCGACATAGTATACGTTTTCCCGGTCCCGGTTTGGCCATATGCGAAAATGGTACAGTTGTACCCAGAGAGCATCTAAACAGATAAATTAAAATTTTTGGTATCTCCAGTAGAAAGGAGTGACAAACGTACCTCGTTTAATATCGGAGTAACAACATCTTCGAATATTATAGCTTGGTCGGCGGCTGGAGAAAAGACCTTGTCGAATTGATATTCTCTATTTCCTAGCGCATTGGGACCCATAGACACTTCCACAGTCGTCCCCTTCACTCCTTCGGTAGATATAACAACACCACTATTCTCCTGGACTTCCCTATCACTCCTGCCCCGGCAGCGGACAATGACGCGGATATTCGTGTCGCCAGGAACATTCTGTTCAAAATCGCGCTCCTTTCGCTTGTTACCAGCGTTTTCTGTAGGGGAATTCAGGGCTCGTGTCGCACTGGGTGTCTGCGTCCGCGAAGATACTTTCGGGGTTTCTACTCGTTCAGGGGCAATAGAAGCTCGCGGTCTTGCTGAACCTCGCAATGCTGGCTTTTTCAGCTCCCGTGTGGGCTGAGGCCTGGTACCGCCGGCCATCTCCAGGAAAACTGTATATTGTAAGCTATAATGAAGCAAAAAAAGGCCTTCATATGTGTCGCGAGACCAGTCTCCAGATGAACCAAAAAAATCAAAAAATCAGATCAACAACAAACCCTGCAGAGATAACCAAAGACACGATGCTGGCTCTCCTCCAGAAAACGCACTTGTTAATCCAAAAAGGGAAAAAGTAAACAAACCAAAGGTGGTCTGAGCTTTATGCTTATATAATTTTAAACCCATGTGATCTAGATCACGTGCAACTCGTTCTCTCCAAGGTTCAGGCGTATGACCTCATTGAATGACCTCTCCGTAACGTCAAGACCCCAGGCGCAGATATATCAAACGTCTTTTCTACCTCCAGATCCAGCTGAGATAAATATTCCTGGCTTAGCTTGCTTCTATGGATGAGACGACTATCTGATATGCTGATGATACTTCTTGCGATACTCCATCGTCATGGCTACCTCTCGAGATAGCCCCGCGCCTGTTCTGCCTGGCCGCGCCCTTGGGTTCCTCAGTACGTTATAGGCCACACTTCGTCGTTTTGCTGTCTTAGCTCTAGCTAACCTACCTATAGCTCTTGGGGCATCACTCCACCACGTTGTCACCCGTCTTAAATCTCTTCCTGAGATATACACAGCGTTAGAACTGGTCTATGACATCACCAAGCCTCTTCAGGAGGCTGTCATACTACAGCTACCAGAGAACGGCCTGCGACTCCGTTTTGATGGACCTGATCAACGACTGCGCCTGATAGAAGTCTTGGATTTTAGCAAAATCCCTCTTGTCTACAAGACCCATGAGGTAGTAAAGCCTACAAAGTCGCCTTCCGATCCACCGGGTTTTGGTCCTGGATTCCGTCATATATACAACAGGCTATTTGGACCAACTTATCCCGGCGAATATTTTCCTCCAGCTGCAGGAGAAACTCATGGGACTTATGTCCTATCTTATCCTGGAGTTGCATTCTCATTCTCTCTGCTTGATAGCGCCTGGTCGGAGAAGCGCGATTTTGTCTCGCTGATGTCTTCATCCGCTGCTTCTCTTGCCACGTCTATGGCGATATTTCAGGGATCGTCTTGGTTGGATGGGCTGAGCAACCTGTTCACCCGTCAACCTCAATACCCGCGATCGAGCGCACTAATGGGCAAGAATAAGGAGTCTGTTGCAGACGAGGTCGAACTTGTAAATGTGCATGAGGGTGGACATATCGAACTTATCAGGCGATCAAGCAACCCCTTTTGGATTACCCTTGGAGAAACGACCCCTCAAGACCTTATCACGGAACTCGGACCCCCAGATGCAGTCTATCGGAAAAGTGACAGCCGGATCCTAATACATGGCGAAGGAGAGAAGAATGTACCTGGAACGACAAATGGCGGAGGCAATTTACCTACGCCTCCTACTGACCCCTCGGACATAGATCCACATTTTGATAGCGCCTTGACGGATGAATCGGAAGAGGATTCAGGTGCAGCAACAAATGAAGAACCCGGGCCACTGCCTAGTGACTGTTTTTACAACTATTTCAGCCATGGGTTTGATATCTTGGTTGCCCCATCCTCGTCTGGCCGCCGCTCACCTGGGTCACCCACAAGAGAATTGCATGCAACAGGGGGCACGCCAGAACTTGTCACATCGAAAATCATACTTCATGGCAACGTGCCAGGCTCATACCCTTTCAATCGACACAGGCGCTGCAGATGGGTGCTACACATAGGCCCCAACAAGGAGACCATCACATCCGAAACACCATATGGGGAAATATCTCCAATACTAAAGGAACGATGGCGAGGCCGCTATTCGAGCCCCACAGAAGAGTCTTCCTTCCAGAGGGGCATGGTTCTCAATCGAGGCTGGGGTGAAACCCCTGGCAGCAGCATTGAATTTTTGGGCAGCTGGGAAGAAAACCCATCAACTAATAAAAACAAAACAGACCATAGCTCTGAGGCACCTAGTTCATTGGGTAATACCGAACTGTATGGCTTCCCAGGCCTGCTCTTTGAAGTTCTTAAGAATGGCTCTGTCAACTGTTTGACCGTGTATTAACATACTTCTTGTGATTGGCGAATTTCTTTCATGTGGCACATACCTGGGTAAGGATTGGGTTTTGGGTAGGCGTTTGATGTATCTTGGAGATAGATATCCATTTGATAAATTTAAGGCATGCTGAAATCAAATATACCAAGTTTCTCTTGTACTCTTCAGTGCTGTAATTTTACAAGTAGATACGATATTGGTATGTAATAAGCTACTTTTATTGGTTAGAGCTTAATAGTGCTGTATTATCAACAACATACAACTTTTTTCGATCAACTTTCAAAACGAACAATCGAAACTCCAGCAGCGAGAAGAAATGCAAACAAGAAGAGCATGCCGGAGCTGTCGCGATCACTTGCGCGATCTTGGTCATCGACGCTAAAGCTTCCGAAATCCACGTTCCCCCCACGGATAGCATTAGCCGACCAGTCGAAATATCTCAAACGATGCAGCGATGACCTTTACAGCTGGCAGCAGCGCAATCGGCCTGCAACAGCTACCTTCACACTCCACGATGGCCCGCCATATGCCAACGGTGACCTACATATCGGACATGCACTAAATAAGATATTGAAGGATATAATTTGCCGCGTACAATTGGCTAAGGGTAAACGAGTGCATTATGTGCCTGGCTGGGACTGTCATGGTCTACCAATTGAACTAAAGGCACTTCAGGGCCAAAAGGAATTGGGTGACTTAAGGTCGGCTGGGAGAGATGGGGCGGCGCAGATTCGGTCTGCCGCCCGACAACTTGCAGAAAAGACCGTTTCCCAGCAGATGGAGGGATTCCGGAACTGGGCTATCATGGGAGACTGGGACAATGCATATACCACGATGAACAAGGACTTCGAACGGAGGCAATTGGCCGTGTTTTTAGAAATGGTTGAAAAGGGGCTCATATATCGGAGATACAAGCCGGTGTACTGGTCTCCCTCGTCCGGCACTGCGCTTGCCGAAGCTGAGCTGGAGTACAAGGAAGACCATATCTCAACTGCGGCTCTGGTTAAGTTTGTTCTGGATGACCTACCGGCTCAAGTTTGGGAAAATTCTCTACTTGTCGGGAATGATATCTCTGCTGTTATATGGACAACGACACCGTGGACGCTCCCGGCGAACGCTGCGTTGGCGGTTAACCCCGATTTTGAATATACCATCGTGTATTCGGCTCGCCATGGCAAACTTCTCGTGGCGCAGTCTAGACTGCAATACCTCGAAGAATTACTGGAAGATCATTTCACTGTTGTTGTACCTGTCGTTATGGGTTCCGAATTGTTGAATTCTACGTACCGTTCTCTCTTTAAAGGACCGGAGTCTGAAAAGCAACGTATCATAGCTGCAGATTTCGTGACGGCAGATGCCGGTTCCGGAATTGTTCACTGCGCCCCAGGCCATGGTATGGAGGACTACGAAGCTTGCCTAGCCCTCGGAATTCCAGCATATGCTCCTGTAGACGGGGAGGGCCGATATACTCGATTTGCTATGCCATCACAGCCTGACCTTTTAACTGGAAAAGCAGTCCTTGGGGATGGGAACCATGCTGTCATTAAGTACTTGTCAGAAAATGGAATTCTTATTCACAAGCATGCTTACAAGCACAAGTACCCCTACGATTGGCGATCAAAGCTTCCTGTCATAATTCGTGCTACAGAGCAATGGTTTGCTGATGTTGGTGATATCCGTGGCGAAGCTATTCAAGCCTTACAATCCGTCCAATTTATCCCCCCAAGTGGGAAGTCCAGGCTAGAGACTTTCGTCAGAAACAGAAGCGAATGGTGTATATCTCGCCAAAGGGCATGGGGAGTCCCCATACCGGCGTTGTACCACCGCACCACCGGGGAAGCCGTGCTCACCAAAGAGAGTGTGTCTCATATCATGAAAGTTATCGAGGAACGAGGCATAGATGCCTGGTGGACTGATGATGAATTCGACCAGGAGTGGCTCCATCCTTCGCTCCGTGATTCGAGCTCACCGCAATATAAACGCGGAACAGATACCATGGATGTCTGGTTCGATAGTGGCACCAGCTGGGCTCAGCTTAAGGACGATTCCCCTGAAAATTCCCCCGCTGATGTATATCTCGAGGGAAGCGATCAGCACCGTGGTTGGTTCCAATCCAGCCTGTTGACTTATATCTCGCATCAGCTCGCCCAAGGGGGCAAATCTTCGTTTAAGGCCCCTTTCAAGACACTTATTACACATGGGTTTACTCTCGATCAACATGGCCGTAAGATGAGCAAATCGATCGGAAATACCATACAGCCCCACGAAATCATGGGTGGTACGCTTCTTCCTCCGCTCAAGCCCAAGAAGGTTAAGGGAAAGGGTCCAAAGCCAAAACTAGATGTTCCGGTATACGATGCCCTTGGTCCTGATGCCCTTCGACTATGGGCTGCCGGAAGTGACTACACAAAGGATGTGGTTATAGGCCAACAGGTGCTCAAGGCAGTTAACATCAGTCTCCATAAATTCCGTGTGACTTTCAAACTGCTTCTCGGTGCGCTTCAGGATTTCGATCCAAAAAATGAAGTTCCATACGAATCTCTGCATGCGACTGACAAGATTGCCCTGGTACAGCTTCACAATCTCGTCAAGACAAGCCAGGAAGCGGTCGACAAAATGGAGTTCTTCAAAGCTGTGACCGCAATGAACAAGTGGGCCAACCTGGAATTCTCCGCATTCTATATTGAAGCCATCAAGGATCGATTATATGCAGATTCAGGATCTGGGATAAGTAGACGAGCGGCACAAACCACTTTGTTCCATATATACACCCACGTTCAGGGACTTCTTGGGCCAATAGTCCCTTTGTTGATTGAAGAGACTTGGGAACACACCCCTGGAAATATTAAAGGATTCTTGAAACATCCGTTCCAGCGAACTTTCAAATCGCCCGACAGCAAATGGAAAAACGATACTTTAGAACATGAATATAATGCCATGGTTGCCGCCAATTCTGCAATCAAGGCTATGCAGGAAACCGCGCGTTCTAAAAAGCAAATGGGATCCTCTTTACAGTCATTCGTGCACCTTGTTCTACCTAGAGGGTTTGAATTATCTGAGCAGTTACAATCCGAGCTTTCTGACTTCTTTGTCGTATCATCCGTCACCATTGGGTCAGATTGCGACCCCGTTCTAAATGATATTTCACACGCCGAATGGAGTTACTGCTCGGACTTCAAGCTGCCCAACGATCAGATTGGAAAAGCCTGGGTATATACACCAAGTGAGGCCAAATGCCCGCGTTGTTGGCGTTACGCAGTCCACCCTACAGAAACCGGGTCAGAGGACAGGGAGGCGCTCTGCCATCGCTGTGAAGTGGTTGTGCATGAGATAGATCAACAGAGTGATATGGGTATAAGCACATCCAATTGAACCTCCCCTCAATCTAGTCGTTTTGAGCGTGTAACATAGATCATCTAGATCCTGCTGTTTTTGTTTTGTTTTTATCCCCCTCTACCCTCCCTTTCCCAGTTCCCGCCCCTTCTGTATTTAATGTGTATTATAACTGTGCTATACTATGCTGATTTATAACTATAATCTGACCAGTTATACCATTCGATGCTTTCTCGAAAAACAGGTATTGATATGGCCTAGTTAATAATTTCAACGTCATACACATAAGAGCTTGGATGGAAAATACGGGGACTTGTTTCTTCGTATGGACCTTGGTTAGAGATGCAGCTTGCACAGAGTTTGCCGGCTACAGAATCCTTGTCCGACAGTACAAACAACACCTTGCATTCCAGGCGCAGCAACGAACTGCATGTCATAAACGACAGGCAGTGCTACCTGGCTGACTTGGCAGCATCCCTCTCATTCTCCAAACTCTCCTTGAGTCGTCTTCAAGCCCGATTGGATTATGTATATGTGGCAAGGTATGAATGACGGCGATGAAGTCATTCCTTGTTTCTCGAACTCTCATTTTTACTTCCATGGGAGGCGACTCCTTTAATATCTGGTAACGCGGGGAATGCCATTTATAAGGGGATGGGGACGCTCCTCGTTGCCTATTACTATATCTATGTCTTAGACTACGTGTGTGTTTGCATGTACATCTAAACACGGAGATTCCATATCACGAGCCCGGCCGACGACCTCGTCCTGTCTATCTGAAGAATCTACGAAACAATAGTTGCTCTACAAGACGCTATGCACAACATGGGGGATATCGGCGTTCCGCCTATTAATCCTACCCCGGCTCCAAATCCTATCATGCAGGAATCATCAGGAGTTGGGCGGCGATGCTTATGGTAAGATCAATCAGTGCAAAGTAGACCTCAGGAGAATCTTCTTCTAACTTACCGCTTAGGGTTGTCGCTATAGGGATGCTGCTTTCATCCCTAGTTTTCTATGTTCTGGCTGGCAGAGTCCCTGCAGTAAGTTTGTGGTTGTATGATGTTTACTAAGGAGAGGTGTATGCTAATGTGCCCACTAGCAAAAACGCCTTTTCCACAGCCTGGTATCACTTATCACTACTATCTCGTTCCTATCCTATTTCGCGATGGCTATGGGATACGGCGTATCGTACAAAGAATATACCTATCACAAACACTACAAGCATTCCCCGGATATCTTTCAGGATGTCCGCCGTGAAGTGTACTGGATTCGATACGTCAATTGGATGTTGACCGTGCCGATGATTCTCACCTGTCTCTCGTTTTTGTCTGGGGTCAATGGAGCAAGCCTGCTCGTATCAATCTCGGCATCTCTTGTTATGTTTGTAGCCGCTCTCAGCAGCTCATTCATGGACAAACACTACCAGTGGGCATGGTTTATAATCTCCTGTTTAGGATACCTCACAATTGTGTACCAAACTGGTTACCAAGGTCGGAAAGCCTCGCTTGCAAAAGACCAAAAAGTTCGCACTTTCTACACTTCCATTGCAATCTTCGCGTTGGGAGTGCTGCTCGTCTATCCGATGTATGTTCACCTCCTCTACATTTCGGAAATGCCATTTGAGATAACTAATGGGGTATACAGCATCTGGGGTATCTCCAATAACGCTCGAAAAATGAGCATTGACGCAGAGATAATTGTTTTTGCCGTCCTTGACATCCTGCTACAGGCTGTCTTTGGCTATTGGCTCATAGCCTCCTATAACACAATAAGGTCCATGTAAGCAGGCCCTAGACAAGAAATTTTTGGAAGGTGACATGGTTACTAACTTGGTTCTCCTCTAGCTCGGTCACCTTAGACGGTTTCTGGGCCAATGGTGTTAACGGCGAAGGCAATATCCGGGTAGGAGAAAACGAGAACGTATAATGTCTTACAGATGTGGCAACAGCTACTTCCACCGAGCTGGATTTTAGCCTACCCTATTTGCTAAAATGGTCTTGTCAACGCTTGAGACTAACCAGACTGTAGCCAGCAAGTATTCTCCTTACCTTAGTAACATATCCCAATCACTGTGGCAGCACAAAAGTTATGGGCCAGGCCATTTTTTATTTCGTGTTTCGTTCCAATTTGGGCTCTCGGGTGTCTGTTACACATTTTAAATCAATTAATACCCTGCCTTCTCGTCAGTTTTGCCGTGTTGTTCCTGATCGTGTACCTCAGAATAAGGAGTATAGCTCGATAGCAATCTTCTCGTTATTAAATATTAGTCATTAGCTAGCAGATTAAACAGGTATCATCATTGATCGTATCAGGCCCTGACTCCCTCCCGGTTCAACCATCAATTAGAACATTTAAGCCAGTCCAGTGGTAACGAAAAAGAAGAAAAGAAAAGAAGGAAGATCTTGATATCCATCCAGGCATGAAATGACGTCACCACAAGCTCTTATCACCACGTGATCACTTTATTCAGACTTCCAAGACCAAACTGGCCAGAAAAAAGAAGTTTGCTTGGCAAGTTACTTCTTGTTCGTTGGCGTCGAGGCTCTCGCGGAGCCTTTGATGCGAAGTGCAGGACGGCGGCTGAGACCGTCGTCGTTCTCTGGGAAGCACGCTGGTGCCTTCTCGATGTCTGCATTTTCTTTGCCGATGCTGGCTTTTCGCCACTCGCTGACCTTCTCGTTGACAAGCTTTGTCTCATCTGCTTTGCTGGCTGGATTCTTCCCCTTCTTGGGGATTTCAACAAGTTTGGCCTGAGCCGGCCCCTTGTTTTTCCTTTTCGGGATATCGATAAGTTTGACCTCTCCAGGTTTGACATGTCGGACCTGCATAGCATATTCCGCCACGGTATTTGGCCAAGATACGACAACTCGGTCGGACATGAAGCGTGGGAGCGCAAATCCTGCATCAACGCAGTCGTTCTTGAAGTTGATTACTCGGAGACGGTGTGGGTTGAACCACATGAAGAATGGGTCAGCGTCGACAACGAAGCCAGTGAGGCTTATCTTGACGATTGGTAAACGGTCGAGGGTACATCCCATTGCCAGAGCTCTAATCTTTGCTTCCCCAATGGATTCTTTGTCTAGATATTCACCGACTCCAGCACGTCTGTGCAATTCTCCTTCTCCAGATTCTCCACTTCGATGCAGAAGATGCGAGTTAGCATGATGACGCTCGTTTGTTGGGAAAGTAATTGAATACTCACTAATATACCCCGGGCATCTCATCGGCGGTACGGTACGACCAATCCCCCTTGATAGATGGCCAATCTGCGTTGAAAGTGCGTCGAATACAAGGTTCAAGAGCCATCTCTAGCTCTAATTCTTCAAGGCCTGGGTTAAGCCACACGGTCTGCCAAATGTACTTTTGATAAGACTGCGACATTCCAGTCACTTTGAGCTTTCGAAGGTTTCTAAAGTTGCAAAGTGAAGCAAGTTCTTCGACCGGTATGATATCCGGGCGAAATGGGTTGTCAAAGGGACTGTTTTTCCTAGTTGGCCAAAATAGGTCCAATGCGAGAACTTCACAGTTCAGATCGAGAGCCTGCCATGCAGAACCTCCACGAAACGAGATAATAGGCTTATCGAAACCGTCCATGGAATCATCATCTTCAAAGGGTTCTTCAAACGTGTCTTCGTATTCCTTCATGCTGTTCTGTTTGCCTCCAAATGCGGAGCGTAAAAGCGCGATGTTGCTGCTGAATGATGATCTAGAAACTGACCTGGCTGTAGTTTCTTTCTTCGCGTTATTCGATGAACCGGTTTTGAAGAAACGGGATACTGATGCCAGGGACTCGGACTTGCTAAGGCTAAATGGAAGACAAGTGATATCACCAACGCTGGATCTTCGTTTTCTCTGGAAAGACGTGTCTGCTTTCGGGCGATTTGGAGGATAGAAAGACGCGGCAGATGGGACCTTTCGATATCCTGGGCCTGGTGGTTTCCTAGGGACTGGAAGGTATTCTGTTAACTTCGCTCAAGATCTAAATATACCTTCAATATTGGCAGTAGGCTTGTTTGCTGGAAGATCTAGGCAGGACATGGTCAAATGTTTACCAACTCACCTGCTATCACTGGTTTGTGAGGAGTATCATCTCTGTCCTCATCTTGGCTCATAGGACGATGGCATCCTCGGCAACACACCATGGTTGCCAGCTGTGCTCGCTCTATACCCTTTGGTCGCTTTGCATTGGAATCCTAGACAGGCCTCTGTGATAGTAGGTATAGCAGGTTTAGTATACTCTCCTCGTTTTTTGACAGATATAGGCAATAAAGCGGGGGTGTTAAGATAGTGTGAGAGGGATCCTATCAAACAACCTATCTCTGAGGTTTGCTTCTCTAGCTGTTTTTTTTTTCTTTTAGTATAAAGGAGACTTATTTGTGTGCTGCTGGAGCCGCTAAATGTGTTATTGTTATTGTTGTTGCTGCTGCTGCTGCTGCTGTTGTTATTGCTGCCCTGAAAGATCCAAGTACATCTAGACAGAAGGGGATATGTACTTGCATGACAGAATACCATCTTGAGTCAGACAGGGGGGAACGGGCTACTTGAGATGGAGAATAACAAATGGCAACGTTTTCAAGGTTATAACAATATCCTTTTTTGGACTGGTTTGGATAGATATAAATATTCGCCTACTTTTATTCCCCTATCCACGTTCCTAGTGCAGCTGTAGCCTATCATTTATCTACTTCCGATGTCAAATCGGCTGCATTTACTTTTTCTTTATCCTCCGGAATGTGATGCAAGGGGCCTTTTCTCTCAAGATATGAAACCTAACGTGCAGTGCCCAAGGATCATAGTTGCAGATACGCCGGGTAGGTTCTCAGCTTCGATGCTCCGGCCTGTTGGAATTAATCCTTTGTCAGGTATGCACTCTGACTATGCCTGCATGGCCCTATGCAGATCAACGTAATATTTCTCTGGGCGCCCCGAGAAAATCATGATCTAGATGCATAGTTTGATACACCATTATCCTTATCGACTTGCTTACTCGTTATTGGTGCGGTTTCATGATAGCCTCCATGCGCCCAATAATGGCATCTCGATCCATACCCTGCTACAAAACGCCCACCCCAGTTCAAGATATGATATGGCGGAGACATTCCAATAAAAGCAATTGAGCCACATGATATAATTAACACTGTCAGATGGAATCATTATTTCATTTGGCTCCTGACAAGCTCGAAAAGAATTTTATCCGCTAACTAAAATAGACAAAAGGGTGAGAGAAAGAAAATCCTATTTGTACTTTTTTAGTATTTCTTTCCTTCCCGTAGAACATCACCGAACTCCTCAAGAGGGCTTCGGTTGAGCTTGGTCTCCTTCCAGAGGTTGGGAGTGAGGTAACCGTATGAGTTACCAACGGCAACGAAGGTAGCCTTGAGGGTGTTCTCAAGGGTCTTGGTGGAACCGGAGGAAGATGTGTAGATATCGGCGACACCAGCCAACTGGAGGAATCGCTTAACAGCTGGGGAGGCAACGAGACCAGTACCACGAGGGGCAGGGATCAACTAGAGGGTTATGCGGTTAGTTATCGAACGCGTTCTTTTCCGGCATCTATAGGGTGAGGTAGAAAGCTACGTACTCTGACGGAAACTGAGCCACACTTTCCGCTGGTCTTGGTTGGGAGAGAGTGAGGTTCACCAAGGTTGGAACCCCAGTAACCCCGACGGACTGGAAGAACGCTGAGCTTGGCGATTATGATGGCGGCGCGGATAGCAGTAGCGACTTCCTTGGAGGTCTTGATTCCGAGACCGACGTGGCCCTCGGAGTCTCCAATGACAACAATGGCCTTGAAACGGGTTCGCTGACCGGCACGAGTCTGCTTCTGGACAGGCTTGATCTATATCCCATGAAAAATATCCTCATTAGCAACAATTGTAACATAAACCACATAGAACAGCTCCATAACACCCAGCGCATGATAATTCCATCATTCGTCCCCCTCTAAATGCTTTGCCATATGCTATTTCGAGGGAGGAAACAAAATGTCCGTACCTTCATGACCTCATCCTTGAGCCCTGGAAGGAAGGCATCGACGATCTGGTATTCCTTGATGGGCAAACTGTGGAGGTAGATCTGTTCGATGGTGGTAATCTTGCCGGCCTTGACGAGACGACCGAGCTTGGTGACGGGCTGCCATTCCTTCTCCTCGCTCTTACCACCACGGCGTGGGCGACGCCCACGGCCACGGCCACGGTCTCCTCCACGCGCGCCAAAGCCGCCACGTCCTCGAGCAGCGTCAGCCATGATTGATGGTATCGGAATCGACGGTGTTGTAGGAAATAGGAGAGAAATAAGGGACCGGAGCGGTTGAGGTCGTTGTCGAGGTTGCGCTTGTCGAACGTCTTCGTCGCTTTCCACTCGCTTTTCGACGTTCAACTTTCTTTTCTTTCGCCAGAAAACCCGATGTGGAGCATTACATAAGCCCCCTCTAAGCGAGTGACCGGAGAACCCTTAGATCCGGCCCTAAGCCCTAAATCCGTACCCAAACAGGATATCCCTTGGTCGTGGCGCTAAGCGCTTAAAGTGCGTCGGTTTTGCGGCAGATCAAGGTTTTAATCGCGCGATAAAAGCCGGGCCGGGAATAAGCTCCACCACGGCAAAAAGGCTCAGCAGGGCGCGTGGACGAGCAGAACTTGGACCCTGCGATGGCGCGGCTTCTTTTTTGCTGTTTAGACCTGCTATACCATTCTGAGGAGCATATGAAGCTGGCTGTCTTCTACGCTACGCTCTCAAGGATAAGGCAGAGGATCTCATAATGTTGCGATGGTGAGTGCCGTGGCCTTTCCGGTCATCGGAGAGTTGCCCTTTCCCCCTGGTATTAGGGGCCGTTTTCTAATTATCTCGACGTTTTCCCATGCAGGTATCAAGCAAAGTTGGCTGCTCGCCCATTGCTTACACAGAGCGTCGGTAGTGCGGTGAGTTTTCAATCCGATGTCACTCCAAGTTGCAGGTTGTTAACGATGCCTGTAGGTGCTCTTTGGGACAGGAGATGTCCTAGCTCAGCAGCTCGTTGATAGAGTCGGGATCGAGAAGCATGACTTTGCCAGAACCGGTAGAATGGTTCTTTACGGAGGAGGTATGTGTCACCCCAGGCTACGTGCAAATCCTACAATGTGAGATCCTAGAGCCTGACGATTGTCCGTGAAATTATAGCAATCTTCGGACCAGGTGCAACGACTTGGTACAAGTTCATGCAACGAAACATAGTTTTCAAGAACCCCAAGCTTACATTAGTTGCTAGAGTGTGTGCGGATCAGACCCTGTTCACTCCTACGCATCTAACCTGCTTCCTATCCTCCATGGCGATCCTCGAAGGAAATGACCCATTGGAGAGACTGCGAACCACTTTTGGCACTGCCTACAAGACCAACCTCATGCTCTGGCCGTGGGTGCAGGCAGCCAACTTCACATTCGTGCCTTTGGAGCACCGAGTTCTGGTTGTCAACCTTGTCAGCCTTGGTATGTTCTTTTTTTCTTTTTGGGGGTGAACCTCTCCTCTTCTACGGTGTTTCTTTACTAACCATTGACTATCAATTCCAATATTTAGGCTGGAACTGCATCCTCAGTCTCATAAACAGTAAGGGTGAAAAGGATAGTACCTAATCTTTCCCCTGTCGTTGCAAATTACTTGTGACCTTTCCCCCATTTAAGCACAGCGTCTTTTTTCTTCCCTTTAGAATTCTAGAGTGGCCATATACCGGTCCTGCGACTTGAGTGCGGTTTTTATAGAATAGAAGAGCTTAAAGATTTGTAATAATATATTATTCTTCGTACATCACGCTGCTCTGTTCACTTTTAACTCATCCGTGCCTAAGTATAAAAAGGGGGAGATTGGTGCAAACAGTGCAAACAACTCGCCCAAAGCTTCTCAAACATGCCTGACATTAAAAAAATAAAATAAAAAAAAAATAAAAATTTGAGAAGCGCGAACTCAACACTTCAACGTCACCTTTCCAGAACACACACATTCTGCCTGGAGCAGAGACGCCTTTCTGCTGCGCTGTATCTACTCGAAACCATCCTTCTCGCCGTGTGGTAGCGATACAATCGAGCCTTCCCGCTGCCAGAATCAGCCACCGCAGCTCTCAACACCAACCTCACCTACAAAACCCGCCATCCCGCCTCGACCAGCTCACTCGCCCAAGGAGCGCTTCTATCCCAACCCTATATAACCCCGTGTAGCGACTCGAATCTTCAGCCTTACACAGATCTACATCGACGCTTTTTCCTCTTCACAACATGGCAGCGGAAAACGGAACTAAGCCTGAGCAGGCCGTGAACAACGAGAACTCCACTCCGGACGGCGCAGAGACCCAGAACAAGGATGAACAGATTACTGTCTTCCATGACCCCATCAACTTCAACGTCAAACACCCTCTTATGAACGAATGGACCCTGTGGTTCACAAAACCTCCAAGTGGCAAGGTATGTAATAGTGCATAGGCGCACCGTCTCATAGTTGCATACCCCATTACCGCCCGCCTGACATTGCGTGTCTCGAAGTATACTAACCAAATGCTCTTTTTTTCTAGGGCGACAACTGGAATGACCTGCTTAAAGAAGTCGTCACCTTCAACTCCGTTGAAGAATTCTGGGGAATATATGTAAGTCCTGGATATGTCCCCCAATGAGGGGCACGGTTTAGTCTCTTATTTATATCCAGCATAATATCTGACATTCTACCCTGCTGTAAACAGAATAATATCGCACCTACCTCCCAGCTCAGCTTCAAGTCAGACTACCATCTATTCAAGAAGGGTGTCAGGCCAGAATGGGAAGATCAACAAAATAAGCATGGCGGCAAGTGGTCGTACTCGTTTAAATTCACCAAGGACCGGAACCAGGTTCCGATCGACGAACTCTGGCTACATGCCCAACTTACGGTGATCGGAGATACCCTTGAAAACGACGGTGACAATGAAGTTATGGGAGTTGTCGTTAACGTGCGCAAGTCCTTCTACAGAATCGGTCTATGGACTCGAACAGTTGGACGTGGAAGTAACGAGCGTCCGTCAGATCAAGCACAGAAGATCCTCTTGGCTATTGGTAAACGGTTTAAGGAAGTTCTCAAATTGAAGGACAACGACCTCCTCGAATTCTCTGGTCATACTGAGAGTGCCAATGCAGGAAGCACCCGTGCCAAAGCCAAGTTTACAGTCTGAGCAAGCGGCCTTTAGTCGTATGAGAAATTCAATCTTATCCAGATATCGACTCTGTATCGCTACGTTCAGTTTAGTACATTATTCTCTGCACTGAACAGTCGTGGTGGGTGTTAGTAGGGGAGCTTCCGCGTCTTCCCTCCTCATTGGCGAGATTGAGAATACCGGTAGAGAGGGTTATTATGCTTTCTCGAATTGCAAAATGGAGTCTTATGAAGTCTCAGCATGCGCGTGATGTTTCCAGCGCAGCTTTCTTTTCCCAGGATTTTTTATCTTAGGAGCTAAAACTGGGGGTTAACGTGCTCTATTTAACATGTCTTCCGCTTTTACCTCTTAATGTCATTAAACTGTTATGTCTGTTTCCTCTTATTCGAAATCCCCCTTTTATAAAGCTGTTTCTATCCTCGGTCTTTAACGTGTATAATGTCTGGTCTATTAGGCGATATCACATCTGGTTTGTTTTAGCCTTGTAACTCCTTCATTCTACACACTATAGAAGGTCCGTCTATGTTCATAGTGTACAAGTCTATATACATCTGTATCGTACACGATAACACGCCATCATATACTACACTCCATCACCGAAGACTTCTTTCTTCAGGGTTTTTTTGTTTACTAGAAGGATTAATGGTCAGTAGCTCTACATCAATACGACGGTGATAGTCAGGCGGACTCACCTTTTCCCATGGCGTTTCTGGGGATTCCGCCTTCGAGGATTCTCATTTCCTGGGGAATCTTATAACCGGACAGTTTCTCCTTCAAGGCTCGGCGCAGGTCAAGAATTCCCCAGGCCTTTCCCTCACCAGATTCTGTAGTCGCATGTTTAGGGTCAAGTACCAGTATCGCGGCGACTTTTTGGCCCCATTGCTCTGATGGTAGGCCTACAACAGCAGCCTCCAAAACCTGGGGACTATAAATACACTACGTTAGCCCACCCAGAATAAAAATAGCAAATAGAAATTGGGGAAACAATACTTACAGGGAGAGTATTTCACGTTCAACTTCTAGTGCGCTCACCTTTTCTCCCCCTACCTTGATGATGTCCACGCTCTGGCGGCCCTGGATAAAATATAATGGACCTTGAGCCCAGGTGCTTTCACCTCGTCCCGCGCCATCGACAGGCTGTCGAATAGCCATATCCCCCGTCTTGAACCATTTGCCTTTGCCATCAGAATCATCAATAAATGACTCGCCGGTTGCTTTCTTATTTTGCCAATATTCCTTGAATATCGTTGGGCCTCGTAAGTGAATCTCTCCGACTCTCTCGCGGTTGTCTTTATCAAACTCCTCTCCAGGGCGTATAACTTCTTGTCTCTCTAGGTCGAATAACCTAACCTCAACAGATGGAAGTGGCCATCCAACGCTTCCATCAACTCTGTCATTGAATTCTAGCCCACAACTGAGAGCCATGCCTACTTCAGTCATACCATATCTTTCAAGTAGAACATTTCCCCCGCTAAGATCAGTCCATGCCTTTTTTATAGGTGTCGGCAATGCAGCAGAGCCGGAAATGTTTAGCCGTAAATTTCCTGGCGAAATGGCTACCTTGGCCGCCTGTTTGGTGGTATCAGACAGTAAATCAAATGTATTCAGGAGACGGTGATAGATGGTTGGAACAGCCGTGAGAAAGTTGATCGGGTTCGGTGGTGAGAGCATCTTGGACTGGGGAAGAAATGGCTTAGCCAGTCTCTTCCATACTTCTGTGGGATTGAATGGGTATGTAAATTCGATGGATGAGCCAGCGAGTACTGGCGCCAGAATAGCATTGACTGTCCCATGGATGTGATGTAGAGGTAGCATGTGCAGCAACCTGTCGTCCGGTGAATAAGACCATGCCTCAACCAAGGATTTGGTTTGCGCTGCTAGCGCAGAGTGTGGGAGAAATACACCTTTCTAGTAGGGGGTAGATATTAGTCTGCGTTCTATCATATCCAATTCAAGCTTTACCTTCCGCTTACCGGGCGATTAGTGGTTCCTGAAGTATATAGCATCATTCCTCCCCGAGGGTTCGCGACATCCCGAAAGTCAACACTTGACGGTGGTATAGCGCCTTCATTGAGCTTGGGAATAAATTCCAAAACAGGGGTTTTTATTAATTCTCCATTCAGAACTTGTTCTGCTTGCCCTCGGTATCTTTCCGTGGCTAGGAGCACTTCAGCTTGCGAATTATCCAGTATATATCTCAGTTCTGCCGCGGGAAAACTAGGAGAAAGAGGAAGGGCAATGCCGTCTGCGGCAAGGATAGATAGTAGCGTCACTTTAAAGCTCATGATATGAGGTTAGTTTTTGTATAGCACCAGTTTCATCAACCCGACTTTATTGGGAGCTTCTACAGTACCTACGTAGTCGTAGCTATTCTCCGCCAGAAACGCCACAGGCTTTCCATGTAAACTAAGAGGCTTCGAGTGCCTGTCCCTGATGCTCTTGAGTTTATCTTGAGCTGATATAACGTCCCCGATAAGATTCCCATAGGTAAAGGTACGGCCTGATGCGCTGTGGACAACAGAGGTCGACTGCTGGTCATGAGAGGCCAATGGGCGGAATAGCGGAAGGTCGGGGAGGCTCGAAATCAATCTTATATGGTGTATCCGGTGTCTCTTCCATTTCGGCCATGTTATAGCGCTATATTGGTTCGCCTGGGTACTTGGGTGCTGCTGCGCAAACCTCCAAAATTGCCGACAGCCAGGTCGCATCATCTTGTCGAAACGAGGAGCTGTTATTGGCGGTATCGTTTTCTCATCTACTCCGTGCACATCAATTTAATCAATAATAACAGCCGGTTGAAGTAAATCCATGTTCTCCTCGTACGGAGTATTCACTGGTGGTTGATTCGATGATGCGTTGACGTGCAGAGAAGTTTCCCCAAGGTCGCGGAACGGCCCAAAAAGCTTATTTTTATTTTACCGACGACAGCTTTGGCCCTGAATAACACCGAAGCCTTCAACAAGACATATAAGCAAGCAAACCAGATATCACCGGCGCATTTGAAGCTCTTCACCTTCTCCTCGTTACCCCCACGTACCAGATGCTGCGAACTATCAGACTAAGCCAGCAGCGCTTGCAGCTTTTCTCCCGCATACCCAGAATGTCCGCCAGCACTTTAACCTCCCAAACACCCTTGGAAGACGCGATCCGGGAAAAGGTAAAGCCCAAGTCACATATTGGAGAGAAGCGCAATGGATATGCGGTATGAGCGTCTAGCTGGTTGCTAAATGATTATTTACAGGTCACAAGAGAACTATCACCGATTTCCCTGACGATCCGAAACGACTCTAAGCATCATGCTCATCATGCGCCCATGCAAGGAAATACATCTACAGAGACCCATTTCCAGTACGTACATGTGATGCGCATCCGTCAATAGTCAAAGGCTTGGAGTTATGATTTGCTCACTACTTCCTGCTACAGTGTAACGATAATCTCGTCCGCATTCGCATCGAAGAACCAGCCGGCCCGACACAGAATGGTATATAACCTGCTCAAGGAAGAGATGGCGCGAGACGGCGGTATACATGCGCTACAACTTAAGACGAGAACCCCTGAAGAAGAAGAGAAGGCCGCGAAGCAGTAAGGGGTGTAGGCGTGGCCATGTGATGGGACAAGAGAGAAACTATACACACTTAGGGTTGGCTACTAGAATTCATATGGAGATCACTATGGCCTGGGCTGATGGCCAAGCAGTCGCACCAAGGCTCATGTGAGGATCTTGAGCCTGAGGAGCCATAGCTGTGTACTTCAATATTGCATTTACGCATATACCTTGCAGTGATTTACATATGTACTTTGGATGTAACTGGTATAAGCGGACAATCATAACGATAGACAATATATATTAGAATAAACTCCTATGTTTACTCCAAAAAGAATAGAGCCGATGATTATTTTTAAAGGTAAGAAAGTAAAAGGCATGACGAATGAGAATAACACGATGAGGGAAGCCAGAAAAGAGAAAAGGAAAAGGAAAAACACAGGGATAGTTATTATATAGTAGTAATGTTAGTAAAAGTACTCTTTGAAGAAACAGAAAGGAATCCAACAAAGGAGAGGTGTCACTGAGCCATAAGAGCTGATATAGTACAGCTGGAGGTGATAATGGAATTGTAGCTGCTATGACAATTGACAAACGAAAACGGAGGGTCCAACGACGAGGGTGAATATGGCTTATCGAATTCGATGCTAGGAACAAGAGTGAAAGAAGAAAGGTGAAATTTTTGTCGAAGAACTAAGAGCGGATGCTCCAAGCAGAAAGAAACCCAAAAGGATTTTACAATACTGGTCGAAGAAGGGTATAAGCAAATATACAAAGGGAAGAGAGATGATTTCGCAGGTTGTCGGATCGGAGGAGCAAAACGGCCTTAAACTGGTGGCCGTGTGGATGATAAGAAGTAGGTAGCAACAACTCTACTTCTTTTGTATAACAACGACGACAACAACGACAACAACGATGATGATAATGATGAGGACTGCAGAGGGAAACGGTTAGTATGATTTTGATAGTTTCCGCTATAGGGTCTCGAGTACTTACGACAGATGAGAAGGCACCACCATTTCTTTCTGTTACGGGCACGGGCCGAGTCAATGGCGCCTTTTATCTCTTCGTTGGCCTTGTCAACGTTTTCCCGAACTTCTTCGCCAGTCTGGTCGATATGGGCAATGGGTTCTTCTTGTTGGATAACCATAGCCTCGAGATCATGGAACATCTGTGTCAATTCGACAAAGTCTCGTTCAATTTTCTGGATCTCCTCGTGTCTGGCCCGAACCATCTGCGACACCTTTTGGGCGTCTCCACGGCGGTCACTTTGGATCAACTATTGGAACAGGCTGGTTAGAACCACAAATAAAGAATATCCAAAATGAAAATAAAAAAGGCTAGGGGGAGAAACATACAGCCTGGCTGAAGATCTGCTGGTTTGAGCTATCCTGGACGGCCTCTCTAACTTCCGCATCCGTTGCATCAGGTCGAACAATACGGTACTGTCGGGCCATTTGCGATTCGGACTCTTTTCGGAAGTCAGCCTGGACTTGCTGGTATCGTGTGATGGCTGCCTTTAAGCTGCGCTCGACCTTTCCAACCTGGGAGGAGTTGCGTGGGTTTCCTGATTCTGGCATCTGCTTGATAGACTTGACGCGGTCGACCAAGTTACGGTACAGACGCTTGGTTTGGTTGGCAAGATCTTCAACTTCTTCTCGGATGGCATTTTCACGGGCAGGGTCGACATCGCTGAGCAAACGGCGGTAGAGGGCGCTGAGCTGGTCAACATATCGGTTTACATCGTCGATTCCGCGGTCAACGTCTCTGCACTGGTTTAGGATAGCGTTGGGATCTTGAGCACGCGGCGGCTGGTTGTATTGGGACATTTCTGTTTCAACCGTTTAGCGATAATCGCCGCAACCACGCAAAAGAAAAAAAACAAATGATGATAATTGAAAGACATGATAAACAATGATTAGCCATACCATAGTTGTTGTTGCCAGCTTCGACATCTTGGTTATATCTGTTGTCGGGCTGGCCGGCGCCAGAGTAATGGTCAATCTGGCCGTAGCCTCGCGCTTGGTTGTTATATCCCTAAAACATTCAATTAAAATTAGCCCCTACAGTTCCCCCTTGACAAAAAGTTGCATGTTCATGTCAAGATGTACAGCTGTTATATCAAATTTCGACAAACGAGAGTGGCGACTCACGCTCATTGTGAAGTATAGAGTGCCTATCCGCTGTCAAGTCCAAGGCGTGTGTGTGTTGTCCGTAAATAAGAGGCGGTTGAAGGTGTTGTGAATCGAAGGACCTCGAGGTCGAGATTAAAGAGAGAAAAAGACAGCACGCAAACCAAGATAATCTTCCAGTTTAAGAAGCGACAAGCAAGAACAAGTAAACTGTCGTATGTACAGGCAAGAAAGGCGAAGGTTGCTATTAATGGAGGGTGGCTGAATGCGAATCCAGCGCAAGGTTGCGGCCGTAGGTGCTGTAAATATGGCGATTGGAGGGGACTGTAGACGCGACGATCCCGGGGAAAAGGCGAGCGCTTCGTGGTCTGATGAGTCCGAGAGAGACAGACGTCGGACAGCCCAGGCAACGACGTTCGAGCGGAGCGGGAAGATGGAAAAAGGGAGCCTGGGGAGGATGCGAGCAGAGGATGAGATGTTGTTCCAGCCGGCGTCGAGAGAAAAAGGAGTCGCAGGCTAAACCTTTTTCCCTTCATTACGCGGCAAAAGCAGAAAACGGGCGGTTCGAGGAGGCTCAGAGGCGCTAGTCCTGTTCGGGCGCTAGTACCGCCTGACGTGCATTAGAGGCGAGCCGAAAGCGGGAGTCGAGTCGTGCTGCTTTACGTCGTCGCTTGTAGGAAGAAGGAAAGAATAGAAGAAAGGGCAAGAAGAGGTAAAAGGGCGACGCCGCTTTATCAGTGCTCAGGTTCAGTGCATCCTTCATCCTTTAGCTGTTTATATTTAGTTACGAGTCTTACTGGCCTTCGCTGGGCCTTTTCAGCCCGGTCCTCGCCTGGCTTCTGTCCTCGCTGGCTTCTCGCTAAGCTGCATAACTGCTCAAGCGATGCTACCTGTCAGCAGAGCGGTGAAGGCCTGCTCTGTTGGTCCATGATGCTCAGTTTCAATGATGCAAAGTCCCCAGTGTCTTCGAGTCGATTGCGAGGGATATACTCCGTGCCGGCCAGCTGATGGTGAAGGTGAATGTAAAAGGGGGAGCTTTAACCAATCGTGGATGGTTACACCTAGTTATGCAAAGCTGCATGCCGCCACGGCGCGGCGGGCTTTGGAGCTTGGTGATCGCCATAAGCCACTGATATCGATATCCACAGATCTCGTCCTCACCAGGTACCTTATCATGGAGTATGGGTGCTCGGAAGAACATATTAATGATAGGCAAGGCGGCGAGAGATAAGAGAGCACCCCTAATCTATGATATTCTCTGTTGATGTACTTGATCAAATGTAATGCGCTTAGATGTACATATTGCCTCTGCTCCATAGGCATCCATGAGACTTCAAACTAAGGAAATGGATTATCTCCCCCTTTAATCCACTATTTTGATAGTATAGTGTTTGTAAGGTACCCTTTTTGCAGCTTTTGGCTTTCTATCCTTAATCCAGTTCTAGAAGATACGGTTGCCTTATATCGTTAACTCCAAATGAAATACTGCTAGTGTAAGTAGATATCCATGGCAGTAGATATTAGGTTGAATATAGCCAACCAAGGTGGCAAGTTCATAGAAGGCAGCTAGGCAGATACATACACTAAAACCTTCCTTCTACTCTACAAAACTCTATGACCCAAGGCAACGACCATTTCAATGGAGGCAATTAATGGGGCTTAAGCTGTAAACCGCTGTACAAACATTGTTATTGCAGATGGGTACCTCTATCAACGAGGCATCTTTTTTCTTGTCGACGGCAGAGGCTGGGTCCTTCTTCTATATGATAATTATAAGGAAAAATATGTTTTTATTTCACCCCCTTAACCCTCTTTCTTCCCCCACCGTCTCGTCTCGTCTCCATCCTTCCAGTCATGCTCCACGTAGCCGAGCCGCTTCTTCACCTCAACCACTGTATTCGGATCACCGGTGTTTTTACCCAGGTTATCGCTCAGCTTGACTGCCGGTCGGCCCCCGGCGCTGGAGACTTTGATAACAATGTTAAGAGGAACAGATTTCTTTCCGTTTGAAGTCTGCTTAAAATCATCTATTTCAATTCATGTTATGTAAGCCCGAGATCAGATAGGAAAAAAAGGTAAAATGTGCTGGGTGCCGTTAGGGGAATTCATACTTGTTAAAAATGTGCCGACTCCAAATGTGGGTTGGAAACCAGACTCCTCTGCAATAACCTTATACTCCAGACAGAGTTCGATGTTCAGGGAATCAGAGAATACGACTGTTTTCTTCTCCTTGATACCTTCTTTTTCGTAGAAGTCCTTCGCCATCTTCAGGAAGTAAACAGGGTCGCCGGAGTCTTGCCTAATTCCCGCGAAAACTTGGGCATATGTTTTAGTTGTGGTGTTTCTTGCCGCGTTTTCTAAAGGTGCATGGATGGGTGGAATGGTTGACGTTAAAGAATCAGTCTCCGCAGTGTTACTCCCTGCAGAAGGCATTGTGGTGGCGGGGCCTTCAGCAGCAGTTGTAAACTCAGGGATCGGCTTTCTGAATGCCTCAAGGAATGTCGGGGTACCAAAAGTATCGGTAAGAGCTATACCCAAGACCTATATTGCGTCAAATTAGTATCAAATGCATCTATGGTATGGGAGAGAGGGGGGAGGTCCTAACCCCTTCGCCAAAGCACCCTAGCCAGTATCTCAGTGCAATCTCGTTGGCATTCTCATAATCGTCCGTGATAGCAGCTATTCCCATATACCATTCATGGGCAACGGTGCCTACCGGTTCGACCCCATACTTCATAGCGAAATGGACGTTACTGGTGCCTGTCAACTTTCCTTTAAATTCCTCTTCTGCACCTTTCTTCGCTGCTCTGGTAAGTCCTTCCATTACCAGGTTCTGGGTATGATAATCTCGACGCCTCCGAGTTCCAAACTCAGAAAAGATGCATCCATTTTCAAGAAGTGTGCATCCTTTACGAAAAGCTTTCTCTTCTTGTTGATGGTAATCCCAATCACGATCGCAAAACTTGAAATATGTCTCGCTGGTCAATGCCAAAAGAGGAATCTCGTACAAGATAGTTTCCACCCATAAACCCTTGATTGCCATCTTGACTTCTCCAATATCGTCCTTAGATCCCGTGTCGTCTATTGGTATGAACGACACCTCCAGCTGCTCGGAAGGTTTAAGACGAAATTCTGACAGGTATTTAAGATATGCAGGGTTAAGGTACGGACAGCGCTTCCGCAAGAATTCTAGCTCTTCTTCTGACAATTTAATATTTTCCAGCCCTATGTACAGAATACGGGTCAGCGTTCAATTGCACGACAATTCCAGAGTTGACCTGGCTCTGAGTGAGTCAAGCTTACTAGTTATTTGTTCTAGTAACCAGTTATACGACCGTCTGGTAAATTTCATATCAGGCGTTCTGTTGGTGAAGGAGTATGTAACATCTGGAGATCTCCAAAGTTAGTCGTGACTCATGTAGCTTTAGAACAAGTCAAACAATCAGATATACTGGAATATAACATGGCATACAAGCACTTGGAAAATATTTTAGGACTGCACATTGCATCGTCAACTTATAGAGGTCAGTATCCAGTAGGGAGAATACCCCTTCTGGAGGAGGGGAAGTTTGGCCCATGTTGAGAAACTGGGCAGTTTCCCCGCGCTCTGTTCAATTGAGGGTATAGAGTCAACTTTGTAGAGGTAGGAGGAGAGAGAGAGTATCATGCACTAGCAGGCCGATAATCAAGACCTCATGGATGTAGACAGCCGGACGAGCCTTTGTCTCTCCAGAGTAAACAAGAGATGTTTGTTTAGGATGTAGTTACAAGCTTGGAATGATGCCATAGTTTAGGATGGACCTTTTGGCCGAAGTTTGCACTGTTTGCATTGACACCAAGCTGCTGCCTGAACACCAAAAAGTTCAATGGCTCATGAACAGGCCGACAAAGCACAACAAATGAAAGGGCGCGGTGAAT